GAGGTGTGAATGCAACAAGAGGCCAATTCTTCCATATTGCACCTTTAAAGAACGAATAAACAATGTAATATTTATAATATAATATACTACTTGTAAAATAGAGACTCAAACATTTAATGTCTCTGTAAACCAATACATGCAATCTTAAACAAGGTTTAAATGAGTAAGTGGCTTTTTCACGTTTTGTAACACATGTCATCCAGCATGCCCCATTGTGGGCAGCTCTGCTGTAAACACTTACACACAACTGAGTCATTCTCACAGTCATATACTTGGATTAGTTGTAACAGTTTAACAATATATACAGTGCTTAATGTTCAACATTTTTTTCTCAATGTTGGACAAACTCTATTGTGTGTAGTGTCCCTGCTTGTTTTAACAGTGAACTGAGTGAAACCAAAATCAAACCTAAAAGGCAATTTATATGGCTGCACCATATGGAGAGTCAAATTCTAGATGTGTGCGTTGTTCTATACATATTTCTGTGTAATGATGTTTGATCAATGCTTGGCTGCACAGCATGAAATTGTAATGGAGCCATCAAGAACACTGAACCTAAAATAATTCAACCCTGAATTATTTTAGGTTCAGTGTTCTTGAATTACTGTTTCTGTTACCTCTTTCTGTTGAGAAATAATAAATAAAGCACAACTTCTTTTCTTTCATATAAAATAATCTGGAAGAAAAGGACATCTAAGTCTACTTTTCTAACTTTTCTCTTTCAATGTTTGGCTGGTATCACTTTACAAGGTCAACATTTTAACCTCACTTCTGTTGACATAATAGGAAGGTGAGAGCTGGCTTGTCCAGCATCTTTCCACTGTGTCATCACAGACTGATCTGAGTTTGCTCAAATACTGACAGGACACGTCTTTTTGTGGACAGAGGTATAGTTACATCACATGTGGTGTAAATGAAGATGGGTCATCCATGAGGTGTCACATACTGTCTGATATGAGGAGGGGGAATCTGAAATTATTCATTTCCACAGGATACGGTGAAATGTCCCCCTTCACTTTTACTGTTTCCGGTTGATTTTTTTTATTAAAATCTATATGAACATTGTCCTCTTACTGAGAGAGGAGAGGAGCAGATAAAAATGTTGATACACTCATATTCTCCTGAAGTCACCTTCAGTTATTTCTTTGCACTCAAAGCAATAGTGAGTTTTTTATTTGCCCAGGGTTTTGTCCCTCAGGCTATATACAGTGTGCTCTACCATATCGGTGAAGGTTGTTGGGGCTGTTTGTAGCCTGAAAGAAATAACTGCAGACACAACTTCATATTTTGAGTTGAAAATAGTTTAATCTTTATTTTTGATTCCAGTTAATATTCTCCTAAAAAGAGACTTAATCAAATATAGGGCAGTAATGTTGGGTTGCAGATGCAAATACATTATCAATCAGACAATATCGGGTATCTATAAAGGAAACTAAAAGTGATTACTATTTAAAATGGATACAATCATTAGTGAGCATAGGAGTAGAAAGGGAAGTCATTTTCTGTCCATGCATAGATTTTACTGTTATATTTGGTGTGACAATATAGATATTTGGGAGCTGGAAAGGATAGTATGCAATTCTTTCCAAGACATAGTGCTATAACCCTTCTGCCAGAATACAGTATGATATATTAATAACATGACACAGATCTGTACTTATATGCTTTAGTAATCATCTAAATTCTTTGAGTGGAGATTAGAGGAATGAGCTAATAATATATAGGTAAGACCTTTATATCTTACCTTTAACCAGTATATCAAGCCCTATACTACATGTGTAATTGTGTTTCACTGAGTGACTACAGCTAATTATCCTATATACACTGTACGGCGAAAAAGTGAAATTATTTTGCTGTCTGTGCGTTTGTGTGATGTTTTGGCCATCAATCTGTCCTGTAAATTTTAGCCAATTTTATTGCATTTTAGTTCCCTCTGAGCATGCGTTTTACCCTTTTTTCCTCCTCATGCTCTGTCTGCATATAGTGGTGATTAGTTCTGCAGTAGGACAGTATAGTGGCAGCTGAATATACAGCACCATCACCATATCTGTGACTCTGGGTCTGATGCCAGCTTCCCCCCCTCCACCCATTCTCTCTTTACTCCTCTCTGACCTTTTCCTATTTGCATGGATGCTGTTGTTGAGGCTTTTTGCTGACCTAAAACATCCTTTTATGCACATTGTATATGTTATACATTGCGAGGGCATGTTCCCAGGGTAGTTGGTGCCATATATTTTGTTTTGTTTTTATGGTGCAAGGTTATATGAGCACTAAAAAGAGTGATGTTGATATTAGATATACAGTGAAATGCTTTAAATGTAGCAGTGTGTTAACTGACTACAGCAGTAGAGGTTGTGCAGGGTGTCTTTGTCCACTACACAGCCTCAAGAACAATGATGACTTGACACACGTTTGAGTTTTGTCTTTGGTATAGCTGAATACTTTAAAAACTAGTGATGTCTCATTCTCTCTTTTCCTCTCTCTGTTTCATGGTCAAATCTCAGTCTCTCTGCATCTTATTTTAATGTGAGTGCTTTATGGTCTGGCGCCCCCTAGAGTAGAAAGTTGCACATAGTTTTGCTAATATGCCAATTTAGTGCCACTCTCATCATTCCGGCAAAATTACATAGTATGATTTAGATTTTTGGCTTTTAGATAACGATTAGTAAAGAACAACAAAATAGATCTTTAGAATACATTAAAATTACATAAGTTTTCACACATTTGTGAACTTTGTAAATTTGGAATCACACATGTCTGTAGGTACATTTGAGTGGCTGTATCTCCATGCATAGTAAGTTTAGCATTACATTTTTCACAGAAGTAACATTTTATTGTTTTTCTTCTGTTCTCATAGTTTATTCCATTCAGTCCTAAAAGTATTGAGCCATATAGAAGCAGTTTTGTAAGAGCAGCTAATGCAGTGAGATCAAACTGATGTATTAGTCTCACATGGTAACTAAGATTGCTACAGGGCCCCCAATGGTCACTTATTAGATAAAAAGCCATCCGTGGTTTAATAAAGGTCATTATTTTGTTTTCATTCTAATTTGTTATTCTTACACATAATTCTATGTCTCCTCAACTGTTTGTTTCCTTTTTTATTATGAAGCTTACTCAGAAATTATTCAGTTCAATTTATGCTGCTAAACTGCACGGTGCGTATTGTTGTATATTTTAAAAACCTACGTTTAACTGCAATTTTTGTTGCATTTTGTCACATTTAGTTACTTGTTTTCTTCTTTTCTACTTATGTTACCTGTAAGTGCTTGCATTTTGTTGCATTTAGTTAATTGTTTGATTTATTTTATGTTAGCCTTTATTTTATTATTTATTTTATTTTATTTTATTTTATTTTATTTTATTTTATTTTATTTTATGTGTGTCACCTTTGTATTGAAACTGTTGCACATAATTTCCCTCTGGATAAATAAAGCTTATTGAATCTTGAATCTTGAAATGTCTATAGCAGGTGCAATAGTGGATGGTATACGTACTTAAGCACAATTTTAAAGTACTTGTACTTAACTTGAGTATGTCCATTATATTCTACTTTTCTACTGGTTCTGCTCCATTGCAGTTCAGAGGAAAATACTGAGCTTTTTACAGTTATTATACAGCAATAGTTTTACTTCTAAAAACATATGATTTTATAAATGATGGTGCGTTGTTGCAGATGAAACAACTAGACTTCAAAATACTGTGAAAGTCTCTCATTATTTTGAGAAAGTTTGTCAAGTTCTTATTTTGAGATACTAAGTTAATATTTTGAGAAAGTTCCTCATTATAATGACTTACAGAATCCCTTTTTCTCTCTCCTCACATTGGCAGAAATTGGCTTCCATAGAGGGGACCACTGTTGACACCTGGGCTTTCATAACGCACTGTGACTGAGCCAATAAACTTTCTGGTGTGGTACCTTATCACGCATATATATATATATATATATATATATATATAATATATATGCGTGATATATATATACAACCTTTGTCTTTAAAGCGATGGGCTGCAGCTGACGTAGGCTCTGCGTGGTCCGCTTCCGCAAAACTGAGAAAAAAATAAAAAATAAAAGGAAAAACTATTGGCTCTTGCGGGCTCCAACATCTGTGCAGCCGGCGTCGGATCGTGCCCCCCCCACCCGTCGCCTTCTTAACTGTCAGCTCCGCATTACCTCACTCGTGGCACGGCCTGCCACTTACCCCTGCAGTTTAACTTTAGCGTGCATGCTCTGTCTCTCTCCCTCTCTCTCTCCCTCCCTCTCTCCCTTTTCCTGCTATTACGTCCGCTGCTGGTAAAGACGCGGAGACAGAGTGGGCTGGGGGGGAGGGGGGATGTACAATTAAGAGCACATTGTAACGTCCTTGCGTTGCCTTGCCGTGGCGGAAGAGGAGTGTGCCGTGAACGCGAATGACCGTCGGTGGACGAGAAGAGGATAGACAGAGAGAGATAGGGCTAGGAAGAGAGAGAGAGAGAGCGAGAGAGAGAGAGAACGAGAGAGAGAGAGAGGGGGGAATCACTCAAGATGCCTCGTTTTAGCGTAATTTGTCCTGCAGACTGTGCCCTTCCGGCTTTTTGAGGGCTGCTGTGTGAGCCTAGAGAGAGAGAGAGAGAGAGAGAGAGAGAGAGAAAGACAGAGAGAGAGAGAGAGAGAGGCTGGCTGGCTACGCTATGCTGCCTGACCCTGCTGTGTTGTGATAGCGTTGTCCGATTGTTTGGATTGAGGAAGGCTCCCATCAACCCAAATCAATGAGGATTCTGAGGCCATTCCTTCAGAAAGGAGCGCATATGCTGCAGTGTTTCTGTGGACAACGATCGAAGTCGACCACTATCACCAACGGTGAGAGACAAACATAGATAGCACCATAGCTTTATGGCTACCTTTCCCTTTGCATGCTTTCTCTCTTGAGTGATGGAGGAAGAAAAAAAGAGAGAGAAAAGAGGGGGAGATGTAGAGAGAGGGGAGGAGGAGAGAGGGGGGGTGGGTTGGGAGGGAAGGAAGGAAGGAAGGGGGGTGAGTGGTTTCATTGGCCACTCGAGTGTGTGAGTAACATCTTCCGAGTCTGCAGTGGAGAGAGCTTCTCCTTGTGCTCCTTGTGTGCATCTGTCCCGAGTTTTAGTGTGCGGGTATAGCTGCTGGCAGTCAGCATCCAGCCGCACTGCTCCTGAGGAGGAGAACTGGGCTCCAGTTACTTTACCCAGACCAGAGCTATATTTTGCAGACGACCGCGTTCCAGTGCTGCATCCGAAGCGGGCCAAAAAAAAAAAAAAAGGACAATGCAGGGATCAAGTCATTAAACTTCAGGGGCCTGGAAGGGCCCCAAAACGAAGCAGCTGGGCTTCAGCACCACGGATAGCGCCACAGCAGAAGTGCTCCAGGGCAGAGGCTCCCAAACTTTTTGCGTTTAGCCAGATTCATATCAAAGCAGGAACCCAGATTGATTCTATTTTGTCTTGATTCTGTTTGACAAAGAGTTAAATGTCAATTTGAAACTACCTCTTCTCTTGTGAATAATTGTAATTGGATATCAGTTGAAAGTATACCTTTTCTTCCTGAAATGAAACTAACTCCTTATGTTGGGGCCTGTCAAGGACCTCGTGGAAGTCCCAAAACTCCACTTTGGCTTTAGCTACTTTAATGGACGTTGAAAACCAGACACTGATAGTTTACCCTCACCTGGAGAACAAACGTTACTTTTGAAAGTGACTTACTTTGCCATATGTCCACTATAAAACATGCCCCAGTAATGTGTAGTCTCAATGACACACACACACACACACACACACACACATGCTCATACACAACCAGCACTCAACAGTGTTTTGGCAATAAGCCTAAGATTCCTGCCATGTCCTCTATAGTCATGTCTCAGCAGTTCACTGCATTGCTGCTGTTGTTCACTCATAACATAACAAGATCTCCAAAGTCATTAAAAAAACATCCTTCCAGAGCCAGACAAAATGTCGTTTTACTGAGAGACAAATGCAACACCTTCTCCTGTGTCCTCCCATCATTTGCAATGCTGTAGGATCTCCAGTAGTTTCAGCTGGAGCAGGCTCTCAAATTCAGGGCAGACAATTAGAAACTCCATTAAGCACAGTTGATTCCTCTGAGGTAGTTGGACCAAAAGCAGCACGCACACTGGGATCTGTAGGACTCGGATATAAAGCGCCACCGGTCCTTATCCTGCATCTCTGTTCACTGTTAGATGAACCTTATGACCTCAATCAAAACCTTATGAGTCATCTCACAGGTGTTGACACAAAAGGATGCTATGCATGAATGCAGAAATCTAGTTCACCCTATTTGCGATGAAGCAGCGTCGGGTGAAGGCTTTGTTTGAAGTTTGCTCCATGTTTATTTCAACTTGTGTGAGCCAGTTTACAAGTCTTTTTCTGTTTGATTCTGTTTTTGAATTGTTGTGGTTCTTTTGCAAGAACTCCTAAAGCAGAGTTCCACTGTGTCTTTGCTGCTCATCCAAGACTATAAACATCATCATAAAAATATTCTAATACTCTTTTTGCAAATCTGAACTTGTCTGTCTATTGTTCGTCAGCAGTTATACATTATTCACTCAGTATAAGTAAAGCACCTATCAGAAAAAGAGGGATCATACACGTAACTTTTCAGAGGCAGGGGCCACAACCGCGGCTGGTAATCTGTCTGCACCATTCATTGCTCTTGGTGACGTTAGCTCGTATAAGATAATGTTAAGCAGGAAGAGCAGAGGGTGTTTTGCGCTCCAGATTCAGGAACTATGCCAAATTTTACCCCCTGGGGATTTCTGTTGAAAGATGTTTCTGAGTAGGCTTAAATCTTTGCACCTGCTTTCCTTTGTAGTGTCAAGTTTGCACCTGGCTATAAGTTAAATACAGTAGTTGGGGTGTCCTGTATTGCAGCAGCATGCTGGTATTGTGGGTGGCATCGTGGAGAAGCAACCATTAACAAAAGCTAATAAGATAATGTTTATTTCTTATGATGCCACTCTGATAGTTGTCATTCTGTCAGTTTCCTTGTGGCTGTTGGATCATTGTAACATCAGGTTTCATTGAAGTAACTTTTAGTTTTATTCTTTCGAGTCAATCCTGATGTCTCTGTGTGGCATTTTTAGCAGAATCAAACACCCAAAGCCAAACTATTTAGCTTTCTTGTCGAGCACCATTTATTTCAATTACTAACCTAATAGTCTTAACTAACAGTTGGTTGTCATCTCTCTGCTCATGTTTGTCTGGTTTTATGGCTTTTGTTAGAACAACACTAAGATTCGTTGTTGAAATTGTTTATTGAGTGATAAATGTTGGAAAATGATCTGTATGGATCTTGCCTGTTCTCATTTTGCTGCACTAAATCCAATTCAGATTTATTTTTGTTTTATCCCTACAACTTGGGCTTTGTGCAGTTAAAGTATATACCCATCACACTAGCTCTAATCACACAGTAAGCTGTGTAATTTGTGTTGGTGTAGTGTAAATGTGGTAATGAGCACTCTGTGTGAGCCACAGCATTGCACTTACTCTCACACATCTCTCGCCTTTGCCTCCTGGAGACTTGGCAAGATAGTTTAGCATACATTACACAATGAAAACTAGTTTCAGCTATTGTGAGTCAACACATCTGTGAGGTATCTCAAGGACACATTAGAGTGACAACCTTGTCTACTAGTGTCTCTCTGAACACCCGTGGTTCATTCTTATTCCACAAGGTGGCAGCAGGCATAAAGAAATGACTGGAAGTTACTCCTGCAGTGGTGGCATCTGAAAGAGGGGCCACAGAGATGCTGGGCTTTTGGTTTGTTTCTTTTAGTTTTCAGAGGTATTAAGTTCCGTGTACAGTGTGTGCATCATGGTACATACTTTGATCTAGCACAGTTAGACGAACTGAAAACACACTCAACACATTTAATGCAACATGTTTGCTTGATTTTTTACACATAATTCAGAATCTTTCTTCCATGAAGACAAGTGACACGCTGGGGATCAAAAAACATTTAAAAATGTCAACATCATCCTGTTTGTGTAAATGAGCGAGCCATTTTAATTGACAATTCGAATGATTGCTATATATTGCCTGCAGTGCATTTCATAGCAGCAGTGTTTTATCGCTCGTGGACGTATCTCAGCTGGGATGAAGTGAACATCAATTGTCTCTGGTAAAGGGAGGGTGCCTAGCAGATCCTCATTAGGGAATACTTTATCTTTCCCTGACAAAGATGTATGTGCTATGTCTTCACAGCACTGTACCGCAAAATCCCTCCCATTTCTGAGAAAGCTCACAAACCACCAGATTTTCTAAGAAATGTATATCACACTCCTGCATATCCGTTAGAATGATTGATGTTATATTGAAATTGCTATTGATATTTTTTATGCTGCAGTGACATATTCATTTCTACCACTCACTGGCAACTCAATAAGAATACAAAGCTAGATTAAGGGTTTTGATTTAGACTCCAACCTTCAGTTTCTAACTTTTCTTTTGCTATCTGTATTCTATCTATCTATGTATCTGTCTGTCTGTGGGAGAAGAAGTCTCTCTCTCTCTCTCTCTCTCTCTCTCTCTCTCTCTTTCTCTCTCTCTCTCTCATGCACACCCAGGGACAGACATGCAGAAACACACAAAGGGCTAACCAGGATACCAGTTTCACACTCAACACTTTCATCCATTACATCCAAATCTTATGTAAGGGGGGGGCTGCAGACAGTGGTAGTCAAAAGAAAATCGTCTCCCTCTCCCTGTCTCTCTCTCCCTCCCCGAGTTCGGTTGGAGAGAGAATGTCAAACCGAGTCCTAGAAAAAGCCTCTAAATGTTTCATGCTGTTTCATCACAGGGAAGAGAGAGGTTTTGCTGTGCTGCTGAAGACTCACGTGTTCTTCCTCCCACAGTGAATGTGTGCGTGTGTGTGTGAGTGTGGTGTGTGTGCTCCCCAGCCCATGCAATAATAAACATGAAACCAGAGGCATTCTCACAGACAAATGCTGGTACACACACACGCACACACACGTTTGCAGGACAATTTGGGGGATTTTTACCTTTTATTGTGATGAAGAAGATCACTCCATTAAATCCAGTGAAAACAGAATCATTCAGTTGGTTTGCATTTATGCCCAGATGTGATGGCAGAATAATGCTCTCTACGTGCATATACATCCATGTGTGCTCTTCCTTCCTCCTGCAAAGAGTCCTAAGGGCAGGATTTTTAAAGCTTTGGTGTTACAGTATTATTCATGGTTTGTGAAGAACTATTGTGCTGCTGGTGAAGATGTTATTTGTAATGTTTTGGTGTGTTTTTGGTGTGTCATGGGCAAGTCCATTTCATTTCCATAAGCCCTAAATCACACATACATGTGTTGTGTCACTGTCTGGGTCTTCAGTGTACCATTTGTGTTTTGGGGGGTGTGCAGAAACCTGTTGCAGGTAATCCTTTTAGCCAGATTGAATATGTTCTTTATGGCATGTGTGGGGTGCCACGGGGGCTTTAGAAAATAAAATGCGCGCTTATGTCCCGTTAAGTATAAGCTATGAGGATAAGAATGTAGTAGCCTATCAACCAAAGCTGATTAAGATTTATCTTTTTCATGCACACTGCTCTCAGAACAGTTCACTGCGGCCCCCTTGCTCCCCGACGTGCCCCTGAAAACTGGCTCGCAACTTCGGATTTTAATTGTAATTCAAAGAGACAATTGCGAGATCCCCCCCCCCTTTCAGACACAGTATCCCAAAGGACTAGAAATCACGCGCACCCATTTTTCCCTGCATAAACAATCGACCCAGCATTCCCCCACTTTACCCCCTTTTTTTATGCAATACATTAGCATCTTTCCTTCCTGGAGATCATCTATCTTTACGCATGCGATCTCTCCTCCGAGAATTCCTAATACGAACCTCAATCACGTATGATTGCGTTAAAAGAGTTGAAGAGGGAGTGAGGGGGGTGAGAGAAAGAGAGAGGGAGAGGGAGAGAGAGAGAGAGAGAGAGAGAGAGAGAGAGGAGGCTAAGGACCGCGACCGTCCAGTCTCTCGCTGTCGGCGATATAACACACCGACAGCATCCATTCGGGACACGCTTGGAAATAATGCTTAGTGCTACTTTATTATTTGTGCACTACAACAAAAAGCACTCCGGCGTGTGTCCGCCTCAACTAATTGTTGCTTTTACAGACGAGAATCCCTCCCTGCAGGCTTAAATTACATCTCTGCAGCATCCTTGCAGAGTAGCCTCTGCTGCCGATTCCGTTTTTTTTTCTTCTTCCCCGGCTGCATTTAGAAGGTGCCATCGACAGAACCGGAGACTGGGCTCACGGTTATCCCGGGCTCCCGCACAGCCTCCTTTCCTGGACCAGCAGCGGACTGTCTCATTCATCGATGTGAGATGGAGTAAATAATTAGAAAAAAACAAACGAAAAAAACCAAAAAAAAAGTTAGGATCCTTCTCCAGCCAAGCACGAGGGGGTCTTATGCATGGATTTAGGTTGATGCGAATTATTAAAAAAAAAAAAAGGCGTCAGGAAGCCAGAGGAGAGAGGCTGGTGTGCAGATGAGGATTACGAAGTCGTTCTCGTCAGACGCGGCACCGTCCACCTGGAATACCTGAAGCTCTCCCATGACACACATCTGCATCAACTTATCAAGACTGTTGCATGTATTCAGGACTGATATGTCGGCCCCTGTGGCCTAGCCCGTAGGTGTATGTTTTATATGAGATCGGTCGTTGTTGATTCGAAGCCCTGAGTGCCATAAACTCGCAGCAGCTGAATTATTACACGCTACTGCCCCCCCACCCCCCCCTTGAAGAGGATGCTGCCCGAAGCGCAATGATGCCCGCCTGGACTCAGGAGGATTTTCTGATCAGGATGACATTTGGTTGACAAACCCCCCCTCGTGGAACCTGAAACACAACAAACAACTCTCTGGTCTTTTTTTTTTTTTTTGCGCCAAGAAGCTGCACCAAGATCCGACCTCCGCCGAACTAGACTCTCGGTTTTTCAGACTCGGTTCGGGGAGATGGCCGCGATCGCCAGCTCCCTGATCCGGCAGAAACGCCAGGCAAGGGAGTCGAACAGCGACCGGGTCTCTACTTCGAAACGTCGCCCCAGCCCCAGCAAAGACCCCCGCTCTCTCTGCGAGAGGCATTTCTTGGGGGTCTTCAGCAAAGTCCGTTTCTGCAGCGGCAAGAAGAGACCCGTGCGGCGGCGACCAGGTCAGTGCTGTAGTGTAGATTTTTTTTCTCCTTTTTTTTTTTTTAAACTGATGTGTGTTATGTGTGCGTATGGAAGCGGTTTTCCCCGAACCCCCCACCCCACCCCGCCCCTCTTTGGAGCAGCGGAGGCATTATACTGCAGTCAAGGGCTCCAATCTGAACCGGAGGAGAAGGTAGATTTTCTCCGCGGTGCGAAAAAAATCCACCTGTTCCATTAGATCTTCCTGTTGTCTGTCGATCCACTGCACGACACAACCCTACCCCCATTTACAGAAGAGCAGCCTGAATATATAGGAAATTATCTATATGCTGTGACGCCCCCCCCTTTCTTTTACTGCCCTGATCAGAATAATCAATAAACCTGGAACAGAACTGATGCTACTGTATCCCAGTCAAATCTTGAGTAGGTTTTGTTCCAACAGCTATATAATATATTTAAGCCTTCGATTATGCACACTTGATTTTTGCACCCCTCCTCCCCCATTCCTCCCCCCCAAACACACACACACACACACACACACACACACACACACACTCACACATACACTCTTGAATACCATCAAAAAAGGCTGCTTTAAATTGCCTAATTCAGTATAACTGTAGATTGGGGTACAGAGGGGAGATAAGTTGCACCGCAGTGCACCAAGGCTCTTTTGAGATTAAATGTTTTAATGGTAAATGTTTATTGCAGAGAGGGAGCTTTACTGCAGTGAAGGGAGGTATGGCTGTAGTGATTAAGAGCTACTCTGGCTGTATTGATAGACATAGGCTCCGTGCCTACTACACTCAAAGGTACAGCCTTCCCCTCTTTTATTCTCCTAGAGTCTGTCCGTGGCGCACAGATAACAAGCCAGCGGTGCAAGTCGCCCCTCTCCGAATCCAGATATATCTGTCGTGTGATGGACGACAGTCAGGTCCTCTCATAGTCCTGCAAACAGACTGATGAGGAATGAGGCAGGAGGACAGACAGGCATCAATTTTTAAGGCAGAAAGGGAGACAGACACCCACCCAGTCAGACAGACTAAATTAAATCCCTGTCGTCTCACAGCCTCATCAGACAGACAAACAATCTCAGCGGCAAAAACTGCCACAAAATGCCTGAATAGAGACATGAGCAGACAGACAGACAACAAGGCAGTCAGGCCTCCAGACACTGTTGGGCAGGTAGGTAACTCCTTTCAACTGACACATACATGGCCAGACAGAGAGCACATAGACAGACAGACAGGCAGACAGACAGATGCTGTATTTCCTCTAATTGATCATCTTTATATTTCTTGCCATATATTTGCATATAAACAGCCGATACACTGGAGAATTTATGAATTCTGCCTGTTTAAAAGACTGTTGTTTTTCCTTCTATTCCCCCCCCCTCGTAAGATGCACCCTCGAAACCTCCACAGGTGTCCCATAAGGGCTGCAGGCTAGGTCAGTAGCTCAGCCTCCATCCGTGTGTGCTGTGTTTCTTCTCGTCTCCACCCCATCTCGCGCCCATGTCGACTCCCCCTTGGCCAGGGAGGGGGGAGGGGGAGGTGGGGAGTGGGTGGGCTGGGGAGGGACAGAGAGGGTGGGAGGGGCGGGGGGCTTTCAACACCTGTCTGACAGCCGACGACCCTCTCCCCTGCTGACTTCTTCTTTTTCCTTTCATCCCTCCTTCTGTGTGGCTTTCTTGGATTTTTTCAAGCTTAATTTCGTACCTGTTTTTTGTTTTATTTTTTTTCTCTCGTAGCTAAAGCTCTCCTGTAGCCGGTCGTTTTTGTCGCTCCTCTGTCTCTTTCCTCTCTGTCTCTGGCTCTGCCTCTCCTCATTTTGTTTCTGCCTCATTCTCTTTGTCAGTCAATGTCGGATCAGTCTTTATCCTCGCTCCTTGTTCTTTGTCTGTAAATATGTGTCAAGTACTTCTGTGTAAGTGTAGTAGAGGTTCTTATTGTAGTGTACGTTGGTGTATATGGATATGATGTGTTCCTCCCTGTCAAACACTATATCAGAACAGGTGATCATTCACCATTTCATGGTCATGACGCCATTTGTCGACGTACCTAAATGTTTTTGTCCTTCTGTATTGGTATGAAGTAAATTTATTGACGTTTTAATGGCCCATACACACATACAAACACACAGGATGATCTACTCTATGTTGCCACTGAAAGACATTTTTCATGCACAAGCACATGTTGTACGCTCTGGAGTTCAGCCTGTTTATATCTGCGCGCACATAAACACACACAGTCCACACTCTCTCCTAAATGATAGGAACTGATGAGCCGTCAGCGACTGCTCGGGCCGCATGTTGATGCCTTAATTTATGAGTGTGTAGTTATCACATGTGATTTACTGATGTGTACACACCCATGTGCTTTCACACACATAAGCAGACACACACACACACACACACACACACACACACACACAGTCTCCTCACCCTGCCTGTGATGGATGATGAAGGGCCAGTCCCAGAAATTGATGGCCCCACTCCGGGGTTAGGTGAGTTGGGGACTCATGGTCAGGATGATGCACAGTTGAGGTGAACACACTCTAGCTGGGGGTCTCTACTCAGTTTAGTCCTTCCACGGGCTCTCTTCTCGACACACTTGTCCTCTGTACAATATAAACAGAGCATATGCACCAGTAATTATTTAATCAGTTTTCAATTAAAGACTTAGCATCTGCTGTTACTGTTGAAAACAGATCCGGCTAAAACTTGGATCTTTTTTTCTCTCTCCTCATACCAAGTTTGAAAATGCTTCTTTCTGCCAGATCATTTGGGATTTTTTTGTGCCTGACTGGAAGGCACTGACTTGCATGACCTCCAAGTCTCGTTATGACCTTGGAGGACAGTCAGGCTCACTCATATTCCTTTACTCCAACCACATACATCATGTTGTGAGCCCTGCAAAGCAAGCATTGTCAGTTTGTCAGTTACTGAATGTTTATTTGGCCACATAAAATGAAAGTGAACCGCAACTCAATTGTGACAAAATGCATAATTTGTTTCTTTTGTGAGAATAAAGAGCGACCGAGCGAGAGAATAAACAAAGGATTAGTGACATCCAGCGTCTGAGTTGCTGTCTGATTTCAATAGAGCTTGTCTCAAAATCTCTGCCATTGCAAAAACAGCACATTACTGTTCAGCAGTGTTTCATTATTCACTGTAAACCTTAAGAAAAATATGACTGTATTAGTCACATACACACTATCTCTTCTTTTATGTGCACTCAAAATGAGTGTCATAAATCTTAAAGCTTCACCTCTCCAGCTTTTCCTTGTCACAAGCCACAACCCGAGTCTTGTTTATGCTAATGGTGTCATCTGACTCTGGCTACCGTTTCTACACAAAATCAAAAGACTTGCCGGACATTAGACAGGCCGTGGAGACAGCACACACATTTTCCCTCAGACAAACAGTTTTTCACACATTTCTTTTCCTGGCATTGCCTGAGGCCAAGAGGCTTTCTTTGCCCCGAGCTAATCCTCGTTTCCACCTGCTCCCCTGAAGTGTTGAGCACTTCGAGCAGCGCTCTGGCCCGGCGCCAGATGTCACAGCCTCAAAGTTGGAGGTCGGTTCAGGGTTGTTGCAATGAAAAATAAAAGAAACTCTACAAAACTTAGGTCAGTTTCCTTTAGGTCAAGAAAAAGCACTGGAATCCTTTGAGGTGAACCTGTTGCCTGTAAAGAGTAAATGTCATTGAATATCAGTGATATCAACCCAAATATGCACAGTTGCTTCATACCAAATAAAGAAACCATTGGCATGTCAGTGTACATTACAAAGTGATTTTAAAAGGGTTTCCAAATGATGCAAATCGTTCATTTTCTGTATTAGACACAGTAAGATATTATGAGAAAGTACTCATTGATACTCATTGATTTTCTGTCACGGTGTTCCCATTGTAAAGGCCTTCCAGTCAAACAGCTGTTTACCCTATTTTGGGGATTATTTGGTACAACAGACGACTTGTTATAAACTGTCCATCATAGTCATATTGATATTCAGCTGGACTGAAGTGGTTCTAGTGCTGTAAGTTTGAGTTTTCTTTTTGTTAGCAGAGATCTGCGGAGGCTAGATTGTGCCACAAGAACAATAAGACTGTTTCAGAGTGTCATTTTTTAAATTGATGATTATAACTGAGTATTTAATTCATATATTTAGAGATTCCCTTCATAAAGTTATGAATTAATTTTGTATTTAAATTCTGCAATGCAAAAACTGTTTTTTATAGGCTTTAAAATATCTGACAGGAAAACACACCAGTAAATGCAATTTAAAGGGTGAAAAGTCTATAATTGTTGTGCTGGTACACTCCATCTTCCACAGCCAACTTGTCTTTTTTTAATTAATTAAACACCGTGCATTTTATGTTCGTGAAACATTTGTTCGTATAACATTTCAGCATTTTAAAATGCTTGTTAAGAACAGCTGTGAGTGTGCAAACACGTAGCTGAAGGCAGACGCATCAATTCTTTTGTGTGTTTTGTTTACAATTATGAGGAGGTTGCTCTGACATATTCTTGGTGGGGTTGGGGCTGTGGTTTGGCCGACAATTTGTGTGTACGCGTGTGTGTTGTGTGTATGTGTGTGTATGTGTGTGTGTTTCAGAGCCGCAGCTGAAAGGCATCGTGACACGACTGTTCAGCCAGCAGGGCTTCTACCTGCAGATGCAGCCGGATGGAACCATTGACGGCAGCAAGGACGAGAACAGCGACAACAGTGAGTGGAGCATTGTGGAAGCTGCAGCTTCCAGCATAAAACATTTAATGGCAATGAGTCACTTGGTTATATAATATATTACCAATTTTATATGCAGTGCTTAATCATTTTTAATTCCTGTATAACTGATGCCAGTCTAAAGAACGCCAAAATCAGTTTAAGATGCCCTTGTTGAATTGGATTATCGCTACAAAAAAAACTACAATTTTAAAGGGAACTACTCCACAAGGCAGAATGCCCTCTTTTCTACATCTGGTTATGCAATAGTATGCATGAGATATAACTGTAGACATAAATGTGTCAAAACATCCTCAGATGGTTTATGAATTCCTACCCAGTCTCCTCAAAATATACCTTTCACAGTAAGTAAATACAATATTTATGGAGCATCTTGCATCAAAATTTCTATCCCTAAGTGAAATTAATTCCAATATCCCTGCCCTGGTCTCTCTATGTAAACCATTTCTACTGTGTACACTGCATGATTGCAAGTGTCACATTGTTTTGATTGATTCAGCTCTGAAGTGTGTGGTTAATATTACAGCAAGAAATTCTCTTCCAGGAAAAACTCATTACCTAAAACAACCGTAGCCCCACAGCTTCCCTCCTTGTCATGGAGATCCCTGCGTGAGCCTCTTCTTTGCAATGTTTCACCACCGATCGACATTCCATAGTGGACTACCAGTGGATAAATAGTCTCCAGGGTATAGTCCCTTCCTCTCTCACAGGAACAGAAATCAGCAGAGTCTGTAGACAGTCTTCTATTTTAAAATGTATAGGCTTTTGTAACACTTTCCTAGGGGAAGTGAAGGATCAAGGAAGAGATATATGTCAACGGAGAATGGTCGCCAAAGTGATAATGATGACACTCCTAGTCTGGAGTGAAGCCAGACAGGAAACCAATCATGACCTTTCTTCTCTAAAACATCCTGCCAATCTTAAATGAAGCCAAAGCCAAAGCTGCTGGACCGTAGCAGTCATGCGGTGAAAAGAACGGTTTCTCCCTGTCACTCATCATTTTATATTTTATGAGGGGACAGATCTTCAGTGAGAACTACTTATAGTGTAAATGAGGGGTCTTCAGAACAAGAGAATTAGGAAGAAAGTTAAAAACGTGTTGCTGCCTTTTTTTTTGAGCCTCCATTGTGTCCAAGGGTTTTTGGCTGATGAGGTTTTTGTTGTATGTGAGGGTTTCCCCACCTCTAGGTAATCCTCTTGTTAAGCAGTCCCACTTGCCCAGGGATGGAGGAATGCAGTGAATAATTCAGCCACAGGAAACTAAAAATACCCCCTTCTCCATTTGTACCCAATGAATAATTCTCTATATGTGATGCCTCAAGCTCAGAGACAGTCCGAAGGAAGACACAGAAAGAGAGCAGAGGGGAGCGTGAGTGAAGTGTTTTGAGGAGAAAAATGGAGACAAAAAGCGTGAATGACAAAGAGACAGTGATTAAGAGAGAAATAGAAATGGACGTAGTAGCTTTGGTATTCAGCTCTTGCACTGATCTATTGATTGCCCGGCTAGATTATTAGAATAATAGATTACCCCCACCCTTGAACCGCGCCACCCTCTGACCTGCAGCATCCTCAGCAACAGCAGATGGAATACAGTAATTTATTTTCAGGGGGAGGTTCAGTGAAACCGATGGGATTGAGGAGCATGATGTCGCCTGCATACTAGGTGCGACCTGAGCCCAGAGTGCGTTTTCAATTCCATATTTTATTATTTGCTGTATTACTGTGCTGAATGACAACAAGTGCTGAGACAAGGACACAAATGAACAGCAAAATATTTTTTTGCAAGAGAAATGCATAACAAATAAGTAGAATTTGGCTTTACTAAAATCATAGACTTCTGAATTTTAAGACCCAAAATATTCAGTAATTTGCGAGAAGTAATAGAACAGATTGTTGCTGCAGTACGTGAGGGTGTTTTTGTGGTAAACCTGGCTGACTGGCAGAGCTACGCTTAACTAACTGCAAGGGCTATGAAACACCATTCAATTAATTAACACACATGTTCAAATTTGAGCAGCTCTTAATTTGATTGTCATCAGTTGATTGCCTGAAGTAATTACCTGCACACTCTGAAGCTCTAGAAAGATATTGCTGGTTATGAGACACCTGCGGTTTCTGGTGTTCACACTCTGCCGGTCTCTGATGCTCCTGGTTGATGGATGAGATGAAGCAAGACTTTTTTTATTAGCTGAAGACCAAGTCACTAATGTCAAGTACTTTATCAACTCTGGCAGGGAGAAGGAGTTTCACCAAAACTGAATTAAAGACTAAGACTATTAAACATTGTATTTAAGAACACGGACTGTACACTATATACCAGCACTCCCATCTTTGGATTTGCATTTCTCTGGATTTGGAGGCATGCCCTCGGCATTTGGAGTTTGGCTCGGTATTTTTCCAAACCTTTCCTTCAGGGTTCATTTCCTGCTGCGCCTGTATCCCTCACATCAAATGCACTTCCTTTAGCCTACCTGCAGGATTTGCTTTTAGCCGATTACTGCTCTACTGGACTCGCCGTTTCAAGGATTTGGCTTTATTGGGTTGTTTGAGCCCACCTTGTCTGGCCCTTTGAGGATAGAAGATCCCTGGAAATCTCTTAGCTCTGTCCCTGCACCAGCCCAGTCATGAGAGATTTGGATTGAGGCTATTAAGGAAGAGGAATCACCTTCAGAACAGTCATCAGGTACTCTAACAGCAGTCAGTGCAGCTGTAATTATGGAATCCATCAACTGCTGTAGCTGCAAAATAGAAAAGCAGAACATTTAGAAAGTAGCTGAATGACAGCACCGGTCAGTTGTGTAATATTTTGGCAAGCAAATGAGAACAGGGACGGGCAGAACATAATTATAGCAAAATAATGTACAAGCAAGCCATATTGTCTGTTTCTTTACCTCCCACTTTTCAAGCCAAGCTATTTTGGTGACTTTTTTAGGGTCCTATTGCAAGTATGACTGCTCAGAAAAAGGTAGAATATGTTTTGATAGGTGGTGGTGCTCTGGGGCGGAACACTCCTGGGTTTTAGAAATACGTGACAGAACTGTGGACAGTGCCTCTGAGAGACACTGCCAGTCATTGGAGCGACAAAGGCAGCAGCTATGAAAGGCAAATGGAAAGAAGAGTAAGGGAACGTACAGACGGGAAAGAGTGAGTTATGACGGAGAATCAGAAACAAGAGGTGATAAAAAAAGAGAATGAGAAGCCTGAGAAAACAAAATTCAAGGTACTAATGGACAGACATTCTGCCATTATAGGCCCAAACAACGGTCCCTCAAGGGTATAAGTAAGTGCAAAAGCGGCCAGTGTGTATCACCGTACCAGTGGCCTGAGGGCAGCGTTAGACCATTGGCAGGCGAAAGCAGCATGTCGATATTTATTGAGTGAAATTGAATCTGCTTGGAGGACAGACCCGTGTTGGCACGTCTCCTCTCGTCCCCACCAGCTTTATCTGATAGTCCCCATCACCACCTGCAGAACAATCATCCCAACAATACAGGGAGCCTGCAGAACGTAAAGTGTCCTCACACCTTCACCAAACCGCAGCCCATGAAAGTCACAGCTCAGTCCTCAGATTCAATGGAACAGAGGTAACTAATTCATTCGTAGGAGCACTAAGTCGAATAGAATAAGACTTGTTGTTTACAGAATCTATAAATCTTCTTAGATGCCAAACATCTTGAGACCAACGACAGTGGCTAGTGGCGTCTGACATACTAATTTTAGATTTTTTTTACATCCTGGATAGCTTACAACCATTTCGGATATTTCACATGAGAGATTTCTGTCTGTGCTGTTTTGTCAGAGCTAAAGGGGTTGTTTGCAGATTTTTTTGCAGGGCCACTAAATCTGATCAAACCACATCAACACATTCCTGATGGAGCAAATGATTATTAGTGTTACGTTTTGATTAAATATATAAAAGTTTTTTTTCTGAACTAAAATTTTCACAGTTAATTATTTAATCATGATTATTATATGTTAGAGAAAAGTTTTTCTTTTAAGATTGGCACAAGGCTCGTTTCTCTTGGAATAGCGGCTCGCTAATGCCAGTTACGTCAGTTCAAGCCAGAGCTTATACAAAAAGTAGTGTGAAATTACTTTATATACTACTATAGGTCATCCTATGCTACTTTAATGATTTAATGATTATGACTTTAATGATTTATCATTAATGTTTCACTGTCACGCTGACGTGCGTCAGTGTTCCCGTTGTCCATGTCCTGTGCTGTTCACTTTACTGCTGACAGATAGCCAAAGAACAGACATCCGAGGCTGTCGTGTCTACAAGAGTTAAGTGAAAACTCAATTGTCCTATTCTGTCCTTTCTGTCTGATGTCTCTCCTTTTTCCCTGCCTCTTTGTATCTGTCTGACCCACTCTCCCTCCCTCTCCCTCACTCTGTCCACTCTGCAGCCCTGTTTAATCTTATTCCTGTGGGTCTGAGAGTGGTGGCCATCCAAGGAGTGAAGAGTGGCTTCTACATTGCTATGAATGGCGAGGGCATGCTCTACAGCTCGGTAAGGCACAACCCCTTGCACCAGTTAGACACTTGTTAGGTCGTGCATGTGTTTGTGTGTGTGTGTGTGTGTGTGTGTGTGTGTGTGTGTGTGTTTGTGTGTTACAAGCATGTGTATTTGTTCATTTACAAGTGTTGTGTTTTGTTCAGTTTGTTGTCTCTTTTAATATCCCACTGCAGCAAAGACTCAGCCCTTCCAAACCCTTTCATCTCTGCTCTATTCGAGAGCTCTTCAGATGTGCCTTTGTGTTACTGTGCAGCACTTATTCCCCCCCTTTGTTGTTGAAGCAGCACTGTGCATGTTTTACATTTAATTTGACATCAAGTTCAGTGCTCAGCCCTTTTTAAAATTGGTTCTCTTCTTTTAAGGGCTACTATCGGAGGCTCGTTATGTAGCAGCTACAAACAGAGATTCCTCTGAATTTCTTTGTCTTTTGATGGAGATGATGTGTCTTTGTTCAACTCTCATCCTGAATTCTATTCAGGATTCTCACTGTCATGAAAGGATACTACACCGCAAAAACATACTTTTTATATCAATGCAATCTGAGCTGTGAAATGCTTTCACTTGTTTCAGGAATTTGAATAAAGTATAATTTTTCAGCCAAATGTACTGCATGATTATAGAGGTCCTGCACTTCCCTTCAAAAAAGTAGAATTATCTCACCACATTAGCACCGCATCCTTCGGGTATTTAAAAAAAAACACATCTCAAGACTCAGTGGGGGAGTAAATATTGTGAAGACGGATGTTTTATTTGCAGTGTAAGATATGAGAAGCATATAGGCTAGTGTGGGTAGCAGATGCAGGGGCGGGGGTGGACACAGTCACAGATGTCAGTTGGAGAAAGCATTAAGTGGTAGCTGTTGAGGATGAAGACATGCTTCTGGAGCACGTTTGTGGAGATGAGTTGCAGTGGGAGAGAGAGAGTGTGTGTGTGAGAGCTAGAGCATGAGAGAAATGGGGTGGGGGCATAGGCATAGATATAGAGACATGAATATATCCCTAGTTGGCATGGTTATATAACCTCCAAGTTTCATGGTTCCTAATCCTGTTGAAGATAGTGTTACAGAAAAAAGAAGACGATGGGAGGGCTAAGGTAGCCACAAACCTCTGCTGGGAGAGTTTGTGATGGCTGTCTCATAACCAGACAGCTATGATTAATGGCTGGCAAGAGCTAGAATTCACAAACTGCCCATCAAACTTTTTCTTTCTCAAAATACTCATAAAATCCTTGAAGGACAGGGTGTGTCGGGTTGCAACTTACATTTATTGATAAGGGAGCCGCTTTACTGCGAGAGAGAGACGGGAGAACATTTCGAAATAGACCAGATAAATGGCATGGATGCTGCATTATTTTTTTTTTAAATGTGCAAAGTCAAGAAAATTCAGTGCCATTGTTAAAAAAAAAAAAAACATTCTCATTCAGTACAACTTGAACACAACTCAGTGCCTCTGCAGATGTATGAGCACTCACAAGTTCAGAGAAGGACGTACGATAAATGCGCAGGCTGTTATGACTCACCCAGGTAGACGGATTCATTCATAACTAAAGGCTCATAAACAAGCGCCCAATTCACAGCCCTACTAAGAGGCTTATAATAACCCTCCACCCACCTATCTGCGTCTAATTAAAGTTTAATTGTACCCAGACAGCAATCTTTTAATTTATTAAATTGACTCCATGTTGGGGGATGCTGTATGACCCCCCATATACACCCATTCTTGATGAAATCATCATTTGTGTCAGAGTACAGGACTATTGTTAGTTACAGATGATTCAGTACATCAGTGTCAAACAGCCTCAGCCCTGACAAACATAACTCTCCGTGTATCATTTTAATCATCATTTTTATGGTCGGAGGAACACATTTTTGACCTTTTTATCGCAGGGAGAGTGGGAGTTTGTCAGAAGGCAAGGCATGTTTGCAGTAACATTCGAAAGGCCATTTTAATTAAAGCCCCAAAGTGAATACAGTCTCTAGCCATATGGAGGAGGTCCAGTTTTCTCAGATGTGAAGCATGGGAAATTAGCATGCATTGGTAAGCAGAATGCGGGTGGTAGGCTGGATCACAGGGAGGCTTATAAGCCTTGGAGAGTCACAGAGTGCTCATAAAGAGGCTGTAATAACATGCAAACCATTGGATGAAAGCACGCATCGCCTCTGTTTCTCTCTCTCATTTCCATTATTTACCAGTTTTATTTACCAATACAGATTATGTATGTGATAGTGTGAGAACTAAGTGTTTCTGGAGGACTGTAAGGGGGAACATTTTTGTTCTTTATTCACACTTTTATGAGAGCTCTCATGGTGCAATCAAAGCTATAAAATAAGTCCTTCACTTTCATTTCTCATACTTACTCACATTTACTTTTATTATTATTTGTCCCGCTCTTTATCTTAGTTCCTCACCTCCCTATCTTATTTGCTCTTGGTCTCCTCCTTCCTTATCCTTCAAGGTCTCCATTACGGTCTTTTGCCTCTCCAAACTATAAAGTTTCTCACTGCTTGTTTTGTTGTCTTGTTTAGTCTTCCTAACATCTGAGAGCAGAGATGCACAGCTCTCTCCCTCGCCCCCCTCCTGGGAGATAATTACTGAGGGATATCCTCCTACGTCTCTAACTCTCCCTCGTTCTTTCCCTTTCCCTCTCCCTGCTTCGTGTCTTGTTAGTCAGGAAATGCAACAAGGTTTGTCTTCTGTACGTTGATGAGATGATTCTGCTGCAGTACAGCTATGAGAAGCCTTTCTCTGTAGTCTTTCATCTAGGTGTCACGTATCTCGCCATTTTTTTCTGGTCATTTTACTATTACTGTTGATCATTTAAGTGGAGCTGATGTAGCCACGGGTGAGCAGGGTGATAATGCTTGTGTGGAGTGTTTAGCGATGAAGTGTGTGGGGGCTGAGCATCTACAATGAAGAGCTCCCTTCCATTATTTATAACACTTCTCAATATGACCTAGTTTACTGCACAGCAGTAACCACTGTTCTCTCTCTCTCTATCTATCTATCTATCTATCTCTCTATCTATCTATCTATCTATCTATCTATCTATCTATCTATCTATCTATCTATCTATCTATCTATCTATCTATCTATCTACACTCAACAGCCTCTGAACTGTTCTTGCTCTTGCCTTCAATTGGCTACTAATTTTACTTCTTCTTATTTATGTCACCGAAAGAAATAATGTGTCGCAGTAAAACCTTCACTGAAGGCCCCGAGGGACAACTGAGAGAGAGAGAGAGAGAGAGAGAGAGAGAGAGAGAGAGAGAGAGAGAGAGAGAGAGTAGGTGTGGAAGGTCAGGGAGAGCTTCAGATTTTGTTCGGGTGACAAATGACAAAAGGGCTTTTTTGTGAGTAGTTTCTCTCTGCCACCCCCCACCCTCCCCCCATGTCTTTATCTTTTTCCATCTCTCGCACAAAATAAGGAGCTCTTGTTGTTGAATAAAAAACGAGTGTTTGTGTGTGTTTGGGTGCATTAGGGCTGCAACTAATCTGTAGAATATATTTCAGTTTATTGCTTAATTGTTTAAAATGACAGAAAATGGTTAAAATGCCCATTTCCACAGCTGCCATCTTCAGATTCTATTTGAGAAGCTACTAACAGCAAATGTTTGGTATTTTTGCTTGATAAATGATCTCAGCAACTAATCCATTATCAAAATGGTTGGTGATTCATTTTCTGGCAGTCTAATAATTGATTAGTAGACAGTGCTAATGGCAGGTAATGGATTGACTGTGCTCTGGAGGTAAAAAGAGCAAAACGAGGAGCGTAAAAGAGGATCCGAAAATTAGGAGAATGACAAATACAGAGAGAATTGGAGCGATTTGTATGTGTTTGTGATTCGATTTTAACCATTAACCATCAACGTCCTCTCTAGAAGAAGTTCAGGAAGGACAGGAAAGGACCTTGTTTAAAAGTGACTGACTTTCAGAGTGAGTCAGAGAAAAAGATAAACAGGGGAGGAGTGGGATAGAAAAAGTGAGAAAGAGTTTTTCATTTTAAGTAATGTCTAGACAATCCCCGACCTGATTCTCTCCAAGAATGATAATGAGCTCCCCGGGAGTTCCATGGCGGGCCTGGGATTCTCACCGAGGCCAAATCTCCTGGATACACCAGTGGCTCAGGCCCATATTTAAATGGAGCCCTCCCCCTTCCTCCAATATCCTCCACATTTTTATCCAAAAGTCAAAGGACGGCTGTCGACAGCAGCGGGGCTCCTTAATGTAGAGCCGCTGCCTCCCTCCTCAGATTGAGCCAATATCTGATTTGGATTCAGGATGCGTTCAGCCCAATTTTGTTGGCAACCCAGTTTCATATCCATTACATCTTGCTCTCATACTTTGTGTTTCATTTTACACCTCCACCCCCCAACCTTCCACAATGGTGTTTTTGACATTGTGTGGCAACAGGCTCCAGATTTAAGATATCCATTTAGAAATCCAGTGAAACAGATGACACCCGCTATTACAAAATGATAAAACTCATGGTAGGAACAGCTTTACAATGGGATGGTCATGTATCGATCAATTCCAGCCGGCCACCTTTATTGCATGTCATACTTCTATTTTTTTTTTTATGTGTGTCCTGTTTTTTGCAGACAAACAGGGTTTACATCCAGCATCTTATACTTTATGTGTGCTGTATGTTGCTGAGGTCTAATGAATGTGTGCAGTGCAGTATCCTCATAAAATGTTTGTAAAGCCAATTTGTTGAATATTATTATTATTATATTATAATACATTCATGTTACACTGGATATAATAATTCTTCTCATATACCCCACATTTTGTTACATATGGCCATTTGTTTATGTAACTGCCGGTTACCATCATATTGGTTAATTTAATGTGCAAGTCTAGCTAGAAACTGATTTGCGTGTGCTTGTAGAGCAGAAAATGCAAATAAAATGCGAACCAGCTCCTCAAATGATTTCCCCATTATTTCCTTTTTTAAGATCTGTGCCTAAAGAATCACATCTGTCAATTTTAAACAAGTATAAGTTGTGGTAAATTCAGCAGACAATTGTTGCTAAATACCGATGTAACTTGTGTGCTGACGCTGCTAAGCATTTATATTCTGTCCCCAGTTTCCTGGTGTTTGTTCACTGGGTCTCAGGTGGACCACAGTGTTTATTTATCTTCAGCTCCCTACTGAGACCCCTAATAGCAGCAAGTGAGCAGTCTCACGTGCCCAGTTTCACTAACAAGTCCTTCGCCTTTCTCCTTCAGATCACCACAGAATATAAATAGGCGTCCTTGTAATCTGTTTACTATCACTAAGCACAGCCCTGAAATGTGGCACGTCATTTTTAAATTTCCCTTGTTTTGCGGCGGTAACAACTTTAGCTGATTATGTATTCCTGGCAGAGGAAGCGACACGGCAAACCTGTTGCCATGCATTTTAATGTATGGTAGCATGTGTGCTGCATTGTCACTTTGTCAGCTTGCCAATGTGTACTTCTGTGCTTTTCCTTCCCTCTGTGGTTGTGTGGTTCACGTGTGTCCATTAAGGAGCGCTCATTAATCACGAGAGACTCCGACCCCGTCTCTTCACCTCATATTTCCACTCAGTCATCCACAAACAAGGTACTCTGTCAAAGACTTCAAAGTCACTTACATTCAACCCCTATCATTCCCAAGCCACAGTCAGGGTGATTTCTAAACTGCTCCAAGCTTTTTCATAGACAGTAACAGAGTGTTGTCCTTGTGGACACATTTGGAGGGGATTCTACAGTGTGTCAGCAAACCAAAGTGGCTGATTGTGAAGGGTATGATAGTGGAGCGGACTTACGTGTCTGTGTGGGTGTGTATGTGTGTGTGCTCAGCCTGATTTGGGCTCTAAACAGATGAAGAAGGGACGAAGCCTGCTGGTTTGTAATGTATCACTGTCTGCCCCCTACCCACTCAAACACATATGTTCACACACACGCGGCCAGACAGGCACGACGTGACCCTCAGTGCCCCAACAGAGAGAGAGATGTCTGTTGTTTGACAGTGTGTCAGCAGGCCCAGATAAACCCAGTTGCCAGCTCTCCACAGAGCTTGTCCTCCCTCCTGCTGACCAGCGCGAGACGCTTTCACACCGCCGACCATGTGACCTCACCTTGCCCGAGTCCTTTACACAGCCTGCCAAGCACTGCTGTGTCTCAAAATGGGCGGTCACAAACACTGTGACTTATTATGCTGAACTGTGGTGTGCTATGTCAGCACAGATAAACATATTCTTTAATTTTGGATTGGGAGTTGAAGGCAAATCAAATTACTATGTGCAACCCAATTCTGCTGTTCCCCACAGCTCTACTGAGCTTTTTAGCATCTTTCAACTCACTGTTTTTGGTTTTAAGGACAGCTGTACTATTTTAATTCACACTCACATCAACCCTGTTTCCAGCTGCAGCAAGGCAGCTCTTTCTTTTCAGTGAAAAAGCTAAAACCGACTGTACACTACCTGCCCTGGCATGGAACAGCAGACAGTGTTGGTGTTGGTGGAGAGCAAAAACTGAGCTAAAAGGAAAGTGAATAAGGGAGGTAGAACATCAACAATTCCAAATTAATGCTGATGTTGTGTCTGCTCAATGTGAAAGTCTGTTAGAGGTTCGCCATAACAGCTGTATGGGTGGTTGGTATAGGGTGGTCGGCAGGTGGTTATATGTCAATGTTTTGTTTACAGATTGTTGCACTGCACATATTTTAGAGTTGTTTACTGTTTGCTGTCTAGCAAAAAGCTTTTACGGGTCATTTCACCTGAATTACAACATTACAACACACCGTTTCTCACTTACTGCTGGTGACCATGTAGATGGATGAGGTTTAATTTGCCCAGGTTTATAGAAACCAATTCCGTTTATCTCCATCGTAGTGCAATGGAGATGAATGGAATTTTGTTGTTGTGGTGCTGTGAGCATTGAAAAGTGAAAGAAAAGACGCTGTAAAAAATTTAATGTCATTTTCATTCCTTTGAGCATCACATACCACATTCCTTTCACATTCATTGTATTAGAGTGGAGTGAGAAGCCCCAGAGTAATAAAATCAAAACTATCTGCGTAGCTAGATAGTACAACAGGTAACATATATAAAATATATATAAAATATGTTTTTTTGTAATTTTGGTGACCCAATCCTTTAACACTTTTTCACTCTTTAAAGGCTCTCCCACATTCTAGCTCTCACTCACACACGCACACACACACTCACACACACACACAAACACGTAAACAGTCACCTCCAGCAGGAAGCAGAATTGGGCTGTCTGTCAAATGGACAACCTTAAAAGGGCACAGAACCCTGCAGGAGATATTAATGAATGAAATACAGCACCAACTCCCAAACACACACACACACACACACACACACACACACACACACAGTACAAAACCTGCCTAAACTGAGACGGCACAACATTCACCAAGCCAGCTGTTCCGCATCACCTGCATCTATTTTTTGACACACACGACTTCCCCGTCCTTCAAACAGACTGGCATCAGTTTTTAATTTAGCCTCTTGTGGTCAGGAAGCATTCAGACGAAGAGGAGAGCAGAGATGAGGGGTAAGGGCGATGAGGTTTGACATCCACCTTGTCAGCGCATGGTAATCAGCTCACCTGCCTTATTAAGGATATATTTTGTTTGGGAAAAGCAAAGACACACATTTGCTCCAATTTAAAGGTCAGTGCCATCATTATGGTCATTAAAATGAACAGGGTGCCCCAATTTTTTGTTATGGTTAAGACTGTCAAGATTGCATTGTTTCGTCTCTTGAACTAGCAGCAATCTGGCTCTGCACTCCGTCCCGATAGTGTATCTAATATCTGGTTCTTTCCATTTTTCCTGTCATTCCTCTCCACCTCCTCTGTGTCCCCTTGACTCTCTCCTTGACTTGCTGCTTTGATAACGAAGCTGAGAGATAAAAATCTTCCATTGTTCACCATTATTCTAATAAGGCTATCATTGTAATTACTTGGATTCCAAGGATGAGTGTGTGTGTGTGTGTGTGTGTGTGTGTGTGTGTGTGCGTGTGTGTGTCTGTGTGTGTGTGTGTGAGAATATGCTATGATTACTGACCTTGGCAATATCCACATGGTAGTGATGAGAGCCAATATTGGCAGAGTGAACCAGACACAGCTTTCTTTTTTTTCACACAAATAGGACTTCATTAAAATCACCCGTCTGTTTTGTTGCTTGTTGTGTCTGTGTGTCTTTGGTATTCAAGTGGATACAAAAATGTTTTTTTTTGTGTGTGCATGCATTGATTCATATGTATTGTATACATTCCTTATTGTGCGTGCACAACACCATCTCATGCACATACTCAATCTTTATCCTTTCTCTCATTTTTGCAGGAGATGTTCACGCCGGAGTGCAAGTTCAAGGAGTCTGTTTTTGAGAACTACTATGTGATCTACTCGTCCACTGTGTACCGGCAGCAGGAGTCGGGCCGGGCCTGGTTCCTCGGCCTTACCAAGGAGGGACAAGTCATGAAGGGCAACCGGGTCAAGAAGACTAAGCCCTCGTCACACTTTGTGCCCAGGCCAATCGAAGGTATGAGAAAAATGTTTTAGGAAATCTTTAAAGTAATGTTTTTGATGTTTTTAATGGCTTGTTCATTTGTGTAGTTTCTTTACTTCATATATTATAAATTGGGTATACTATACTGGTAATTACTTTGGAACACATTCCAAACATTCTTGTGTGACGTGGAAATTTGTTGAGTTATTTAGTTACGGTCTTTAATCGATCATAATGAACATTTTGTAGCTGTTGCAGTGGTTTGAACAAGATATTTCAGATTGAATTCATGTAAAGCACTACATTTCATCAAACAAACCCCAAGAAGGATACTGAAAAACTGTTTCATTCTTGCATTACAAGTAATTTGGTTTGACAGATGACTCTCTAGTTTCAGATATTACTGTATCCTTCAGCTTCAAGGAGAGTTTTCTAAGTAAATTATCTTGCAAAGACACTACTGTGCATTTACTGTGATGGATTATGTATCCGAAGCAAGTTTTAATGTCTCTGAAAGTTCCATTATTGAAATTGGTGGAACTGTGGTTGCACTGAAGATAGGAAAGAATAAACAATTTATGTTTTGAAAGAGTTGACAACCACTCAAAGTATACACATTTGCAGTTAGGCTAAAAACCTAATGGTATTGTCTTTTAAATTCATGTTTGATATGTACAGAAAAGCACAGGTATTATAGGATCTGATGATAGTAATAGGAATAGGAAATATTCCTTTTTTTGACGAGAGTTAGATGAGAATATCAACACAACTCTCTCTCTGTATGCTAAATATGAAGCTGCAACCAGCAGCTGGTTAGCTTAGCATAGCATAATAAAATGGGCAAACAGACAGCTTGGCTCTGTCTTACACATCATATTATTTCTTTGATCCAAAGTGTAAAAATGCCAAGTTGGGGTTTTAACACCACTTTTTACACTTTGGTTTTTGAGTGAATCATATTAACAATATTTCATATTTAAGCATACACATATGAGAGTGGTGTCAATCTTCACATCTAACTCTCTGCAAAAACATTAAACAAGCATATTTTATTTATTTTAAATGTATTTGTTTCTTTAGCTTTTGTGGGTACAGCTTTATTTTTTAATATCATGTTTTTTAGTGAGAGCAGTGTTTGCTAGATATTATCAGGAAAACTTGTCGAGCAATGTGATAAAAAAAAGTGCTGACATGGCTCTAATTCCCCGTCTTATCCCTCCCAGCCTGGTATAATTGTCCCTCCAGCCACACACCTGACCTTGTCTCTGTCTTCACATCCATCTCTTCAATCTGCTCTCCATTGTCCCCTTTCTGAGCTCCTCCTCTCTTTGTCCTCTCATCTCCTCTCCTCTCCTTCCGTCTCCTCTCCTCTCTTTACATCTCCACCACAGTTTGTATGTACAGGGAGCCGTCACTGCATGAGATAGAGGACAAGCACCGCTCCAGGAAGAGCTCAGGGACTCCCACCATGAACGGAGGGAAAGCTGTCAATCAGGACTCCACATAGCAGCGGGGGGAGGGGCTTCCAGCAGGGGGGAGTGGCCTCATCCTGACTCAGGGGGAGGGGCCATAGGAAAACTCAACACCCCCTAAAATACGCATCCCCATCCCCTCTAATAAAAAAAGAGGGCGTTGCGACGAGGAGGAGCTATTACTGTACACCCAAGACAACAAAAACAAGAACTGAACTCTTGCCTGTGAAAACCTTTTAGATGAATTAATATGAAACCAGAGGATATATATATATATATATGGAAAAAAAAAACATTTTCAATCAGGACTTGACCAACATTTTATGCAAAAAAAGAGAAAAAGCTGTGATAAACAAACAAAGGAATGGTGGTCTCTCTTCACAAAAATACAAATATCTATCATTTCCAATTTATGCTGTGAAAAACAAGCTTTAATACATGTTCAATTTTCATACATTTTTTTTCTAAATGCTATTGCACTCTCATATGCTTTATTGTGTTATTGTTGTCAGTAATAGCTATAACATCATCATCATTACTAATCTGTTGATTTGAACATCCCAGTAACAATCATGGTTATTCTGACCTTTTTTTAGACAAAAGAAAGGTGTTTTTTTTTTTTTCAATGACTCCCATGTTTTCCTCTCATAGTTTGATCTTGAATGCACTGTCACACTACCTGCTCTGGTGTGAGGGTAAGACTGAATGTATTTGATAGTTCTCTGTGTTGTACTCCAATGGAAACAGAGTGGTGGGATGTAATTTACTCAGGTGTGTACTGTAAGTGTAACTAATGTGACTAATAGGACGGAGAGGGCTATTTCAAATACTCTAACATGAACTCCCCTGCGTTGTTCTGCTATGACAGGACAGGACTGATACAAGCAATATAAATAGAGAGCAGTCTAGTATGTCTCTAAATAATAGTAATAACAAGCTGACAACACATCTCTGTGGTAGGTGTGTTTGTCAGTAGAAGAAGTCTGACAAAGAAAGTTGTATAAGCAGGTATAAGTCTGAATCAAAGGAAATCTGTTTTGATATAGCTTCAATATACTCTTAATATTTGCAAGGATTGTTAGGTTTTAAGTAAAGAGATGTCCAAACTCGTCAAAAATGGCAAATAATAGTATTTTCTCCAAAAGCTGAGAGAAATATAACGACCAGCATCAGCACTATGAGCCATGGCCAAAAACGGTCACTTGACATTTGCACCTCAAGAAACACAGACCCCTTTCTCTGCTGTTAGCTAGGCTGTAACAACAACTCTCAAAATATAACTATATAACAGTATTCAGGCTTTTGAACTATATGGACAAATCATGAAATAATCCTTGATTAAAATGCTTATTTTTAAGTGTAAGAAAGGATGAAAGTTGCTTTGGCAGGCCTGGCAGTGAAGACTCTGTATGTGTTGACTAGTTTTCAAGAAGTTCTGCTATTTCTGTTACTTTTTTTGCGAATGCATTAGAGATTTCTCAACACTGGTGGACAGGGTGCCTGACTGTTTAATAATCCATGGACCTGACTTGTTGTTATTTTCAATGCAAGGTCACAATCATTAAGACTTTCTCATCACAATGGAATCAGAACGTCTCATTGAGGAAACCAGTTCATCTGGATTTAGCCAGGTTCGGGGAGGATGTCACTGTTTGGTTTCTCTGGCATGGTAATCCACACAGACTCCACCCCCCCCTGGTTTTGTGACCCATGAAATGAGTCATTTGCTGCATTGTGGAGGAAAGCTTCTCTTTCATAAATCAACATGCTGACAGGGCTGTATAAACAAGGTGAATTGACTGGTACACCGCGTACGCCGCATAGCTCATTCCTAATCCCCAATTAGTTTGTCTAACTCAGGAAGTCCTACACTTGTTCCGTGAATGGGGCCAGACATAAAGGCTGGCAGCTCATTGTCCAGCACCCGTTGCACAAAGCCTGGCCACTGGTGTGGGGTTTAAGGAGGTCGGAATGGGGTCGGTGGTGTTTTATCATTAAAGGTGGTGTACAGCTAAGCCTAGCCAGGTGAGAAAGGTTGAAACGGGAATTACTGGAGCCAAGACAAAGCATGAACTTCGCATGACTGAGTTGATGTTAGCTTGGTTTGATTTTGAGGTGAGAGCTAATAAAAGATTGTTTTCGAGAATAGGTCCAAAACTTTTTTATGCAACATTTTGATCAGTATTTTAGCGAGAGTTTATAGCATCTCTCCTATATCTGGTTGGAAATCATAGGCTAAGTTGGTGGTATGTACAGTAAATAGCACACATTCAGTTGCACAGAGCAAACCGCAGTGATATATCATCATGGATCTAGGAGGGCCTTCCACCTGGGGTCCCGGGTCCATAGCTGGTGCAAATTACCTGCAAGAGCTAACGGTAGATTAGTTCAACTTCCACAGCACCTCCAGCATAACAGTGATACATACAGTATATTAGACGTGACACTGAAAGTCAGCAGGCAAGACCAGCATATATAGGTATCTTTTTATAGAGGTTTATATGGTGCAAATGAGATACATGTGGACTTAAAGCAATGCATGAAATTGGATGTACTCGATGTCAGCTGTTGACAGCGGAATGAGAGGATTTGCGGAACGAAAGGGATGTATAAAACAAGGAGGTAAAAATAGCTGATGTGAGAAAGCAGTAAAGGAGAGCACTTTCCGGGGGGTTTATTGATGTATGAAAGGGGGATCAAAGGCTTTGGTTGTATGTGATATTAAGTATAATTTATTATTTTTATGTTTGCAGATGATTTCACTGCATTGGAACACGCTCATATATGCATTATGAATTGTGAGATGAAATAAAAAAATATGCATTGATAATAAAAAATCAGAATGAAGTTAGTGATTGTTTAAGAATAAAGATTATGTTATCAAAAAACTTTCACCTACGCAGTGATTGATTCAATGTGTTGTTGATCATGACTGACAGTTGTAATGTGTATTTCTTTTTACTAATGTCACTCTTTGCAACAACAAGAGAAGCAGCAGGATAAGCAGACAAACTAAATCCATCAACGTGGGTTCTTTATGCGGTTCACATTCAGAAAATCCAATCCGCTTCCTCTATCAATTCAGGGAGGGTGATCTATCTTCTCACTAGCCCCTAAATCCGATGTGTCATTTTGGGATGGCGCTCCTTCGCCCTTAATTCTCCTGTTGTCATGGAAACAGACCTTCCGTGCCGTCTGCAAGGAGAATGAGGAGGAGGAAGAGGAGGAGGAGGATGATGAAGGCTACCCTGACTTTCAGGACGTGGCTTGTCTTCTCTCCTGCTGATGATGGCTGCAGCAGAGAGAACAGCAGAGTTGGGTTGGGGGTGGGGTTGCTTCAGGTTTCCTTCAGGCACACTAAACAACTGAGCAATGTGCAGCCCTGCCTGCTGGGGGACAAATGTATAGGTGTACTCACAATACCATAGACAAAGAAGGGGGTGAAAGAGATAAAAAGACAAAAAGATAGCAAAAAAAGTTAAAATAAAGTTTTTCTCTCTTCATACAAACACACATTTACACTCACACTCACACACACCAAACACCTTTTTCTCATGTGCACACTTCTTGACAGTCCAATCTTTATTGCAATTTATTGTCTGCATTGTTTATTCATCTTTACATCAGATGACTTCAAACAAAACTCCAACACAACTGAAAAAATTCTACAGACGCTTTTCTCATAGAGCCATGCTAGGATTGGCTAAATGTTAATCTTAACATGCTGACAATGATTGAGTTAAAGGTCCAGTATGTAACATTTAAGAGGATCTTTTGGTAGAAATGGAATATAATATTCAAAGGTATGTTTTTATTAGTGTATGATCACATGAAAGAATAAGAATAGTTGAAGAGACAAACCAAACAGTGTGCCTACATAGGGCTCAGGTTTTTCTGGATCTATACGAGTGTAATATAAAAACGTATAGCCACTGGCACATACACTGAGATGTGAAGTAGGAGATATATTATATCCATCAGGAAAACTTTAGAAAAAAAACCCTGCATATTCATAGATTCTGGTCTTTCTAATGAGGTAGAAAGAGTAGATTCCTTTTTAAGGATTTTAATGTGGAAATTATACTTTTTTTTTGTGGAAAATATATCAAACACACAGAATTGTTCCAAGCAGACTATATATGTATTTTAATACATGTCTGGAAGGGATCTTTAACATGCTGAAGTAGGCTATAATGTTTACCAGGTCCAGTAGTGTGTTGGCATGCCAACATTTGCCAATTAGCTGAGGCTAATGTGAATGTCAAGTTGTACAAGTGATTGTTGAAAATATAAAATTTTCACTAGGAAGGAATCACCAAAGTTATTACAACTCAAAATTACACAATTGTAAAAATGAGCGCAACCCCCAAATTAATCAATATGCTGTCATGGTCACTGCATCTACCTCTGTAATTAACTTTCACCAGGAGCAGAAACAAGTCAAGGCCAGCCATTCAGATTCCCATAGGAGTTGGAAGTCAAAACAGGGTCATCTGTTCAGATAAGGAGGGCAAGGGCTGCAAACAGCTTGAAGGCCACTCCACTCTCCTCTCTTCACCTCTATTCCGCAGCTACAGCTGTGGCTATGGCCCCTGCTACTGCTCTCACATCCACCTGTCCTCCCCCACCTTCCGTCCTCTCCTCCTGTGTGGAACAGGCAACCTTAGACTTCATAGCTGTATTCAAATATCTGCCTGAGTGCATATGTACTTAATAATGTTCATAATAACCATAAAATAATTGCTGGGAAATGTAACTTTTTTAGCTGTTTTGTATTGAAATGATCTTTCTCTGTTTTATGGTGTAATGACAGTAAGTTGGTCGAGAATTACAATTTCAAAACCAAAGTAACAAATAATCTCAAATTCAAACAACCTCTTTCAAAACTAGGCCCTGTAATAACCTTCAAATACTCTTTGTGAGGTTAAGCTTGGCAATGCAAATTGTGCATAGGATATACGCCTAAATCAAAATAACCTTGATTTCAAAGACAGATATCTGATCATGTAGCCAGAAATCATTTTAGCCAACTAACTGGCTGCTGCCCAAAGCTTCACAGCAAACTGGACATACAGGATAACCAAAGGAAGAGTCTGTTGATTTTGTTTGGAAACATTTTATAACCTTTACACCAACTCACAGATCTTGAGATATAAAATATATCATCTACCATTAAAGAAAACTGACAGGCACAGTATTGCTGGAAGCTAAATGCCAACACATCTTAGTTTAGGGCAGGGGTTTTGGGGAACCAACAGAGGTCCTTTAGTGGGTCACCAGCAAAAGGAGGAATAAAATATTTTATTTTTAATCACATTTTTTGGTAATTGAAACAACAAGGGAAGAAACAGGGTTTGCTGTTTTTATTGATTGTAATTAATAATGATCCCAGGTCTATGTGCATCTCTTGTGGGGGTCCATTACATGAAAAAGTACTGGAGTGTATTAGCATGCTAAGACTGATAATTATCAGCTGATGATGTTGAAAATGTAATTTTGTATGGATATTTTATAGTATAGGCAGATTCTTGTGAATATTGTTTTACAGATGACTTCCTTTTATTTTTAGGAACATTTTATACAATCCTCTGTCTGTATTATGTGTTATTTATTTATTTTTTAACAATCACACATACTTAATAGGCTTCCTTTTTTGACAACTTCTTTGTGTTCTTTGGTTGATGTGTACTTTTCTAATGGAGGACGAGGGTGTTTAGCAGAGATTTAGCAGGAGTTTTGGACCAACTTAAAGACATACATTGCCATCCCTTTAGCTGATATAGTGGCAAAAAAAACATCGTTTAGACTTCTTTGAAATCTGGATGTTCTAGAGCTAGATCCATCACTGGGTCAAAATTTCCACTTGGACGTAAGAAATCTAAGAATGTACGATTGCCGTGACATTTACTGAGCACATTCATGCTCCCCAGAGCCAAGAAGATTAACTGTTTCCATTTTGGACAGCTTCCTCTCGTGCCACCCTCAGGTCAGAATATCAGGTTTGTATACAGGATATCTCACATCTCACTGAGATAAGAGCTGTGAAATGTGATTATCCCAGCAGGTTGTCTGTGAATACTGTGAACACACGGTGAACCCGATATAAATCAGTTTGATTCTTTAATCTCCTAAATTGTTCATTTAACAGACAAAGCAGGTGGTGGTTTTAAAACTACACTAAATTAATTGTGACTGCTTTAACATCATCTTTCCAAAATTATCATCCCATGGTAGCACATTATTTCCTTCTCTTCTCTTTTCTCTCAAACCAATTGTGTTAAAATGTGGCAGATTTGTGACAGGGGACTGAATGGCTTTCATTGCATTTTAAAGGTCACAGCTGGCGCAGTTTACAACATCTCTGCAATACAAAAATCCCTTTGCCAGGATAATGTCAAATGCATCTCTGTGTCATAAGTGTCATTACATTTTCTGTCTTACCATCTGCTGTCAAATCATAAATGTTCTTTTGGCTGCTTACAAAACTTACAAAGGTATTAGGCAACAATAAAGATATGGCTACTGTAATGGATAACTTTTAGGTTTTGCAATTAGCTGGTCAACAATGCAGACATCTATTTATGGCCTCTACAGTTATTTATACAGACCTGTACATGACTTTGTTTGTCTTTTGCAGACTCATGAGCACACAGAGTAAAAATATTCTCGATCTTTTATCCTAGGCATCTTTCTTCCCTCTCTGTCTGTACCTCTTTTTTGTCCTGTTGTTTTGATATGGGTCTGTGCCACTGGGACTCCACATGTTTCTCTTTTCTTGTCCTCCCAGGGAGTGAATGAGGGAACTCCTACTCAGAAGTGGGGTGTTCAGTTCTACTCATTAAAAATAATTGGTCTCTGTTCAATTAAGGCTCAGTGATGCTCCTTTGATCTAGCCGGCTCAGTGTTTTTTTTATCTGTGTCTTTTACATCCAAATCAAGTGCTCAGAGTTGGCAAAAGTATTGGATAATTGGTTCTAATGTGTTTACTTCCGTAAGTTGGGAGGGGGAAGAAAGAGGAGCTGCTTGGGAGTGATTAGAAATGTTTGAATGAAATCAGGTCTGATGGTTAAAGAGACTGAAAACCTTCAAGCTTCTGCTGCAGCACCTTGTGAGAAAGTTCACTTCTTCGAGTTGAAAACAGATACCTTCTGTGTGATTTGATGCTTTTGGCTTCTCCTGTCTGCTGATAAGTGCTCAGGGATCACTGCAAGCAAATCGCTGATCCTTAAGAGACATAAGACACATAAAGATCCATGCACAGTGCACACATGCACCCACACACACACCATAATCCCACTCACCCAGCTGCCCGCCCACACACCCACTCACACACTTTGTATGGGTTACTCTCACACACTCTTATTGAAGAAGCTCTGCAGTATGAGCATGTTAATGTGCTGGCAGTGGTTCCTGTTACATAGTAAAGCTGTTCTGTTGAATCCCAATAGCCCAGGGACAGAAAAGATACCAAGCCAAGCTTTTACTGCAGTTATGCTCCAACACTGCTACTTTAATAATTTTCTCTCTCATCCCCTTGCTCATCATCTTTGCACCTCTCTTTCACTCCCTTCCTCTACTTTTTCACTTTCCTAATCTCTATTCCCTCACCACCTCTCTATCCAGTTTGAGACATTTCTCCTCAATCCAGCCTTCTCTTTCCCACAACCTACATCTACTCTTTCCTTCCTTTGTGCTTCACCTAAAGATTCTTCTTTACTTGTCTGAGGTAAATGAGTTCATGTAATTCTCACAAAACCTACCTCACAGTTCTATATACATGCATAATACATACATGGTGGAGATCAATGCATTTTTTAACAGAAAGGCCTTTAGGATGTGCATTGCTGCTGAGCTACCTAAATGCATGCTCATCAGTGCAATAATATGTGATGTTACACGGTATATGGCATGCACACCAGCACACACACGGGCATGTATCAGGAAATATGCAAAAGCAATGTATATGAATTGCACAATCACACGGAGGTGCACACACAAAAGATCTTTTGTCTCATTGCAGACTGCACAACCAAACTGCAGAACTATTAAAAATGGGGGGAAATATGCAATATAACAATTGAAGGAACATCAAAGACAAGATGAATGGATGTCTGTAAAGTTACGGTTTACTGCTTTGTTAGTCTACCATGAAGATCACTTGGAAACATCAAACACACTGCAGACATTTAATACATTTAAAGTCTATCTGGATTTAACAGAGAGAAGAACAGCCTCCTCTGCTGGAGTGAAAATTATTTGGCGAAGAGAGCCCATACAGAAAGGAATACTTTGATGTGTTTGATGAATGCATGTGAGTGATCTTAATTGATTAAAAAAAAATGTAGCAGATGTCACAATCAAATACAACACTCAACAGGCCTAGTGGAGTACAGTTGCTCGTAGAGGAAGCCTGCTGAGTTTTTCAGCTCTCTGCTTCACACTTTTAACTATATCTCTTTGACAAGCAGGATAAGTAGGGGTTGGCTGCAACTTTTCCACTTTAACTGTTCATTTAACAATCATTAAATATTCAGTGCCCACTTCATTCCGTACACCTCCTCCAGACAGTCAGGTGTGCTGTAAATAATGTAGGCACGCAGGATCAAGAGGGTCAGCTATTGTTCTAGTAATTGCAAGAATGAGAATGAGCTGAGAGCTATTAAAAAGATATAAATGGTACAGTTATGAGTAATTTGGCCCAATATGTTGAGATTCACCACACTAAACAGTGAGTTTCGACCAAGTAAGGCTGTTACAGTAGAAGCCCTGAGAGTAAGCATACTGAAATAAGCAAGACCAGGTTTTCTTTTTTATGAAATTTTATTTGTAAGCAGAAGGATGTGTTAAATCTTGTTTCAAATATTACCAAAACATTACTTTAAGATAACAAATGGATGGCAGGATGCTAACAAGAAGTCATGCCTCAAGTCATGCAAGCTTTAGTGGCTATAAAATTAAAGCTGTGTAGTCATCACATATATTCGTACATATTTTGTGTGCTCCACTTTTTATATTCACAGGCTAAAGCAGAATAATGTGACATAATAACCTCTAATACAAAATAATTGAATATCCCATCAACATGTAACATATCACTGAATACAGATGGAACTACTATAAAAATAGACAGTTTGGCACTTCAGTGAGAGTTAGCAGGAAGTCCAGGATTTCCAGAAGAAGACTCTACAGCCAGCTCTGCGAGACTGAGTTGTCCTGCCATACAGTCCACGTCGATTCTTCTCCTTTTTCTCTGTGTCTGCAGGTCCTTGGAGAATTATTCCATTTTCAGATTTGAAGAGTTTATAAAACAAGTCTACTAAGTTTTGCTTCGTTGTTGATTCCTATGGAGGGAAAGAGTGACATAATGTAAACAATAAAGCATAAGCAGACTGGCAAAGCAAATATAAAGATTTCCTTTATCATGTTTGTACCTCAAGGAAATGGGAATTTCTACCAAACTGTAGCCTAAATCATTTTATTGTGCGTTACAGAACAGAAAAAAATGCAAAGTTATGTTAGCAATATGCAATTTCATGGAGGTGCAGCTCTGAGGATAATCAAATGATAGATACTGAGCAGGTAGCACTGACAGAATCAGAAATGTTTCACTGAGAATAAAATTACACTTTTAACAGATCGAGATCAATAAAATGTGTGTGCACAAGCAGAGATAAACTTTATAAAGTGTACAAAGCTGTAGGCAGGGCAGTCTGTGTCCTGCAGTGTAATCATAGCTGGGATTTGGGGCCTGGATTCAATCACTGAAGGACATAAATTCTTTAAGACAGAAATAACATTTGGAGAAGCATATGAAGTAAAATAAAGACATCTTACCTGCTTTTCCTGTAATTTGTCAAGCCATGACAGTGAATCTTGCTGAAGTTGGAGGTCTTTCAATTTCTGCTCAGTCTCTGTGTTTTCCACAACACGTGACGCAAAACACAGAAGTGCCAAAATGCACAAGATGTGGGCCATCCTTAGTTGAGCAATCTGGCTTGTGTGCTTCTTGTTGAAAGAATTCTTCTTGGCAAGACAACCCAACATCCACTGCTTTTGTGCACCTTAACTGTACAGCACAGTGACACTTATTTTTAAAGCGGTACTTAGGCCCTGAAATGGAGGAGGAGCATGCAGGTTATTTGCGTGAAGACAATTCTCAATTTTGTGTTTGCCCCCATCAATGCACTGAAGCATGTTCTATGTAATTTACAGCAGTCATTAGGAGAGAGACAAAGGGTCTAAATAAGTCTTTCCTGGTGTCATCATTCACATAACACTGTAATCTGGTTGTATAAGTGAAGGTCATCCTGATGCTGTCACTGGCATAACTTGTACACATAAAAGATCCCTTCTGCCTCCTTGTTTCAAAGCAGATCCCTGTAAGCGAAGTGTGATGTGCACTCATGTAAAATAAAACATTAATGACGCTGACATGGGGGAAACAATGATTTCATTAACCCTGCTGTGCCATAAAGTTGAATCAACGGGCAGCGCTGAGACATTGAGATACCCAGAGGCCATAAAGGTCAACTTATCATTTGTTACACCCTTGTGAGCTTGTTCTGGGAATCTCCTTAATGAGATTTCTGCTCCGTTTAACTTAACAGTTCTAGTGCATCTGAATTAAGGCATATTTGTCACAGGCTATGATGATTTTATAATGGTACAAGCTGCAAATATGCAACTGCGTTACATAGACAGACAATTTAGTTACCCTTCCTTTTAAAAGCATCATGTTTTATATAAGGAATTTAACCTTCAACACATGAAGCTACAACCTGTTAAAATATGAACAGATGTCTTTCTAGTCCATGTAAGACGTGTGTGGAGAAAACTAAAGGGACATGTGTCCTTCTCAAATGGGAGACAACCTTGACTTGCTTCAACCTTTCAACAAATCGCCATTCTAACCCAATTAGAGAGGTGTAGAAGCCTAATATAGCTGCCTAAACAATTAGTAAGTGCACTGTCGGGAGCAGAATAATCCTGTTAAGAAGGGTACAGAGAGCACTTTACAGCAAGAGTGTTTCTATCCATGCTGACAACTGTCTGCACCAGGCCATGTAAGACGTATTTAATTCAAGGTGGCATTCAAGGAGTGACTGCATGTTATATCAGGCCTTTCAGATGTGTTGGGACTAGAGTCTTGATGGGTGGAGGTTCTGCTCCAAAAATGTCAAAAATGAATTAGATAATCAGTGATACTTCACAGGTTTTTAATTCACACAAGAGGGTCCAGCTCGTCTTCAGCTGTTACTTGTGTCAGCTTACATAAGCATATAAAGCTATTTGTTATTTTAGACTCCGAGCAATCGATATCTTGGAATATCTGCATGCCAAACAGAAACAGTATTTTGAACACGGTGTTGTTTAAGGACATTATTGTGCCTTTTTGCATCTAGCTATATGGGGAGTTTGCATCTATCGATCAGTGACCGATTTGGATAAGCAAGCTTGAATGACTGTTCCTCAGGGGCATATTACACTACTGATTTTCTGATTGAAAAGTGCAGAGAAAAATAAGATGTTGCAATAAAACAAAGAGAGGAATGAGGCTATTATATATTCATCCAGCTTTTGATAATAGCTCACAGGCCACATTAAAATACCATACAAATAATCATTATTTCTCTTAATTTGTATTTTATTTTAATATCCTTTCCTCCAATTGACAGAAATTCCCAATATATCCTCACAAGATCTTAATGTGCATTTTCTGTCTCGAAGCAGCATTTTGATTGCAGTTTTACTTCTCAACAGTTCATCTAGAAATGGATTGGAAAAAGTTGCAGGCAGTATGAGTCATAAAAGGTCATCTTTCCATGCACCATTTAACATGCTGAAATTCAGAGAAATGCTTTTAGAGTCAGGAGCACAAATGAAAACACAACAACGTAGCAATTCCAAAGCAAGAGCGTCACATTTACAACATGCTGCCTCAGAGTCATTTGTTGTAACCTCTTACTCTTTACGTCACTGAAGGACTGGACTGCACCAGTCTTCTCAGGTCACTTGGGAGAAAGCAATGTCAGTGACATCGGCACTGTATAGATGGCTGTCATCTGCACAAATTTGGTGTATTTGTTGAAATCCAAGCGAACTTTAGATACAGGGGAATGACAATATAAAAAAGTATTGACAATTCAAAATAGACTATGTAAAAATTGGGCACAGTAATACTATTGCTAATACGATTACTACCAGTGCTTTTATCACTGCTGTTACTCGCTTTTCTTGGGCCTCAAGTCAAGTCACTAGAAAAATAACACACTGGTGGTACACTCCAGCCTCTGTAATATATAATGACACACTCAATGTTTAATTAACTTCAATGTACATTATCATCAAAGCTTATATAACAGCTGCCATACAAGATGATTGGCAATTTGGTATAAATGTGCTAAGACTCAAACACAGATCTGCATCATGAAGGCACCAATTTAACCAAAAGATATGCACACTATATGCTCAGACTATTTTATCTCATATTTCTCATACTTTCATACATGCATATAGCATTGAAATTGTGCTTGTTGTTAAAAATTGTCCCCACGTCTGCAGACTCGACAACGGCTGATGACACTTTGTAGAGAAGGTCCCTTCACTGTCTGAGGAATGGTTTTTCTGTATCAAAGAACAAAACAAAAGCAATGTAACTTGAGTAGAGTTTCATTACCATTAAGTTAGCAAATCATAAAAAAACATGTCCTTTCTAAGATATGGTAAGAATTTTATTCTTGGGAAAGCTTCTGAAACAGCAGTGTGGTTATCATAGGACATACAAAACCAAGAAAAATACAGAAGAAAACAGTTTACCTGAACATGTTGTTGGGGTCTATGGAGGCCAGCCAGTAGCTGTAGGAATCAGGGTAGTAGTTGCATGTGCCCCTGCCGTGACACTCGATGAAGGGGACTTGGCGAAAACTTTCCAGACATGAGCCAGGAGACACCAGGGGCTGGGAAGACCCCTCCGCACCAGCACCAGTTTGCTAGAATGGATGAAAATGACATGGAAATTGGCACATAAGAAGATCCAGGGATTTAGAGAAAAACAACAAAAATTGGTGATTTCTTTACCATGACAAATGAGTATCCACTCCACAGGGACTCCCAGCGTCGGGGACATTCAGGTAGCAAAGTTGTCTGGCTGTGGACGGCTATAACATTGGAGGTGGTTTCACACACTGAACACCTAAACCGCAAGTGCAAACACACCCATGTTAATATCAAGTAATTAGTGTCATTGGTAACAACACCTATGTTTACCCTACAATTTATGTCAAAATGACTGCTGTGAAAAGGACTATTGAGCCAAATGCACAGTATATTTCAATGAGCAGAAAACTGACTGAATTTATATTGTATTGTATTTGTTTATTAAATAAACAACAATTTAAGTTCACCTGCTGATGTATGAAGCCAGATTGTCCCCTGTGATGGCAACCATGTTGGCAGGCATAGGCGTGTCAGTGGACAACCAGTATGAGTAGTCGTTACGAGAAGCGTAGCGGCAGGTCGTTTCTGTGTCACAGAACAGGAAAGGCATGGTGGAGAAACGAGGGAGACAGCTTCCCATGGTGCCTGCAAGACAGTTTTAAGTGTTTTCAAAAAGACACAGTACACTGTACAGTATGTCTGTTCATGAAGGTTTCCATGCTCTTACCAAGGTCCTGACCGTGAGCTCTCTCATTTCCATTGATGAAGAGGAAGGAGTAACCAGAATAGATGAGGCTGGTTCCTTGAGGGCAGTCAGGGATATGGATGCTCTGACTGTGTCTAGCTATCAGGAAAGTGTCAACAAAACCTGGACCACTTTTGCCAGGCAACCCTTGAAAACCCTTGTGGCCTGGGTCTCCAGGTCTGCCATCTGGACCTAAAGAGAAAACTCATCAAGTGACATCATGTCGCCGACTTTGTTGGATTATTTTTTTTTGGGTAGAGAGTTGTACTACAGTTTTTGTCACTGCTAACTCTCACTGGACTAAGTGTATGTTTATAATAAAATAGGAACTGGGAGAATGTAACACAAGGTCCAGGTTTTTCCTACTAAATCCCTCACTGGCTTCCCACCAAAATACACAAGCGCATTTGATGTAACGCACAACCCAGCCAGAGGTACTGCAGCTGATAGTTGAACCTGGGTTGTCTTGAATGTGTTTCCATTACACCAACTATATGCCCTATGTTGTGTAGACATATAGAAAGGAAAAAGGAAATTCCTGTTGTCAAAGTCTTACATATTAAGTTGGTACCCACATCTGCACACATACATTATGCACACACACACAAACACACCTTTTAATCAACACACATGCACACACACCTGGCAGTCCTGCTCTTCCTTTGTCTCCTTTGTGGCCAGTAAATCCTGGTGGGCCAACTCTGCCATAACCACGCTGTCCTTTGACGCCTCGCTGGCCTGGGACAGACAAATTCAGTGTCACATAGTTGGTAAAGAAAATTAGCTTGGTGGAAGTGGCAGAATTTAAAAATTACATTACAACATTACATTACACAACTGTACAGTTATTAATTTCATTCATAAGATGTTAGCAAACAGATTTTATATCCTTGGCTTTGAAGATCATGAGTATCTGGAACTAAAGCATATTAGCATGTATGATACATCTTAAAATTTTGGACCTGGATGGCCTGGTGGTCCTGATGGTCCAGTGCTCCCTGGGGATCCTCGATTGCCAGGAGGACCAGGTAAGCCAGGAGGTCCTGTTTCATATGTCACATTGACAACTCCTGGTTCACCTTTGAGGCCTGTATGGATAGAACAGAAGCAATTAGAAAGCTATTTCCCAAAATATATAAAACCCATGGCTGATCTTCTGGAATGTCTAGACCTTGAAAATGTTCAAGTACTTCAAGCAAGTGTTTAAGTTCTAGACAGGTTATCTGACAGTGATGGGTGAAATATGGCATCTCTACTGCTAGTCATAACTGATGATTGGTATGATGCAGACGTCGATTAAGTTTGCTAGAGGGTTATTGTGAACAATAGTAAGACAGATCTTTGTCGCACCAGGTTGTCCAGGAAAACCTCTCTTCCCAGGCGGACCAGGTTGGCCTGGGATATATCCAGGGTCTCCCTTGTCACCTAGAACACACAGGTTTTTTACATGAATTCCATCTTATTGGGTATCACAGAAGAATACATCCTCATATATCTTATTTTTCTCTGTCTACTTTATCCTCTGTCCCATTTGCGTTTCATCTGAGTCGTGGGAACATAAATCAATCATGGACTAATACTCTTTTGTGGTGACAGATCTGCCTTTGTCTGGGGAAGAATTCAAAAAGGAAACATAATCTATAAGCTGAAGTTGAAGTGATAAATTACCAGGTCGCCCTTGGATTCCAGGAGGACCAGAATCACCTCTTGGTCCTGGGCCTCCAGGTCTGTTTCTTCCACCCTGGGGAGGCAAATGAAACAATGAAAGGTCAAAGATTAGACTTTTAAGTATTTCAGTGAAATTCTGAGGACTCAGCATTAGACATTCAGTTGGAGAGGCAGCTGCAGATAATGCTTAAAAGTAATCTACTTATCTACTTCTGGTTAAGCGACACTGTGTAAAAAAATATTCTGTGATTTTTTTGTGTGTGCTGAGTCCATTTTCAACAACACACATTTTACCATTCATATATAAACCTTTACTAGAAAAGACAATCACAACTCCGTTATTAAATACAAATATGAATGCAGAATGTCGGGCATTTTTCAAGTGTATAAAAAATACTTCCTTCACTTGGTTCACTTACAGGTGGTCCTGGAGGGCCTAGATTTCCAGGGGGTCCATTATAGCCAGGGCTTCCTGTAGGACCTGTGTCTCCTATGTTTCCTTTTGACCCAGACACTGTGGTACCTGGAGGTCCAGGTGCGCCAGGATAGCCTACATATACAGCAGGGATGACAGAAAGTACATACGTGGCAACTGAGAAAACATCAATAACAAACAACAAAGAAAATAAGGAACCAATATAATTTTTAATTTAATTTCATTGAAAATTGTGAAAAAAATTATTGATGTTTGTACTTGCAAAAAAAAGGCTGCATCAGAAGTGTTCTATCATGTGTAATAAGCGAATGAGTTCTGAGATTGGGGTCTGATTTTGTGTCGCTTTTAGAAAAAGGTAAGTGAGACACCTCCATTCTCACCTCGGCTACCAGTGTTGCCAGGTGGGCCACGGTCTCCTTTAGACCCAGGAACACAAGCCCCTTCTGCTCCTGGTAGTCCTCTTGGACCAGAGACCCCAGGTGGGCCTGGAGATCCTCTGTCTCCTATCGTTCCAGGACTCCCTGTAACAGACAAGCCAGGGGGGCCAGGGTTCCCAATGGGACCTACAGTATAAAAATACAGAGACGTTTCAGCAAAAATGAAGAATGTGGGTTTTTTGTTGGCTCGTGGGTGTTTTGACAGTTTGCCAAACTAAAAAAATAATAGTTTATATTAGCATTCTTCTCAACAGTGGATCACCACGTCATTGTCTTTATTCACATCTTCACATTCTTCCTAGGCCCATGCTGCACCCTTCCACCAAGTTTCATGAAAATCAGACTGGTAGATTTTTTCGGTAATCTGGCTGACAGACAAACAAATGGCACTGAAAACATAACCTCCTTGGCGCAGGTAATAATAATGAGACAACACAATAAGATACAACATTATGTGGTATACTAAACCAGGATGTGGAGTGTATTGTCAAAACTAACCAAATGCAATTGGGCCAAGTGTGAAAGCACAAATGTCTTTTTTTAAACAGAGGACACTGACAATGACAATGTTTGTTAAAGCCTTGAAAAGGATGATGTAATTTACCTGAGACTCACCTGGTTGACCTGTGTCACCATGCCTGCCAGGAGTCCCTTCTATTATGACTGCAGAGGAGAGATGGGGCAATAGATAAGTTTTGGTTGCAGCCATGCTTTTGATGGTACAGTTAGAGACATTTAGTTCAACAGGCCAGTTGTCTGGGCTGAAGGGAAATACATACTAAAAATAGCCATTCAGAATTTTTCCATGCAAGATCCTCTTACTCGTCTCTCCTTTCTGCCCTGGTGGCCCAGGGATCCCATCCCTGCCCTGGTTGCCTTTAGGACCTGGATAACCACCGACACCTGGTGGACCTAGGTTACCTGAGACAAACAGATGTGAAAAAAGGTTAAACTTAAAATAATTACAATTAAAATATGACTGAAAAATAGAACTAGAATACTAGAGATGATAGAGAGTTTTTCTACAATAAATGTTACACAGTGGGTTGACTTTTAAAATATATTAATACTAAATTTGACATGTCCTATTGTAGAAAATATTTCAAAGGATTTTGCCTGGCGCTCCATTAGGTCCTGGGCGTCCTTTGCTTCCTGGAGGCCCATCTGAACCTTTAGGCCCTGGATAGCCTGGTAAACCTGGAATAGCAGTGTGGGGACAGGAGTGGGGTGGAGATGTTAACAGAGAGTGAGAAAAAGTACAAGAAATCTTAAACTGCCTTATTTTCATGACCGGTGATATTGACCATTTAGAACAGGTCCTGGGTTTCCTTTAGCTCCACTGTTTCCTGGTCGACCTACAGGTCCAAAAGCTCCAGGTTCACCCTTCTGACCCTTCAACACATTAGTATTGTTTTTTCCTGGTTCACCCTGAAGACAAGAAGAAGAAGAAATATAAAAGAGACAGAAAATTAATCATTTATAATATATATATTATTTTCAATCTATTCATATTTTAGTATTTCACTGGATTGGACCTGTGCTTCATCAAAGACTCTTTAGATTAGTCATTAGTACCTTTTGTCCTACTGGTCCGGGAAATCCATATCCATAGTAGTTTGGCTCTCCTTTAGCTCCTTTGTGACCAGTTGAACCTGGTGCACCATCTGGACCCGGCCCCCCAGGGATACCGTGATCACCTTTTATTCCCTTTGGGCCTGTGAGGGTCAAACCAAACAATTATTTTATGTAATATAATGTAAAGAGATCTTACAGCTGTACAACTCTTGTTTGTGTACTTTGATTTGTGACGTTAGACGTGTGGATTTTGGATGAAAACCAAAGTGGAGGTCTAACCTGGAGGCCCTCTGACTCCTGGGTCTCCTGGCAATCCATCAGGTCCTCGATTTCCTTCTGAGAGCCCTGGTCCATCAAAACCTGGATCACCTGTGGCACCTGGACACAGAAGAGCACACAACAAAGACATATAGTTTCCAAAATGGTTAATATAGAAACATTGATTTGCTGAACCAAAATACTGAATACTTGCTGAACACGTTTATTGTTACAATTGTAAGAATTTCAAACCTCTTTGTCCAGGGTCCCCTGGTGCTCCCTGTCTCCCTTTCTGCCCTTTTGGTCCAATACTTCCAGTATCTCCATGGGGACCAGGTAGACCATCATAACCTCACAAATTACAGGTAGAGTTAGATTATTATTACCATTATCAGAGAATTATTTTTTTTCTTTTTCTCTTTATTTCAAAACATGTTTTACAGAAAATAACCCATAGAACATTTCCATTGTATTCTGAGAAACAAGTCCATCTTACAGTGCGTGGATGTAGAAGGATATCTGTACAAGAAGCCTACCAGAATCACCAGGATTCCCTGGGGGCCCAATAATGTCAAATTTGTCTAACGGTGATTTAGGGCCTGGAGGGCCTGTCACACCTAGTTCCCCATTCATGCCTGGGGGACCTCTGGAACCTTTGGCTCCATCTGGGCCAGGTGCACCTGTAAAGAGTAATGTAAACCCAAAATCAACCAAAGAACCAAATACAGTATACAGCTAAAATGAATTACTAATAGGATATGTCAGTAACCTCAAAATTGTTCACTTGTCTGTGAAGGTATGCGTTACCTATTTGGCCTGGTGGTCCTATAATTCCAGGCAATCCTGTTGGTCCATTTCTTGATATCCCATCTGGTCCAGGGTCACCTCTGAGTCCTAAAGTACAATTTTAAGTTTTAAAGGCAAAGTCTACATACAAGTGTATAAATATATTCTATAATTACACAGTCTGTACATTTTAAAATCACCACTCAGAGAAACAATGCCATACCTGGTTGACCAGGCAGGCCACTTTGTCCCTTGATCCCTTTTGGTCCAGGAGGCCCATGTGAACCTGGTACTGATGCCCCAGGGAGACCAGGCTCACCAGTGGGCCCAGGTTGACCAAACCCTGGCAAACCTATATTCCCCTTCTCACCGGGTGAACCATTCAGTCCTGGGAGAGGGGAAGCAAACAGACTGAAAATGGAGGTGGGGAGCTAAGGTAGGAGGTAAAAGAATGATGAGAAAACATTTATTCTGTAAAACTCTAAATGTGTTTCACAGCATCTAATTATGGGAGAAACAATAGTTAACATTTTATTCTCTTTAATCTTTCAAACCTATTCTTTGTCCTTTTGGAGTTGACAGTACATCCCATGACTTTAATATACACTGACCTGGATGTCCTGGATAACCATCTGGTCCTTGTGGTCCTGCTGGTCCAGCTAAACCACCTTTACATGAATCTTTATCACCAGGTAATCCTGGTTGTCCTACAGAACCTTTCCGTCCTGCATGTAGCATAAAATAAAGCAGTAAATGTGTTTGGATGAATATGTATTCATGAATGCACATAACTGTGTTTGTGTCTTCTGTTTGTATTTGAGCCACAATTCGTTGTTTGATTTATGAGTCCTGTACCCTTTTCTCCTGGCAAACCAGGGTTGCCAGGTATTCCCGGGTTCCCAGGTAGGCCAGGGATCCCAGGATCTCCCACAAATCCCTGAACTCCGTTGTCTCCTGGAAGCCCTGGGGGGCCGAGGGGTCCAGGGTATCCAGGGCCACTATCACCCTGATAATCAAAAACATACAGCGTATTATTAATTTATTCATATTCATGCATTTTAACGTGCATGACATATGGCATTGTTTTAGTGTTGTGTTCGTTTTTTGTTCCTTATTTTTGACTAGTAAATAAAAGGTACCACCAGTACTTTTTTTTAACAATCCCTACACATTTTTAACAGTCATTTTGGGAAGTACATTTATTTGCTTTCTTGCTGAAAATTAGATGAGAAGATTAATACCACTCCCATGTCTGTGTGATAATTTGAAGCTAAGATTGAACATTCAGTGTCTAATCTCCTGTATCACACGGACAGTAATGATACCATTTCAGAAAAACACTTAACTTAATGTTTCCTTGTTTTTATCTGCATTTTAATGGCCAATACAGTATTATATATACTACTGATAGATGTATATACACTGCAGATTTTGTTTGTATCTCTAACCTTCAGTCCTGGAAAACCAGGGGAGCCTTGTGGACCCTGCCGACCAGGCAAGCCCCTTCCTGTAAAGCCTGGGAGACCTGGCTGCCCCTTGTCGCCTGAACAACACACACACGCACACACATACACACACACACACACACACACACACACACACACACACACACACACACACACACACACACACACACACAGTGATAGAAACACGAATCATTATAATTATACTCTTAGCTGCTTCCTATGGTCTTCAGGAGATATAAAAAAACATCCAAAGTGACTTAAACTGTAAGTTGTAACTTTAAGTAAGCTTGAGTTTAATAGCTCATAGATTACCTTTCTGCCCTGGGACCCCAGGGCTTCCTGGAAATGTCACTCTTTCTCCTTTCTGTCCTGGTAAACCTGGTGTTCCAGGAGTACCTGGAGGTCCTTGATAACCTGAATGTTTATTGGTTAGTATAAGAGACACTTCCATCATCTGTTGTATGGTAATGCAAAGACCATCCATCCAACTATACATTATTCAATCCATCAAACACAGAGCTATGCTTACCTGGACTTCCAGGTAGGCCAGGAAGACCTTTATATCCAGGTGGACCAGGAAGTCCCTTGGAATAGATGTGGCCAGGTTCCCCTTTCTGGCCTACCAATGAAGGAGGGACAGAAGAAAGGACATACCATGGCTATCAGTCTTTCGGACTCTCTACTTGTGTGTTTATGTATAAATGTCTTTGCCAAACTGTTTACTGATCAATGTGTTTCCTTACCCGGACTTCCAGGCTGTCCTGGAAAGCCATGAACCCCGACATCTCCCTTACTTCCTGGAAATCCATCAGGTCCATATCCCACTGGCCCGGGGTAGCCAACTGGTCCCGGTCTGCCTAAGGGCCCTGGTTGACCTGGGAAACCACGGTCACCCACTGCACCAGTGGAGGGATACTAGAGAATGGACAGAAGCATCAAAATGCAACACTAACTGGCCATAAATTTGTATGTTAAGCTAAACTGAAGAACCTCCTTACTGAATCCCCTGGAGACCCTTGATAGCCTTTGCGACCTGGTAGCCCACGGCTCCCAGGGCGGCCATCTAAACCAGGCTGGCCAGGCCGACCTGGATCTCCTTTTTCTCCCTTTATCCCAGGGATGTCATAGGAAGAGGAGTCTCCCTTTTGCCCAGGGGGGCCTGGAAATCCCCTTTCACCAATGGCACCCTTCATAGAAAAATTATTGCTTAGTATTAAGTGTGTGTAAAAAAAACAAAAAAAAAAACAGATGGGACTGTCTTACTGGTCTTCCAGGAGAGCCTCTAGGTCCTGGGAAACCTGGATCACCTTTAGCACCTGGTCCTTGATTGTAGCCTGAGTGACAGAAACATATACAATGTCTAGTTAAACCTTTTTATACTCTCCAGTATTAGCAGTAAGACTGTATTTGGATATGGAAGCAGGACAGAGTTGTTAGAATATGTGTTGTGTTTTCATGCACTTAATTGTTTTACCTGGGATACCTGTGGGACCAGGGGGACCCTGTGGTCCTGGGGGTCCTGATCCACACACATAACAGGGCTCGCCTTTCTCTCCTGTACAGAGAATAAACATGGGAATATTTTTTTTGAGTATCACATTTATGACACACTGCTATAGTTTCTTCATCTTAACTTTGTCTTCTTACTCTGTCTAGTCCAGACTGTTAGGATGACTAAAATGTAAATGTCCTTCATAAGATATTAAAGGGCTGCATACAATACTGTCACAACAACTGCATGTAATAGTCTACCAGCATAGTTTATCAATGAATACGAGTTAGCAGGTCAGAAGAGATGTCAAACCAATGTGAAACAAATTAAATGTTAACAATTAATTAATAAATAACACCCACCTTTAGTTCCATACTTCCCGTCATATCCCATAGGTCCAGGTATACCCCTTATTCCCTTCATTCCTGGGATTCCCTTGGTAATCCTGTTAGCTACAAGCAACATCATTGGGGGATTTTTGTTGGTACTTGAGAAATTACAATTATCAGCTTGTGACTGATATATCAATAATGTGCCTAGCACATACATTGTAACTCAAAGTTTGAATTTGAATCCAACCTTGAACTTTGATTGCTTGTGTATCCTCATCATTGTTTTTTTTACCATGAAGTCTCTGATAAATGTTGGCTTAATATTTATCAGCCTGACACTTTTTCCATTGCATAAAGCAAAGGTTTGCGTTCATTACTGTAAATGACATGCAGATATTTTATCTTATCATAATAGAAAATAAAACTAAGCAAGTGAGCTTTGAAAAGATACAGGGTCACAACATTTGGTTCATGGTATAAGCCTATAGGATAAAAGATATCAAGGTTTACCAAAACCACAACTATCACCCATGCAAGAACTGAGTTAACTAAGATATTTTATTATCTTATTGCTGAAAGTGGAAACAATACCAGTACTATTAATATAAGTTGTAGAAGTAGTAGTTGGGCTGTTTAGATAAAATTATTTTTCAGAAAGAAGACATTTACACATACTTCTGTCTTCAGGAGGTCCCGGTGGGCCTGAATCCCCAGGGGGCCCTGGATCACCAACATCCCCATCAAGACCAGGGAGTCCAGTATAAATATCACCTGGCTCTCCAGGGTCCCCTTTTGGGCCTGGGAAGCCAGTGGGACCAGGTGGGCCTGGCACATAAATCCCAGATGCACGGCCTGTACAATGCAAAGTGAGAGACTGTGAGCTTAAGATCTTAGGAAACCTGTTAATACTTCGCCTTTTAAATAAAACAAAAATAAAAAACACATTTTATTGGTCATTGGTAAATTGAGTAATACAGAGACATGATGAGAATAGCATACCTGGAGGTCCATCAGGTCCAGGAAACCCCACAACACCTGAGAAAAGAATAGCAACATCTGTTATTTCTGTATGTGTCAGTCTGCTGCAGTAACAACATTTGTTACAACTCAATCATGGCAGACACTGACTTTATTCTTTACTGTTCATCTCACTATTTGTCTGTCTGCTTATTACACAATGCTATGTTCATCTACCCTGACGCCCGGGAAGCCCAGGTGGGCCTGGGGGACCAGGATCTCCATGGTATCCTTTTAGTGGCTCAGTCACAAGTATCTGTAAACAAAACCACAGAGGGCATGCAGTGAATTCATGGTGGAATATCTGGATTCACACATACTGTCTGTATTGGAAATACTAGCATCAAAATACCAAAAAGAATACCAAGAAGAAAATGATAAGAATAAACTCACATCTCCAGGTGGACCATGTAGACCCCTATTTCCCCTTTCACCCTAAATATTAGAGCATACAATCAAAGAATTATGATACAAAGCATACCAATAGACTGGGAAAAGTTTTTGGCAGAACAGACCACTGACCGTCCCTCCTGGTGTCCCTGGATATCCTGGATCACCTATGCGGCCAGGGCTTCCCTAAAGAAAATCATATCGTATAAGGCCACACACATAATAACATAATGACTCACACACACACACACACACACACACACACACACACACACACACACTTATAGCATAGTTTAACAGTACCCTTAATGCAGATTGTCCAGGTTCACCATCCTTCCCTGGCTTTCCCTGTAAGGTAATGAAGGACAACTGTGAGGAACTGGTAGGTTCTTCTTTCTATTAAGAAAATATTTACCAACCTACCAAGGGCTTCAGCCATTTATTCGATTTCTAAAAATGTCTTCTTGGTTGGTATTACATCTCAGTAATCATAAATGCAATCAACAGTTTGAGGGATGACCCCTTTTTCATTACACATGGATAGATTTAATAAGCAAAAAGCTCTCAAAAGCAGTTCCTCCAGTTAGTTGTATGTCACAAAATGAGAAACAGTTTTGAGTCTGTTGAGCTCTTCTTGATGTCTTCATGTTAATTAATAACAGTAAAATCTGGCTATATCAGGCCATCCGCATAGCAAACAAAATTTCAGGTCAGGCTCAGATTTGAAATGTGGGTGGCTTTGATGCACTGATTGCAAAACAAATATTAGATACAATCAGATCCAATGAAGTCAGATTGACCACAGCCATTGGCCCTTTTTGGGGTGCTCTTAATGTTGCATTGCAAAACTGTAGAATTTGTCCCAGTACTTGAGCTTAACCTTTACCTGCATTTCAGAGAAGTTGCTCTCCCAGCTCTTTTTTTGGGTGGGCCTTAAAAAAGGAGCTACAATGAATTGCGGTATATACTGTATATTTTGATAATGTTAAGTTTATTATTGTCTCCCATAGGTGAAAATTGCCTTAGAGTAAGGGAATTGCTACAACAAAAATAAAACAAATTAAATATGAAAATTCGTCCAAATAGGAAAAAATAGGAAAGCAAATTCACTTTGTTAAAAAATACAACGATTCGAAGGCGAACATCTCAAAGTATACACACCTTAGTATACAAATTACAAAAAAAAACACGTGTCACTTTACATGCTCACAAGAAAACACACAACTGGTGAAAACCTGCAGTTAACTGATGGAGGGACAAATGAATATGGGTCTTTTTTTCTTTTCTTTTCCTATTTATTGGCAAATAACATTGAGTTTAATGTTGCATTGCTGCCCTCTGCTGATCTTTTTTTTTTTGACTGAGCTATTCCCAAGGGGTTGCCTACAGCAGAGTGGTGAAACATCTCTGTTTGGAAGGAGAAATATGTGGTGTCAAATAAAAAAGCAAAATGTTCTTTTGGGACACCATGATGTTTCATATGTATGCATCAGAAAAGTAGACTCAAAGTTGAGGGTGAATGGAATAAATGGTATGTGGTATCTTACTTCTGGGCCTTCCGGTCCTTTGTCTCCCTTTGCTCCTTTGGTGTAAGAGCCATAACCAGGGAGTCCCTGAGAACAGATTAAAATAAGGACACGAATCAGAGAGAGTAAAATTACACAACAACAACAAAGCAGAACCAACAGTAGGGGAGAAGCTTTTGAGATTTGAAAAATAAAAAAGGGCTGTATTAATGAAATGTGTAATGTCAGGTAGGGAATGAGTGGTGTGTGGTGTCAATTTTAAAGAGAAACTTACTGGTGCACCATTGCAGCCTTTTCCACCTACATCTCCTTTGTCTCCCTTTACACCCTGAATAAAAAAATTAAATAAAGTTATGGTTCATTAGTTGCAATGACAACAGTTGCCTATAATGCTGCCAATTTTCCATAAAATCTACTGTGGACATTCATAGTCCTGAAAGGGTAAATCCTAGTATTTTTGGTGACCCTGTGTTTTAATTTCTTCCTTTTACTTCTTCCCTTTACCAAGAGAAATTAGCATTTTATCTAGCCAGTATTCTGAACCTTGACTGAATGGAGATTCACCACACAGATGGATGTATACAGATATGATTGATATATTAATACTGAAAAACGTCATGCATATCACCTGAAACTATAACTTTGATTGCGTTAATGCCATGATATTGCATTCCAGTTGTCCCCATTCATACAGGAAACATCACTCTGTGGATTATATAGTTGCTACAGTGATTTGACCTCAGTCTGTTACTGTACCTTTAATGTAAGACTCTCTGTGAAGAACTCCTTAATCCGACCCGGAGACCCTGGTGGGCCTATTGGTCCCTGTCTCCCCTGCATCAAACACATTAAGATCGTCCTCAAACATGAAAAAGACATAATGAACACAGATTTTCTAATGATCATGTCATAGAATTAGTCGAAGGTAGAGACAAAAATTATGTGCAATCAATACAACATCCTTTCCATAAATAATTAGAACCTTATCAACATACTGTTACGATGTGTTTAAAAAATAAGATACCTTTGGCCCACGAGGTCCTTGGATACCGCCTTTGCCTTCTTGTCCCTGTAGGATGGGAAAGCATTTGTAACTTGTTTATGTAAATAACCTGGTTTCCCAGGCTTTCTCGAGATGTCCTTTATTTTGCATTTCTTCCCATGTTACACCCAGTTTGATTGTGGTCACGTTCTCATGTTTAGTATCCTTGTTGCTGCCATAAACTGCCATGCTCCTTCTGTAATACAATACATCCTAATACCACTATTTTCACTAGTCTGAGCAGAGTTTCACAAGAGACCCGGGAAACAATATCACATGATGATGTTTATGCTACATTCCAAAATACTGCCCTTCCAAAGAACAACTGTGATCGACCAGTATAGCAGCAACTAGGAAACTTTCCCAGATAGTGTAGGCATTGCCAACTATAATAACTGGAGAAACAGGACAAAACAAAAAACCTGCAGCTGTTGTTTTCCTCTGTGCCACTTAGAAACCCAGTAAATAGTTACCCTCGTTATCACAGGCACAAGCTGTCAGACACATACACACATATCCAAAGAAATATTCATTAGCATTACCTTTGCTCCCGGACCCCCTGAGCGACCACGACTTCCCTGTTCATAAAGAATGCAGACAGTTATATCACACATCACATAATATGTTGTTCCAGAGAGTTATGTATATACACACATATATATATATATATATATATATATATATATATATATATATATATATATATATATGTGTGTGTATATATATATATATATATATATATATATATATATATATATGCTATGTTCTCTATGGGAGGTAATCCAAAAAAACTTTACTCACGTCAGAGCCCGGTGGTCCAGGGTTCCCTTCTGGTCCAGGCTCTCCAGGGAAACCTAAATCTCCCTGAAATATAAAGGAAGTTTCCTCTTAATATAAATATACACGTCTGATCCAGTACTACTTGTCTCATCTCTTCTATCGATACAAACAAAAATGTATTATTAGTAATGCAATCTAAATAGTTACCGGCTCTCCGTCCCTCCCACGTGGTCCAGGTGGCCCTGGTATTGCATCATGTGATACCTGAGATATACCCTGTGAAATTGAAATAGTTTGTTTATTTAACATCAGAGTAGTTAAAATGACAGTAGATGTGTAATAATATTGCATAGAATAGGGGAGAGTGGGGTAAGTTGAGCCAAAGGGTAAGTTGAGCCACCCCTTGTTGCTAGGAAATGGTAAAAAACATTGATCATGTGACCAAATATTTAGGAGGAAGGCATCAGGGCAGTAGGGATACGGTTCAACTTACCCCGCTCCTATGCTCAACTTACCCCATACACGGGGTAAGTTGAGCCACAAGACCACTTTTTTTGCACATCCTATATTATCAAAACAGTTATGTTTACACTGATTCTGTTTGTTTGAAGGGATGCACAACATCCTGAAATATATGCAGATATATTAGTTAGCGACACAACTATGATTGCCTTGATGTAGTGATCCTAAATATGAAAAATGGCTCATCTTACCCCACTCTCCCCTATGTAATAATACTTCATAGTTCCATTTTGCAACTCTAGTGCACTGTTGGGCTGTGTAGGCTTCATCACTCATCTTTATGTATTTGTGCCCTTGACATGCTTGCATGTGCTTAGAATTAGAATGACCACATTTAATTTCTTGGGGGCTGCCCCTTTGAAACAGCTGTATAGACCTTATTCAACTAGCGCAACCATAGAATGACAAAAGAGGGATTTCACTGTGCTTATTAACCATGGGCTAGAAATAACACAAAGGCTTCAACTTCTGAAGTTTTTCATCAGGCCTGGGGGGGGAAGCTATTTAGAATTATCCACTGCCATGACACAGGCAACATTAGTGTAAATGGTCGCAAGCAAACTCTCACACTATATTCTCTCACAAGTTCTCAAAGTCCTAGGAATTCTATTCTGCAACTGCTGGCCTCATCATGCAACACTTTCTTCCTAGAAGTATTTATTCTGCTAGGACTTGTGGGCAGTATCCTTTGTGTCTAGGAACCACAAATGTGGAAGATAATTCTGCAAGACTAAGTGATTCACTGGGAGAATGGGCTTGCATATGTGGTTGGCATAATTATGTTACCTCGGAAACCACAGAAATTTCACAGAAAGTGTCCCTTGGGTCTTTGTATGTATGCCTATGTATATAGTGTGTGCCGGTTTGGGAGATGTCATGTCCATTGTTTTATTGATTTTCAAAGGACCAGGCGAGGTAGGTCTTTCAAAAATGAAGGATCATCCGCCATTTCAAAACACAGCAGTGTCACCACTACTGGAAGAAGTGATGATGAAGATGTAGGAACCATTGCTAACATGAGGTTATATGACTTTATATGTAACTGTCATTTATATTTTTATATTTAACTGCCAGTCTGTCCCAGCTGGGGCGATTACCGAGTGGGGGTAATAGTGGAAAAAGTGGAAGCCTTTTTGAAACCCAAGATGTTTTTTTTCCCACCATCACATGAAATGTCCATGAGCAGACTAACTGAGCTGGTACATGCTAATTTTCAGTCCACAGATACACTAAGACGACTGGGTCTACAGAGACAACAGATTCACACTTTAGGGCAAAGCCTGCGACAGAAATGTATCATGATTACAACCCTAAGAGTTTATTTCGTATACCCTTTCTAGCATTCTTGTGCATGCAAATAAACATTGAAATGTTTTTGTCCTGAAAATTAACTTTGAGAATTAACACATTTCTTGTTGCAAATAAAAGTGGACAGACTTAATAAAGAAAATCATTAAATGAGTTGTTGGTCTCACATGGACCAGATACAAAATGAGCTCTGGGAGCTTGGGGAGGCCGAGAGGGCAACTACTAGTGCAGCATCGTGTTATTTTTTTACTTGGTACATCAGGATTCTGCTGATAAACTTCTTAAAAGGCAGTAATTGCTGAAGGATTCTGCAGTTTCACCCTTCCTACAAAACTCACAATAGGCCAATGGTGGGACAGCACCCATTTTATTACCTTAGGTCCTGGCAGACCATCTTGACCCTGTAAAGTAAATACAAAGTTCAGGCACATTTTGAACAACTTTCTTAATGGATAATTTTAAGGATAGCACTAAACAAAAAACAACTAAGTAGGTAACAAGTGTAACAAATTAGCTGAATTTGTTGTATTTGATAACAACACCATTTAACATAGGATACATTTTTGGGGATTTTGTGTCTTACTGGATTTCCATTAATGCCATGGGCCCCGGCGATACCAGGAAGTCCATCGTCTCCCTAAAAGTACATAAAGTGTTCAAAATATGAGAGCCTGGTTAAAGTTTGTTTGAGAATAGAAAAGTGTAATTGAAAAATGTTTGCACTCAAAGCTCCATTATGTGAGCACCTCACAAATAATCTGAAACTATTACATGGAAGACATGCCACAATACCACTGTTAATATGTACACTGAACAAAATTATAAACGCAACACTTTTGTTTTTGCCCCCATTTATCATGAGCTGAACTCAAAGATCTAAGACTTTCTCTATGTACACAAAAGGCCTATTTCTCTCAAATATTGTTGACATTATTGTGGCCAGCCTAAGGCACACCTGTGCAATATCCATGCTGTCTGATGCTGATCAGCCACACCTGTGAGGTGGATGGATTATCTCGGCAAAGGAGAAGTGCTCACTAACACAGATTTTGACAGATTTGTGAACAATATTTGAGAGAAATAGGCCTTTTGAGTACATAGAGAAAATCTTAGACCTTTGAGTTCAGCTCATGATGAATGGGGGCAAAAGCAAAAGTGTTGCGTTTATAATTTTGTTCAGTGTAATATGTTTTTACCTCTGTCCCATTGCAGCCTGGGGCCCCTGTGGGTCCCAGAGGCCCTTGTAAACCTGGGATACCCTAGAGGAGAATAACAGCAAAAGTAACATGCATCAGTTAACATGATGATGATGAACAGAACAACACAGATTTATAAGTGAGTAAGAAAACCTCACCGGCACACCATGAGTCCCACCATATCCTTCTTTACCTTGAGGTCCCTGGGATGACAGTAGCAAAAATAGTTTACTCTTTTAAAAGGCACACAGCACAGCTACTGAGTCTATACACAAGTCATTTAAAGCATAACTCAACACACGCTGAGATATCATATAAACAGCCAACAAACACCCAAACACAAGCTTGGATTGCACAGTTGTGTTACCGGATCGCCTTTTGGCCCCACAGGTCCATCAGGCCCAGTGTTGCCCTGGCAAAAACAGAAACCTATAATTAATCTTGATGATCTTGTAAGATGCAGTATAAGCACAACTAAAAGTTGTCTATGTGCACAAAGAGAAAGTGTACTTCATCACAGTCTATACACAGTCTGAGTTAATGTTGCCCCCGACAACAGTATTGGATTCGGGGATGTACAGAATATAAGTGCAAAGGAGCTAGGTTGAAATTGTACCTTTGGTCCCATAGGTCCAGGATGACCATCGATTCCTGGACGACCCGTTGACCCTTTGAGACCTGGAACGCCAGCAATGCCTTTGTCTCCCTGTGTTTGTGAGAGAGAGATAAAAAGAAGCAGAGGGAGTAATGTAGACAAAGAGATGAGGGGGCAGACAAAGAGCAAATGACAATAAATAACAACAGACGTACAGACGTATGTAATTTCAAACATTACATACTTCTTTAATTGTTATCAACATGGATACATGGAAATATTGCTGCACACTCAAATATGAGATTTATGCATAATCAATAACATACTTGCTGCTAAATAACATACCATTGCAGGTCACCGGTGAAGTCCAATTTACACATGTAAAATCAAAATTTTCTGGATCATGGTTAAAAATATAAAAGCTTGTTCATTACTACAGTAAACAAACCTCTAGCAGTATCAGCAAACATTAATAATATACTTCTACTTACTTATTGTTGTCAAGTGTTAGTCCCTGTATTAAAATACCTGTCAATAACTTTCAGAGTAATAGGAAGTTATTTTGAGTTTTGGTGATGTTTTTGAAAGTGAGACTGCTGTTAAACAATACTTACTTCTCAATCCCAGTTGAACATTAATAAAAAAACTTTTAATAAATATTACATATAGTTTGAATCAATGTGTCTTTTTGCACGTGTTCAAGTATGGCTGGATACTTGAAATTGACACACACAATTGATTTGATGATTTCCCTCATGATTGCATTTTGCACTTTGCTGATTGCATGCTAGCCTGAAATATCAATCAGACTACAATCAGTGGAATACATACAGTGACAGGACTTTTTGCAGACCATTGCTGAGTATGAATAGTATTAGATTAAAGAGGTTTGAGGGGTTCTGCGCTCTCTGCTTGGAGCTCACTGCAAATTGATTTAAAATGAAACTGCTGGTCTCGGAAGGTCACAGAAGACATTTGATAAGTCACAGTTGGAAAAGCATGGGTGTAAATAATAAAATTAATGATATCTGAATTTAATTTCCATTAGCGGTTTCAGTTTCAGGGTCCTGATATTGTTCACGCTGGCTCACTGTCACACTGTCACACTGTCATGACTAACTGCAACACTTGAATACAACAAATCCATAGTGCTTTTCCTACTGTGACCAGTCAACATGTCTACTGTGAAGAAGGCCAATTCTTTCATATATCGTTGTGTGTTGAACTGATGCATTTAGGTTGACTAATAGAAGAAAATAAAAGAAAATCATGAAGGTATTGGTGCATCACTCAGATTAAATAATATAGCTGCATCAAATGTGAGTTCCTACATTGCAAAAAATGCTGAGCTGGCACACCTGACCTGTTGTGTAATGTACGTCAATCATAGTTACAAACAAAGTAACAAAATGAGTTAAACAAGTGGAAACTGCAAGAGGCAGAATTAAATAATTCATAGCACACAACAGAACTGATGAAATGTTAACACATACATTAAATGATCCACTCACCCTGCTGCCATTCTTTCCTTTACAGTGGCACCTTGAGCTGCACACACACTAAAAAGAAATTGTAACATTGTTCAATATGTATTGTGTAAAAGGAATTTTTTACACACACACACACACACACACACACACACACACACACACACACACACCTACAGTCATGTGCACCCCCTCTTAAGCTGGGTGCACCCCAAAGCTTGGGAAGCAGGTACCGAAAGCAGTCTCCTGATTTAAGTGATCCAAACTGTTGCAAGATCAATTGCAACTTTTACATTATGTTAATCCACAATTTGTTGTTCGTCCAATGAAGACAGTTTTGTTAGGGAGGATCTGTGGAAGATTCATGGAAGCAGTTTAACTAAATAACATCTATAACTCTCCAGTGTTAAGGGCTAACACCTCCTGTGTCTCTGCTCAACGCAGTGGCCTTTAATTTGAAGGCTGTGGACATTATGGCTTATCACAGAGGAAAACACACTAAAAAGGTAGTTGCATGCACAGTGGTGGGCTGTCTGCAGGGTAAATGATAGGTCAGCAATTGGCTATAAGGTGATATACTGGACCATTATCAGTTAACATCAAGTTATTTGAGATGTTTTATATTTCCAATTAACTTTAACCTTGTGACAATCCAGCAATAAACCCGAATGCACTGCTCCTGGACAAAAAGGGTCTGAAACCAATTCTGGGTCATTTAATAGAGGCCTTTTTACTGTAATAAACTTACTTCCTTGTGCACATGAAATTAAAATAAAACAATTCCAATTAATTGGACACAATCATCTTTGTCTTATAAGGTAGAATGCTTTTTTATTGCCATGGCTTTAACAGCAGCTAGGCTATAACAGCATGAAAATGTTATGCTGTCAAGTTTTTTTTTTGCAGGAAAAAATAACGTCAACTAATAAATGTCTCTAACCTTTCTGTCTAGTGCTGGATTGCTGTTTTGCTCCTACCATATCCTGTCCCTCTTCAATGACCTTAAAAACCCATACCATAAATAGGCCCACCAACATTGCCCAGTGAAATATGCTGTATACAGTAAAGTGCATGTGCAAACAGACTGCAAAAAAACCCTGCATCTCTTCAGGACTCAAGATGTTTGCAGATGTTTTGCAGATAAGCAGAGACACAAATGTAACAAACAGACCACACTGTTGTATATCAAAGCTAAGACTGTAAAGAACAAGTGGTGCTAACATACACAACAGGAAATACAAGGAACAGAAAGACACTTTTCTCCCATAAACAGTGATTCAGTAGATTTCTGTGTGGAACCTGGGAGAGTTACAGCAAGAGAAAGGTAAGGTAAGTTATTCTGAACAACATTAAACACTATGTGAAGAGAGAAAAAAGTAAAATGTGACTGATGTATTTCTTAAGAGCAGGTTCAAACAGCTTTGATAAAAAACTGTGTGGTAAAGAGAAAGACATGGGTAGTTTTTTCTTTAACAAAGCACACCAATAGTTAATACACAATTGTAGCTCAGCAACTTATCCAGTCTCTGCAGTCTGATATGAAATAAATAACAACCAAAAGTCTGATCCTGAAAGGATTAAAACTAAGAGTAAGTACCCCATGTGTGTACAGTATAAAATAAAAGCACACATGAAAAAAGACAATACAATGTTTGTGTTTAATACCTGTGCAGATAAGAGTCTGTGGTTTTGGCTAAAGTAAATCTGATCGTTCTGCTGTACAATGTTATGTCAACAAGGAATAAGTAAATATCTTACATTTTTGGCCGCAGTGCCCATCAGCATCACGGCAAACAGGATCAGAGGAACTACGGACACTGGCCTCCACATTCTTGCTCCAGTTACATCAAAAGCAAAGTGACCACAGACTCCTAATGTCTTTTTGAAGCGTCTTCTTCAACACCCAGCCTCCCCATTACACCCATCCATTGCTGAACTATGGGAGATTTTAGGCCAGGGCTTCAGTTAAATTAAAGTTCCCTGTCTGGATCAAGTGTCTTGACAGACAGAGCAGCCCGGAGAAGTTGTTTAATTTCACCCTGAAGAGGAGGGCGGTCTGAACTTACTCATGCGGTCAACCCCAAACCTCCGTCTCCTCATCTCATTTCTAATACTTACAAACAGTGACAGAGGCACAGAGATTAGCTTGAATCTTGTCGGAGATTATCCTGCTTGGGAAGCACTAAAGCGCTCATGAAGATTCATTTGAGCTCCTGAATTTGGGTGAGTTGTGAAATTTGTGCATGTGCATGATGGACTGTTATAGACTACATGGGGTGTAAACTGTTAAGCCTAAAGAGATTACCTGGGTGAGTGGACAGTAACAACAACTTCTTTATCAGTAGAATATTTTAGTTTTTTTAATCAAAACTGCCTCAATTACATGTGATCTCAAAGAAAGTGATCCTTTACTGTCATATAACATCAACTGGCACATGGCTCACAGGTGTCTTCAGTGATTCATGTTTCCTTTTATCCACCATAGGGGGCAGCACTGATGTCAGCACTCACCTGTTAAGTAGACTGATGACTGAGGATAGAGAGATGGGATCCTCGGTTACTGCTGTTACTTTGTGCCCCCGCAGGTAAGTCCCACTGAAACAATATTAATAATTCATTATTAGCAATAGGAGCAATGTGATATGTATATCATAATTCTTTTCATCTTTTGCAGCATCCATATCTGATGATGATATCAGAATCAGAATAAGAATCAGGTTTATCAACAAGTAGGTTTTTTACATGCAACGAATATGTCTTGCCTATCCTCACGAATATGCAGCCTCACCCAATAATTCGAAAAAAATCTCTGTAAACACGGCGTCATTTCCAGAAATATCTGCGTCCACACGGATTCACTGACAACGATCCAAAACGTTGTAGTACATATGCCAGGCCTGTATATGGCGCTGTGACGCCGCCACACCAATACACTAAAACCGGAAGAGAAGCCATGGAGCATGCGCTGTTTACAAACAAGTAGTAGTAGTCCGCCATTGTTGTTGTTGTTATGACGCATCTAGCGGCGGCGGCTGAGGTTAAAGGCTAGAGAGGCGGGGCTAATACGTCATCGTTTCAGAAAAAAACAGTTTTCGCCGTCCAGACGACTCCGGGCAATCCGGCGTTTCGGATTTTCCCACTCTGGGACCCGTTTCCAAAAAATACCGTTTTCACACCCCAACAACGCCGTATCCGTCTGGACGCGAGGCCGATACGATAAAGTACTTATCCGGAATCGAGAAAAATAAGGAAAAATAAAAAAAAAGTACTGCAAAAGTGAAAATAGAAACATCTATACAAAAAATGTCAAATATATGTTTTTAAAGTGAAAAGAGCTGTACAGTGTTTGAAAATGTGCATCAATGTAATGCGTTGAGTCAGATGTGAAGACTCATACATCCCCACATCAGAAAACGTAAATCAACATATCTTTCCAATATTAAAAGTGCGATTTTTAAATTCTTATTTTGAAACTACCTTTCTCACAAGAATAATGTCCCTGACACACTGAAAATAAATCAAACAGTTATAAACATTTATAAGGTATGTCTCATGAAGTTTGATGGTATTCACATGCCAAATGTATTTACTTGAAGACAAACACACTTCTTGCCTGTTTATGCAGATATTCAACACATAGCAATACTTGCATTCCAATATGTAGACTGTATAAAAAACTGACGTCCATGACACGAGACACAGTCTGTGTGAGTGCCAGGTATCACCTGCAGTGTGGTGACACTTTGGGTAGTTTCATGTTGTTTTCTTTCTCTAGGGGTGGAGTTTTAGTTCTCCTGTACACAAGAGCAACGCATTATAAGCAAAATTTCTTTTTTAAGACTTAATTTTCATTAATAAAATTATTGCATCGCATTCTGTGCACTTTGTAATATGTTGAGAGCATCCCAGAGTTATGGGTTAACCAGCAAGCACCACACACACTCTGATTGTCAAGCAGTTTACGTGACAGTCATTTATGGTTGTGTGAAGGCATCAGGTAGCTGGGCTAAATGAGACTACAGTTAATTTATTACTACTGTTACATTCACAGGTGGATCCTGGTCTTGGTCATCTTGGTGCAGCAGCTCAATGCAGTAAGACTTTCTTTTTTAAGTCTTAATTACATACACATTTGAATTCAAACCAAAATATCAATACTGTGACACCTTTTTAAATCAAAAAACCTACTATGAACTATTGCACTTTATGACCATATTGCTGAGAATAACCATTATGCATATACATTGCTCCCAAACTCAGACATAACCTGCAAGATAAAGCAGATATTAACATGTTTAAATTATCTAGGCAACTAGCACCTCAATAGATTTAACGTGATTTTAAAGTGCACTGGGTGAAACATATCCACCTGCTAAGCAGTAAAATATCCCTGAAATAAACTTTCATTTTCCTTAAATGTGAAGTTTTGTTGATTAAACTTTGTGAGGATGTTGTACTGGAATTGAAGAGACAAATGTCTCCATTATTTTATTACATTTTTTACATAGTACAACAATATCACCACCACCTTACAATATACTCTGAGTTACTAGTTACATATTTACCGTATGTACAAGCTAATGCAACCCAAGTAGTGCTTTGTGAAGGGTATCATATTTTTTTTGTTGTTGTTGTTTTAATGTGTTAATTCAACTTAATGCCCCCTCAATCATGTAAATGGGGTGGAAAAACACTAACAGTTCAATAAAACATCACTTATTAGAGCCTCAAAACCCACCAGAATTAAATCAACACACTATGGCCCATGGCAAAAAACAGGTGTTTACTTTTATTGGAATGTCGTGTTCATCAATTCATCATGTTGAGTTTAATAACAACTTTTTGTAAACACTGCTGCTGTGGGAATGTAGTTTAGGCTCGTCAGTTTAGGCCTGTTGCCGAGATAGTCCTGTACCTGACACTCTCAGTACACTTCATGTCTCTGGGTATGTCAGTGTCCTCCTGTTTGTGTACACATCTGGGTTAACACACTCACAACCTGGAAACTGTATGTGTTTCTCCGTATGGGTTTGCAGTATTTAAAGTAGTACTTGCCTCGTACTAACATTTTCCTGCACAGTGCACAGACCTGCTAGGTGTCTAATGGTTCACAAACACGATATGCTAATGCTGATATATCGGCTGAGTTTGTCTATTGCATATATATGTATGGGTTTATATGTCACCTGCTAAGGAACAAGAAATGGCAATATAGGAATGCCAAAAATACAGTAGGCCTATGTTTAAGAGAATCTAGAAACAGAGTCACTATTACAACTGCAACTGCACATATACCAGGGTCAAAATTATTTTTAAATGTGTGTGTTTTTTATTATAAATCAGCTAACACAATATTAACGGACCACTTTTGATCACACTTTCTGACTGGAAGGTAGGACATTAACAATTCATTTTTCTAATAAACTATTCACATTAAAATATATTAAATATTAAATGCTTTGGAGCAGACACATGCATAGCAACCAAGTGAGTGTACTCACTTAAATAGCATAAAGCTATTGTGCCAGTTGAACACTTTTCTTGTTCCAGGTTAGGTCAGGTTTTTTTTTTGCCAAACTAAAAACACAAGAACAAAAGTCAAGGAATTAATGAATTAACTTTATAGTCAGCTGCAAATATGGCTTGACCCCAAACAAATTCTAACTTCTCAATGGTTTACAGTAGTGTCAGATGTACTTAAAAACATACTAAAAGTTTACCAAAGTTTGACTCCAAGAAAGGCCTCATTTACAAAATGGCAGCCGTCAGGTCCTTAAAATGACCATTACTCCTTTGTATTCCTCCTAGACAAGGAATAGTGGTGCCTGATACATGTTTTGGCCATGTAATATTCTAATTAGCATATTTGCATGATAGATAAGTGATTACAAGTACAATTATATATTAAAGCAATTGGTTACAAGCATATTTATGCGGAAAATAAGTACAATTTCCCTTAAGTAGTTGCTTATTTTTCCTGTCTCATATTGTTTTGCCTAATGTTGGTGGTTTCTGTGGTTCATAATCAGTCTTTTGATTCAAATAAAGAATAAATTCATTAGAACTGTGTGGTACTGTAAAATAAGTCAAAACAGGGCTACCACGTGAAGGCTCAGTACCACTTACCCCTTTTATTTTTTTGTGTTTTATGTTTTTATATTTTTTAAAATGCATTTTGGTTTTTTTGCCTTTTGTTTTTTATATTTTTTTAATACTTTTCTTATTTATACATATCTTTTTATATTTTCTTCAGTTGTTTCCTCTTATTCTGGTTTATTTTTTATACTTTTTTGCACTGTGACCTTCACTAGATTTACCATTAGTCTTCACACTCTTCCTCCCATAGAGGTTGATTATAGTGATTCTCACAATTCCCAACTTGACATGGTCCACAAGCAGGCATGCATGGTAGTCCATATGCCTTGCAACTGCACCGTTGTGTTCAGCAGGCAGTTGTGCAATTACAGTGGATCATCTGCAGGAGGCTTTCTGGGGCTGCAGTCTTTCTGGTCATAACTGTCAGGAACTGGTTGTCCACCAGTTTCCATCTCCAATCCACTGTGTTCAAGTCACCTTCCTTTCCAATCCACACCATGATCTGGAAGTAAACTCTTTTGCAGTGGTATTTGGTTGAGGACTCAGAGGCAGACGTTCTGAGGTAACAAATGACTTGGCGGTAACGATTTTCTTGCTAAAAAGGTTGTAGCGCAAAGAGGCAAGTGAATCAGTTCTCTTTCCACCAAACAACACTGCCATTGCCTTGGTCCCATGGTCTTCTATGACATTCCTTGCTTGATGTGGGAGCAGAAACACATTTGTACATGACTGGATGGTTAATTCACCATTCACAAGTTTCTGGAATGCTGTCCGTTTGCCAACACTAAAAATGCGTTGTGTAAAGTTGTATCACATCCTGTGAAGGCGTGAATAAACAACAACTGGGAACACAAGTCTCTAGCCAGGACTTGTTTCATCTCATTGATGTTGTACACTATAGTAGCTTTGGACTTTGTTCGTCCCAGCATAGTAGAGGAGAAGAATGAGTAAGTAAGTATAACCATCAAAAACGACTGTTGCTTTACCATAATGGTGTATGGTAAAGCCTGCATATGACTGTGCAATGGCACCGTAACTGTCACCCTTTTTCCATGCCAAGACAGTTTTGTTTGAGTTCTTGCTTGAGAACTCAGTGACTGCCTGCGCTAGTTGGGGCTTGTTGGCTTTACGGAAGATTTCCTTGCCTTCGAACAGGGCTGCAAGAAATGAGCAGAGCTCATGGCTCATTACGTCTTCCAGTGAAAACTGTTGAGTTTTAGATAAGATCAGGAACCGTTGGAACAGCAAAGCAGGATCGATGGTTCAGTCTTGGGCAACTTTGATGGTGGAGTCATCTGCAAGGGTTTTATTTGAGCAGAATGGTATAGGGGAGAGTGGGGTAAGATGAGCCATTTTTCATATTTAGGATCATTACATCAAGGCAATCATAGTTTTGTCGCTAACTAATATATCTGCATATATTTCAGGATGTTGTGCATCCCTTCAAACAAATAGAATGAGTGTAAACATAACTGTTTCGATAATATAGCTTGTCCAAAAAAAGTGGTCTCGTGGCTCAACTTACCCCGTGTGTGGGGTAAGTTGAGCATACCTATTTTGGTCTAAACACAATTCTCATTAAACTTATGATAGACTAAATTCACTTTCAAGAGTGAAAAAAGATTTTTTGGAAATAAATATCTAACCGCTTTACCCATGTGGTTCTTACATTCACAGACACCATGAAATGATGCCTTCCTCCTAAATATTTGGTCATGTGATCAATGTTTTTTACCATTTCCTAGCAACAAGGGGTGGCCTCAACTTACCCTTTGGCTCAACTTACCCCACTCTCCCCTACACTGTGCTGCCAACAACATTTCAATGAGGCAAGCAATATCAAATGTCAGTTTTCTCTTCCACCATCCTCTGAATTGCCAAAAATTGTGAATTTAGTTTTGTTGGGTTTAGTATAATGCCACCTTTATACTCAAAAACATCTATAGAGGGTGCATTACATATGTATTACCTTATTCAAATTGAAATGAGTGATCATTTTAGAGGGTTCACACACAGGCCTCTGTTCGGGCTAATTCAGAGTTGTTCATGATCAAAAGTTATACAACTCCAATTTAAGTTACTTTTGGGTGCAATAACTTTTACATTGAATGTCAAGTCTGTGTTTTAGCAAAAAAAAAGGGTATGTGTCCAAAAACACGTACTGAGTAGGAGTTACATGACATAGGCTAAATCGTTTACATCTCTGGTTCACCCCAAACAAAGATAAAACCTTACAGTAATCTCACAAAATCATGTATTCCATAAGTATGTAATCTTGTCAGTGCAATGGATTCATAGACCCAGAAAACATGGGGTTACACACCAATATTACTTGGCTAGGTCAAATAATGAAGGTGGCCTTTCAAGTGGTCAAACTTTGGTAAACTTTTAGTATGTTATTAAGGAGACCTAATACTACAAAAAACAGCTAAGAAACCTTTTGTTCGATTTTTTTAGGGTTAGGTGTTTTTTTTTTCATATATGTTTTTTTCATATTAGCTACATTGTGTGTTTGCCTGCTCTAATGTAAACTGCAGCTAACGTTAGTATAAATGCTAATGGCTCGCACTAGTCCTAATAAGCCTAATGTGAGCTAGCTAAAGGCTAACACACATTTTCAGAAAAAAAGCTCAGTTCCTAACGGTTCATTTAGGTGTTTTGTTATGTAAAAGTAACACTCAAACATATTTATTATTTATCTTATTATCACACACCCATCAGGTGGTGCAGTAATGCCAAGAGAGCAGTGTTACATTTAGGAAAAGTAGTCCAAACTGATAAGTAGTAAATAGGGGTTGCCAAAGTCCCCAACTTTCAAATTCTACTCTGCTAAAGCTAAACTTAGCTTAACACTAATTCTTGTTTAGCTGCTACAGCATGTTATGTGGCAATGGAGACCTGCCAGTTTTACGTTTACTTCACTAAGTGTTCCCAATTTAGTTAATGCACTGAATCTCAATGGCCTGTCCACGACATAGCAAACTGTTGTATGTTTTTGTGATTGCTGTGAGAGATAACCACGAAGTTTGGACCGAAAGAGAAAGTGGGCTAACAGATGTGGGATGGAACTCAATTTCACGAGCACAAACTCATCCAAATATTTAGTAAGCTTCAAGAACACATGACTAAATATTTGCCACAGACATCTCTGCACTGTAAAACTCTCTGCAGACATAGGCACACACACTCTCTCTCTTTCAGACACACACACACACACACACACACACACACACACACACACACACACACACACACACACACAAGGAATAATTGCCATCTGGAGGTGTGGACTTAAAAGAATAGTTTTTCAGCAAGATGCATAATTAGAACTGTGAGCTTTCTTTCTCATCAAGGTCTGAGTGCTTATTATTTGCCCAAGTGTATGTGAGAACACTGATTTGTTTATCAGTACTGTCCAGTCACCACAAGTAAATATGTTGATTCTCAAGGCTGATTCTCAAAGTTGTAAAACTCTCAGGAATGGCAGTCATGCCCAAATTCCAACCTTACCTCATGTGCCCGCAGATGCCCTTAAGATCCCTTACTATAATCTCCTCTGCTTGGACATGTCTCTTTCAAATGCATTAATGACGAGTCTCCTCTGCGTATGGCTTGTCTCTATTTGTTGTTCCAGGGGGAGATTCTGGAGCCATGTCAAGGAAGAGACTGCTCCGTATGTCAGTGTCTTACTGTCAAAGGTGCACGGGTATGGACTCTTTCTTCTCATGTTGTTATGTATTGGAAAGTTATCATTAATTACTCTCTCAATAGTAAGGTTGATATTTTCTTCATTAGAAAGAGATTTAACTGTGGAAACTATTTATATTTATTGTATTTTTCTCCAAAATTACTATATATATATGTTTTTTAGAAATATTATATTCGATGATTTGACAGATACTGCACCTAATGGCATATATTGCACCTAATAGCTTTTTATAATAAAACCAGTACAGTGCAGCATTATTGTTATGTTAATCAACTATCCAGGTGCAAATAAATAATTCCTTGGTTGCTGATAGAGTTGAAAATGTGAATTAAATGTCGTAAATAACTTAATGTTCCTGAAGAAAAAAAGCTGTTCTTAATCCTAAGTGTCACAGTTTCAGTTAATGTTTTGACTTTTCTCTTTGCAGGGACCTCCAGGGAAGCCAGGCCAGCAAGGCCCCCTGGGACAAATGGGATCATGGGGACGTGAAGGGCTACCGGGAGAAAAAGGCCGGATGGGAGCAGAGGGATCACATGGCCCACCGGGCCCCAAAGGAGACCAAGTTAGTGTGCATCTTCATGTGCATAGTTGTGTCTAAGATAGAGACAGACAGAAAGCAAGGCAGATAGCTAATCATTACAATATGTATACATTGTTAAACCTCAAAATGATATATTGCCAGTGATGCAATCTAACTCTGCAATGAATGAATGGTGCACATACTTTGTACATTTCAGGGCAAGACTGGTGTTCCTGGTTTTCCTGGTAATAATGGCTCACCAGTGAGTAAACTACCGTTGTTGTGAATTGTATCTACAAATTCAAGAAAAACCTATACATCTTACACTGACAGTAATAATCCCTTAGAGGTGAGTAACTCTCTGAGGGGATTGCACCAACATCCCAAACCCTGTATAGCTCAACATTGGGTTGACATACTTTTTGCTTATTTTTATGAACTTTTTTTTACAAACTTTTTTGTGTAATAATTCCAGCTATGTAACTGCCAAGTGCATGCATTTAAGATACAATATTGGAGACTGCTACTGAAGAATGTGTCTGGTATGCCCTCTAGTGGATACATCATGGAGTACTGTAGATGTGGGCCTGGTTTCCTTCTATACCTACTGCAGCTGCCTCTTCATTACTCTAGAGCTTGTGTTTAATAAAAACTGAAGTTGTTCATCTTCACCACTATATAATTATGAAATATTAGCATATTATGCAATATAGGCCTGACGCTATGAATGCTGTAAAGCATAATTTGACTCAATTTGAGTCAATGAGGTCACAATTGTGACTTCTTATACTTTGCAATTAAATTTCATCACCATAACTGTATTATATTGTTCAGGGCCATCCTGGAGCAGGCGGCAAGCCCGGTTTGCCAGGAGTGGATGGCTGTAACGGGAAAGGAGGTCGACAAGGAGTCCCTGGTATTCCTGGTTTGGATGGTCTCCCTGGGCTGCCAGTGAGTATAACTCCTGTGCTGATATTTTCTCTCAGTCATAATTCAGTCAGGAGTGAGACCTTCAGATGTCCTTCTGTAGGCATTCTATGAAATGTAGGGGTTCTGCCGCGAACAATTTTTGTGCAGTGACAATGCAGGACGTGGTGTGGCATTCAAATAGCACAAAGATAAGTAAGGTTGTGGAAGTTTGGTCGGTGGTTGAACATGTAGACCAGATGCCTGAGTTTCTGTCCTGTTTCCTACCAGCAGTTAGCTTCTTTTTTTTTTTTTTTTAAATAATAGCAATGTTCTCTGTCATTCTCTATAAACATGATTCAGTATTTTGTCCAATGTTAACTTTTCGTTGGATCTGATCTTGGATCTGTATGTGTAAATATAAATAACTACACCTGTTATTTTAATTCCATTAGCTATGCATGTCATGTAAATATTTTTATATTTCTCGTCAGGGAATACCTGGACCTAAAGGAATTAAAGGAGAACCTGGGTATGACACTTCCCTTCCAGGACTTCCTGTAAGTTCCACTAGTGTGGAGAAGCTCAGATCAATGATGGAGTGGGCTTCACAAGTGTTGAAAAACAATTGTTTAATCAGTTTCATTATAATTTGCCATTTACAGTGTCTGTAAATATTGACATCTTCTCATCAGTCTTTGTTTCATTTTATGTTACAGGGGGAGCGTGGTAGAGATGGAGAACGTGGTCGACCCGTATGTTTTCTTTTCTTATTTTGACAGTAAACCAGTATTTCCCAGCAATATTCTGCTAATGAATAAAGCAAGGATCAAATGCCTTGGATCTTACACTCTCTGCTTGCAGTTAAGTTGACTCAACTTTATGTTTAGTCTCTTTAACAAGCATCATTTGTTTTAAACTCAGGGAAGACAGGGAGACATTGGGCCTAAAGGCTCTACTGGCCCTCCAGGTTTTCCTGGACCTGAGGTGAAAAGGTTTTCTCTTTTTTAATTGAATTTTTGTATGTAGGTTGTCATTAAGACCATATTAGAGGATATGCATGGTATGCTGCAATATATTAGACCTGCAATAATCCCCATTACAAGAACAAATATGTGAAAATATATGTGTGTGATTCCATTCAGGGCGTGGAAGGACCTAAAGGTTTGAGAGGACTGCCAGTGAGTCACCTGCTTCACAATATTTGCCAGTGCATGCTGTAAAAGAAAACCCTTTGATACATAACCATACATCCACACAAACACGAAACCTTACTGAATTTTTGGTTCTTGCATAGGGGGACCCTGGAGGATCACTGACTGGTGATAAAGGTGATGATGTAAGAAACCATTTTTACCTTTGGCAGCAGTTCAATAAGGTTTAACATTGTGTGTTTCTGTGTGAAAGTTTATATGATGTGTGTGCATACATCCAACTTACAACCCCAGCAAGTGTCTTCACCCTTTTAATTCCATATTCCAGGGTGAGCAAGGCACACCTGGCCCACAAGGACCAGAAGAAATCATAATAAATCCTCCAGAGTTTCTTCCACCTAAAGGTTACAAGGTGAAGACAAAGCTCTCATCTGTATTTATACAAGACTGCTCATTTATAGCTACTACATAAACCTGTATGAAGACAAATCCAACTTGATTCATGTCTTTGACGTTTTCAATCAAACCCTGCCTTCTCCACGCCTTAGATATTTTCTTTGTTACTTTTCAGGGAGAAATAGGTCCTCCTGGACCATGTGGACCAGATGGCATACCAGTAAGGATGACTTTTATCCAGTATATTAGAATATAGAATACAGTATGTCTGAGAGTAAGTAAAAAGTATTTGATTTGGATTTTCCTCCTTATCAGGGTGGTAGAGGAGACTACTATAATCAGGGAATAAAAGGAGAGCAGGGAATCCTTGGTTTTCCTGGACATCGGGTAGGTGACTTAAATGACATTGCACCATGTTGTTAGACAAATACATTAATTCAAAAACAATATTCACACCATTGTTTCCATCTCTAGGGTCCTCCAGGATTTCCTGGTAGAGATGGATCTCCAGGACCTAAGGTACACCTGTGATATAATAATGCCTTCCCTCATGTTACTATACCTAGACAATTTTTTTAGGTTACATTGATATGTTTTCAGGGTCTGCAAGGAGAGAAAGGACTTCCAGGTCTAATTGGAAGAACTGGACCAAAGGTGAGCATGAACAACACAAAGGAATCGGCATCACAATTTCAACAAAATTAGAAAGCTAATGTCAGGTTATGTGCAAACATAAGCTAGTTATTTGTAAAAATGGACCATTATATTGAAAGCCTAGAGTGCTGCTAGGAGTTAAACTTTGAGGATGCACTTTGATATTGATGACATGGATCTATATTCTCCAGCAGGACAGATACTTGGTGGCATCTCAGTGATACCTTTGTTCCCTTTAAAATAAGATTCTTACTTCAATTATAGGAAAAAAGTGTCTGCTGCCTTCTGGTGGTTGTTCAGTGGGATTATCACATTTACTGGACAGGACCAGTGACCACACCTTCTTCATCTTTAGAAATATTATGTGCATCAGTGGCATTTTCTATTTGTGGTTCTAGTCTCCAACATCTTTCCATCCAACAGGGTTACCCAGGAGATCCAGGTCCCCCCGGTCCACTGCTCTTTCGCAATGGAAGTGATGCCAGAGGTGAGACCAAAGCACTGACTGCACTCTCTATTTTGAAACATAATATTGACATAATTTCTTGAATCACTGTCATGAACCTGCTCTAGGATTATGACAAAGGAGGGAGACCGCACAGAGAATTTAAATGTTTTGAATAAAAAGAATTAAACAATATTCACAGTCACAAATCATAGTATGTATATGTACGTCAGTGAGATCAGTAGTGTAGTGAGTGTGTGTGTGTGGACTTGGGTGAAGAGTGTGTGGAAAAAGGTAATGCATATCTCCAAATACCAAAGACTATCAGAAAACCAAAGACTGCAACAAACCAGGAACCTGCTGACTGGAAGGAGAGAGACAGAGAATAATGACCAATCAGCCATTTATAAAGATCAGCAATCAGGACACACCAGGTGTAGCCCATCTAATGGCCACACCCTCTGCCACTCTGTCTCCTAGAGAGAAGGGAAAAATCCCCAGACCAACCAGAGGGGGGAGGGGTCATCACAATCACAAACTTGGTCTTATTGTTTTGGCCAGTGTAACTACAGTATATTGGTAAAACAGTGTTCTCATCACTGTTACTGTAGAGATTTTAGATATACAAATGAAATAGTGTGACACTCCAGTGGGGTCCAGAATCTATGCTTTTTTATGTCTATGTTTTTATGTGTTTGTAAGATGTAGTCATCTTTAATTATGTCTGTTGCAACAAATTGAAAAAAACATAATTTATAAAGGGTATGAACCATAGAAACTCCTCAAACCACTCATGCAGCATACGCCACTTCTCCAGTGTTTATCTGTATAAGAATATTTAAACTTGTTGACTTTTTCATGGCTTTACTTCCGTATTATTCAGGGCCTAAAGGTGATCGCGGGTATCCTGGAACCCTTGGATTTCCAGGTGACTCTGGGTTCATGGGCATGCCTGGACCTCCTGGCCCACCAGGGTTAACAATACCAGGTCAGTTCAGCCTTTGACTCAGGTTAAACAACTTACGTCCACTTTTTTCTCCCTTCAACCATTTATGACAGATGTGGTGTTATAGCAGATGATATTGTACTATGAATCAAACTCTCGATTAAATTCCTGGTTTGTAGGACTACTAGGTCTTGACCCTATATAGTTTGTTCTCTCTTTGTTTTACAACAAAGGTTTGTGTTTTCAAAGTTAAACTGTCTGTCTTGACCCAACCTTATTTGAAGTTTCATATCATCTCTCGCACCTAGAGGAGCTGGGTCTGCCGGGTCCAAGAGGGCCTCTTGGTCCTAAGGGCTTCAAGGGAGAGCCAGGAAGGTATAATAACTTTGAAATAAATCCGTTTCCGGGACCAAAGGGAACTAAAGGGCATCTCGGACCTAAAGGTGCCAAAGGCCCCCCAGGTCCTCCAGGTATACTAACACTTCCTTCATATTAAACACAAAATAGTTTCCTATGTGTTAGTTAATCTCACAAATCTAATTCCATTATCTGAATAACTATAAGTTTGTGTTTTTGTGCATGTTCATTTGAATGTGGACTTACCTTCTGGCTTGTGTGTGTATGTGTTTTTGCATGTGTATGTGGAATACTTGATGTGATCAAATCAGGATGTGGAGGTGAGTTCTCAGTTTCTTCTTAAAGTCCACTAATTCAACTTCAATTAAAGGGGAACTTGGCAACTTTAGCCATTTCTTCACTGTTATTCACTTTTGTTGTTGCATGTTTTGTCAACAAGCTCCCCCTACAGCTCTGGGACGTATATTTCAAAACACTGTCGTAAAAAAACTCACTTGCGGCACCCTCCTGCCCCTTTCTACCGCTGCTGATGTGCATTTGTTGCCAGGCAACTTTTTTCGTGTGGAGCAATGTCTACCGAGGTGGGTTATACATTCATTGTCGCTTGTTCTTATAGCCGGCATGGCTAACCAGTATTGGGGGGGCGTGTGCGTTTATGTGGAATTGCCGTAAAGCAGTTTGTGTTTCTCGCCCGTTCTTGCTTCTCACGATACTTCCTATTTCCAACTTAACGGGACGGTAGTCCCAAGTTGCAAGGTTGGTTTTCCGCCTGGGGACGCTAGGGGGAGCGGGGAAAGTCACCATTTTCACCGGAACAGGCCATTTAACCATGCAAATGATTTCTAAACGGGTTTATTAAGTTGACATAGTTGCCAAGTTCCCCTTTAAAATTAAAAGTTAAAACTACTTGCAGAAGTTTTTAACTTATAATGGCCAATATGTGTGGCTGGTTGTTTTACAGATTACTACTGTGAGCCTGGTTATCCAGGAGACCCTGGCGACCCAGGACCCAATGGATCTACTGGAAACAAAGGGCTCAAAGGAATTAAAGGTGATCTGTGACTGTTTGTATCCATTAGTGGATTCCGAAAGCAGAGATTGGTTCTTATAATAGAGTCTAAAAATATCTATAGCAAAAAGTGTGTTTGGGTGGGTGAGTTTAGTATTTTTGCCACCTGTGTCTCCTAAAGGTTGTCCAGGGGAGTGCGAATGTAGGTCTGGTGGGGGAAGCATAGGACCCCCTGGTCCACCTGGTTATCCTGGACCTCCAGGGTTACCTGGAACTCAAGGACTTAAGGGAGACCCAGGACTGGAAGGAGATGAGGGTCAAAGAGGACCAGAAGTAAGGACAGCAGGACTCAAACTGTATCATTTGATGCATGCATATTGAAACATGTTTTAAACTCTGTTCTTTGTCATAGCCACAGAAACATAGTTTTGTATTGGATTTGTGTTTTCTTGCAGGGCTTTCAAGGAATTCCTGGTTTAAAAGGACAGAAGGGTCAAAAGGGTGACTATTTCGTGGCAGGTGTTAAAGGTGAGCACCTATTGAAGCCCAACCTGAACTATACAAAGTATTGTTATACAAAGATATAGTGTTTTCCTTTAGGTGTTTTAAACTACAATCTACAGAGAATGGGAAGATTTTATTATTTTTTAACTTGGTAACTTTATGCTTTTTGTCAAATAAGGAAACAAAGATCTTTGTTTTATACATGAACGTCGACATTTACTTTTTGTTGTTGAAAGGTGCCAAGGGTGACCAAGGAGTCCATGGACCTTCTGGTCCTCCTGGAGCAACAGGTAGGCCAGGAAGCAATGGCCTTCCTGGCCCTGAAGGAGACCCTGGACCACCGGTGAGTGTGTACATTTTAAGTACTGTAAATATAATTTATGGAATATATGGTATGAATCTTTTAATTTAACCTGGTTAATGTACATGTAAAAAAGGTTCCACTTTGTTTTTGTTTTGGTTCTTCATATCACATACAATTTGCAGGGTACTGGATATGCAGGATTTCCTGGTCCCAAAGGTTACCCTGGTGTTTCTGGACCCAAAGGTTTTCCAGGGCTTGTAGGCCCCTCAGGTCCTGGTTATCCAGGCCCAAAGGGGGTACTTGGACCTAAAGGAAATCAAGGATATCCTGGCCCCCCAGGACTCCCTGGACGACCAGGCCCCCCAGGTCAGAGACTGGGTTAAATTCAGGGATTCTCAGTAGGTGCTAATACGCCCCTTCCCACCCTCCCGAAGCTCAAACAACATGTTGTATTTGTTTCACCAGGTGATACTGACCAATGCTGTCATGAAATTGAGATTGGATTACCTGGTCCTAAGGGTGAGCCAGGTTCACCAGGTAAGTCTTACTGGTGTTACATATGATACTAAAAAATATCATCACTGCTTCCAGGGAATATATATATTACATTTATTTGTCAAAGGTGATTGCTACATTGCTACAAGTCTAAGTGCCATGATTATTGATCTGTCTCTTCTGAAGTTTGGAGATAAGTTGCATCTCACTGCTGTCTTCCACCATTTTAAGAGTTTGATCAAATTGGCCCTGAAGTTAGCAGAATTGGTTGTTCATAATAAGCCAAGTGTCATGAAAGAAATATTGTTTATGAGACTTGAGACACTGTCAGTCCATATTGTAAGCTAACTTAAATTTGTCTTTGGCCCCTTGTAGGGATTCCAGGTGAGCCAGGACAAGACGGTCTCCCAGGAGTTCTGGGACACCCAGGTCCTAAAGGCATGAAGGGAGATGACAGTGAAACTGGAGGGATTGGACCACCAGGTAATGATTTTCTAAAATGTTGTAAAAAATTATACACAATTCTTTCCAGATGTGTCTTTATTGGAGGACCCAACCTCACGCTTTTGGATCATCAAGCATCCACACTGCAGGGAAATTGTCAGTTAATAATGAATTAATCATACAATAAGGAGTGTTGTTTATAGGTCTCTCTTATTTGTAAAAGGACCTCCAGGTTTGAATGGGGATTCAGGTGACCCTGGTCCCACTGGAATTACTCTGGATGGCCCTCAAGGCCCTCCTGGATTACCAGGACCCCAAGGCATTAAGGGTGCCCCAGGAGATGTCTTCTCCGCCAGGCCCGGTGCTACTGGCCCACCTGGCCGCCCTGGGGCTGTGGGGCCAAATGGACTTCCTGGTATTCCTGGAAGCCCAGGTTCTCCGGGTAAGTGTTCATTTATATAGGTTAACACAAACAAACCACTTAACAATTTGGGCTTTAGTTAATGTGGCCTGTGTCACACTGAACAGTTACAGTGCACTTTACATTCTTTACTTTGGAACTGGTTGATCATCAGTACCTCTGAATTACAGGCGTACAAGGCCAATCTGGACCACCAGGTTATAAAGGAGAGCCAGGAGAAAATGGTGACGCTGGAGACACTGGTCCCCCAGGCCCACCCTGCACTTTATGTGACCTAAGTGGAACTCCAGGTCCTCCAGGACCTCCAGGAAACCCTGGACAGAGTGGAATACCAGGTGAACACAGCATATGGATGTCTTGCTGTTATTCTGGATGTCCATCAGAATATCCCTTAAAAATTTTGATAAATTGATGATAAATTCCAGAGTACATTCATGAATATTTTGTTGTGAGGCCACCATCTAACCATCCATCAATAGACAGTAGTTATCTCATTGAATTTTATAATATTGCACAGGCTACCCTGGTCAGAAGGGTTTTAAAGGAGCTATAGGTCCACCTGGTCATGGACAGAGGGGTCCAAAAGGTTTCCCTGGCCCTCCTGGTGTGCCAGGCCCACGAGGACCAAGAGGCACCACTGGCTCCTCAGGAGATCCTGGGATAGATGGCTGGCCAGGACAGAAAGGTGAACAACTAGCCTGTCTCAATGAAAACTTCTGTGAAAAGCATTATGTTTTTATCTGATAATTTAAAATATTTTCCAGGTAGAATCTGACAGGTGCTTGTTCACACCATCTAGTCAGCTAAGCCTAAAACTGCATCTTCTATCTCAATTACATATTGGAGCTAGTGGCCAGTCCACATTAAGTCATCAGTTGTACCTGTACTTCTGTACACACTGCCTCCAGACCCTTCCAACATCTGATCACAACATTTCCCACCACAACCAGCATCACACTCTATCACACAAAACTCTATGTTTATATCCATACTGTTTATACATAATGCTTTATGTCCCATACCCCTAAACTAGTCTGTCCTGGTTGAAATGAAACCATCTTTCAATTAATCTAGGTGAAAGGGGGTATCCTGGCAGGGCTGGGGGCAGAGGTTTACCCGGTCCTCCTGGACCTCCGGGACCCAGAGGTAAACAGGGAGAGAGAGGCTTTAATGGTCACCCAGGTGACACAGGAGACCCAGGAGTGCCTGGCTATAAAGGTATGTCTCTGTATACATATATACCATGTTTCTGTGAACTTTGGCCTATGTCTTTTAGTCACTGTATCAAAATTTGAAAATATCAAAGATGTCTGTACCTGTTATCCACACTGAGATTCAGATGTGAAGCTAGCATAGCAAAATACATCCTGCACATTTTATATAGGAATATTACATATTATTGTTTATTTTGAGGTGTTTGTTGTAATACATTGAATATTCTATTCAGTCAATAGGAATATATACTTAAATCATGGCAGTTATTGATGCCACCATTCAGAACGGTAAACCTATAAATATAGCATAAATAAGATAGTTGCAGTCCCCTTGGCCTTGACAAAATTGTCCACAATAGTTTGAACAGATGGGCTGAATACAGCTACAGTAGTGGCTACACAGGTACAACACTAGGTAAGGAAGAATGAGGAAAGCAGAAAGATAAGATAGCATATTTTATCTTCTGTTCAGATTATTGAATTGCACTTGCACTTTATGAATCAGGTTGGCAAACATTTCATCTGAACTCTGTGGTCCATCCAGGTTTTCCCGGTCCACCAGGACCACCAGGACCATCAACGATCATGAATGTAACAAAAGGCCCAAAAGGACTTCCAGGAAGGAAGGGGCAACCTGGACAACATGGGCCTGCAGGCAATTGAGCTGTCACTTCACTTATACATCTTTTTAAAAGTTATTTATGGGCGCCCGGTTAGCTCAGTCGGAAGAGCTGGCGACCCATATGCGGAGTTGCTGCAGCGGCCTGGGTTCGAATTCGACCTGCAGCCCTTTGCTGCATCCCCTTTCTCTCTACCCACCTTTCCTGTCTATCTACAGCTTTCTCTATCAATAAAGCCAACAAAAAGCCAAAACAACTACTTTAAAAAAAAAAAAAAAGTTATTTTTACAAAATGTGCACTGAAGCACAGCATCTCAGACCAAAAAAGCAAATCAGCAATATTTGCAAAATGGGCTTCGATGGCTGCAACATAATCCTTGCCCCTGTTGAATTGCGTCCACTAAAAGTGCTTGTTTTCGACAGGCTCAGATCGTTATTCAAAGTGTCTGACAACAATTTGAAATGATCCTTAAAGAGATAGACCTTTTGTTTAACCAGAAACAGCTGTTAATATCACTATCACTTACCACCAGACTCCATAGACAAACATTTTTACCTCACATATCATCATAACATTGTAACCCGATTCAAAGTGGACGGGAAAAAAAATAAAACTCACCAAAACCATCTTTGTTAGTCTTTTTACTTCTCTTTCCAACAATCACCAAATCTGGTCTGGTCAAAATAAATCTTTACTTCACAGAGGTAGATGTGAAAAGCAGCCATTTCAGTCCCTATGTTCAAAGTCCACACAGAGAACATAACACTAACATGCACGCACAGCCAGGCCTGAGATGTAAATAATGCTTGGGGATCAAAACAGGAAGAGGAAGTGTGACGTCATTCTCTGCTCTGGGCACCTTCATTCAACTATGTATTTACATAGCAAAATAGTTGTTAACTGCAGTATTAATGAACTAAATATTGTATAAATAACCTTTGAAACAAGATTCTTTAAAAAAAATGTAATTTACTTCATTACAAAGAAGATTGTCATAACCAGTTTAGGACTACAGCATTTCTATTTTGTTTTGTTGTTCACAGGCTCAAAGGGCCCAAGTGGAGATCCAGGTAATCCAGGGCCTAATGGATGGCCTGGTCCACCAGGGTTTAAAGGCACCACTGGTGCTCCAGGCAGGAGAGGATTGCCCGGACCTCCTGGGTACCCTGGAATCAAAGGTTTCCCTGGTCCAAGGGGATATCCTGGACATGGTGGAGATCTGGTACACAATTAATCTAATTTAATGTCTACTTAATTTTAGAGACAGCTGCCTTTGTCTGTGCTCAGTTTTTGTAATATCTACCCAGTAAATACCCAAGAACACTGAAAAATAGTAGTCACTGGAGTCACTGGATGATTCCAACAACTTGTGCACAGGCATTACATGACTTTGTGCCAGGATGCCACTACTTGTAGCACTATGACTTGGAATAAGTTTAGGGCTAGTCCTAGATTGCCTATATTCTGCTTATTGCCAAATAATGCTACTATAGCAAGAGGTTCTATGGATATTTGTAGAACATCAGAAAATAATTTGAATATAGATCGCCAAAAATATGTTAATTTGGGGCAAACCCAAAACATATATGATACAGTTGATGTTAAATAATTTGAGTTTGTTGATGTTTGTTAAAGGGAGATCCAGGGCCTGGAGGTAATTTGGGTATCCCAGGTTTACCGGGATTTCCAGGGACTAAGGGTGAGTCAAAAGAGATAGAGGTCTTGTGTTTTAGCTGATTCTGAAGTAGCATTTCATGTCATGGACAAAAAAGTTCATAAACCGGAATGTGGATCCACAACAGATTGAATCATTTACAAATTGTGTTTGGCTTATCAAACACAATATGATAAATTGTTATAATACATGCAAATTTCAGGATTTAGTGAAATTCTTTGTAATGTGGTTGAACCTGATTAAACCTGTCCAAATCTGTTCCAGGTGAGCCAGGAGAGTCGTATGGACAACCTGGTCCACCTGGACCCAAAGGATTGCCAGGGCAGGATGGACTGAATGGTGAGTTAAGAAAATTCCTCACAGAACAGAGGACCTACTTAGAAATTGCTTCAAATGATGAAGAGTGACTATAAGAAATTGTATCTATATATATCATCTAATCTGTATACCGTGAGTAGTAACTGGAAATAAATTTATATCCACAAAATAATTCCCTTGAGCACCCAGAGGGTGTGCAGGAGATCCAGGAGACCCAGGACCCCAGGGAAGGTCAGGACCGCCTGGACGACCAGGCATTCCCGGGGAACCAGGAAGATCAGGAGAACCAGGTGATTTCCAGATTCGAAGATTTGCATTAGAGAACAAATATACTGCAGCAATCATTTTAAATGGATATACGAAGGAACACTGCTGATGTTTGGCTTTGAAGTTGCTTTTTGAATGCTAGCTTATGGTCACATTCAGTTGAAGAATAAGAACCCTCGCAGTTGTATATCATCCCAGAAAAAAAAATCTAATGACGTGTCAGTAACCAGGTTAATTTGTTGACTTACACTTTAATATAAACGTACATAAAGGTATTTCAAGTGTCATTCAATAGCAATAAACTAGTTCCAGTTTTCCACTTTCTTCAAATTAAAATAAAATTTAGAATTTTATGAATGTTTGTTTCAGCTTTTTTATGTCTGTGTCTGTACAGGATTCCCTGGGCCTCGTGGTGAATATGGTAGTCCAGGTGTTCCAGGTGTTCCAGGTGATCATGGGGGCCTGGGACCACCAGGCCCACCTGGACCAAATGGGCCTCCAGGTACTAAGATAACAACAGATTCCTCCTGTCACTGGATAGGCAGGGTACACACATTGGAAGTGTCTACTATGTTATTTGTATTGGCTTGTATCTTTGCTTAAATTCAGTGTCAAAGGGGTTCTAAAATGTTGCTGCCAATAAAAAGTCAGAAATGCAGCCGTTTGCATGTGGACAAATTCATAATGAGGGATGTGCTTATCTTCTGTTGTTGTAAGTAAAATGTCAGAAGACATGTGGGCAAGGAAAAAAACAAATCCAGGTGATATGCTAAAGGGAAAATGCTTTTGAGTGTTGAAGACACCCAACAGGAGTATTCTTATGCTGTATTGTGATTCTATGTTAGGCCCCCCTGGACCACCAGGTCTGCATGGACTTGATGGGCTTAGAGGTCCAAATGGAATGAAAGGAGCACATGGTAAGAGGGAAAAAGTTTATCATCATTTCTTTACTTGACTTTTATGGTGTATCTGTTAGTATAGATTTTTTGTTTATATAGTATCTTGTATATATATTAATGCAATTGTGAACTTTGTATTGACAAATTGTCAAAGTAAATTAATTAGTGTAATTTCAGTATATTTGTCAGTATATGTCACTTGTCAAATGTATTGGTTTATCATTTCAAGGCATAGGTATCCCGGGCTCTCCAGGACCACATGGATTTCCTGGAGTCAAAGGTCTCAGGGGCCACCCTGGTCCTCCAGGAGGCACTTTTCCTGGCCGTAAAGGCCAAAGGGGCCCACCTGGCGACAGAGGTATTACGTCTGTTATGATTTCTTACCATTCAACATGTTATCTGTTATGGTCACTCAGATCATAATGTGCTTTTATTACCATTTAGCACTCTGTTGCACCGCTGAGTATGGATACTGTTCCATTCCTCTATATAGTATTATTCAAGATAAGGTATTAAGCTTTTCCGTGTTTCTTTCCTCAGGTCTTCTAGGCTTCCCAGGTGAACCTGGTTACCCTGGCAAAGAATGCCACATGCCTTTGCCAGGACCCTGGGGAGAGGAAGGATATGAAGGACCTCCAGGACCCCCAGGTGTTACTATTTATATATATACATGTTTGTCTATGTTCATCTCAGTGTTTGCATGGTCACATTTAGGACGGTACATTTTTTGTGCACACATTCATGTTTAACTGTGGATATACATGTTTTTTTTTCGGTCCACAACTGGGATTTTAGGTCATCCTGGGGCACCAGGCCCTCCAGGCAGTAGCCTCTTCTACAAAGGAGACCCAGGCCCAATTGGCCTCCCTGGGTTACCAGGTCATAAGGGAGATAAGGGCCTCAGAGGACCTCCTGGATTTCCGGGCTACCCAGGCTTTCCAGGACCAAAAGGTACATTACAGTGCAAGACTGCTAACATTAATATTTACAGTGTTGTCAAACACTTGAATTAACTCAAAATGTTGCTACATAGGTGAAAGAGGTCCTTCTGGTCCCAGGGGTCCTCTAGGACCGAGAGGTCAGAAAGGTGCTCCTGGGGCTAGAGGCCGCAAGGGAGTAACTGGCCCAGCCGGACACCCAGGTGAGTGGCACTGTAGCTAAGAGATATGCTGATTATAAAAAACACATATTGTTTTAACTTTACTTTTACTTTAAAAGTGACACGGGAGAGGGAGGAAGGTTTCTGGTGTGTGTATACATTTTAAATGAGTATAAATAATAAATAATATTAATTTTCTTTAAATTTTTGGTTTCACTTTCATTAGTTTAAAATGTATTCTCATTTATTCAACACTGATTAAATATTGTGGTATATATTACTACAGTACATCCATCAATGTTTTATGTTTTTTTCTAGGTCCCAAAGGTGCTTTTGGGGATTTAATCACTGGACGCCCAGGATCGACTCCCCGTGGACTCCCAGGACCACATGGTCACCCAGGATCTCCGGGATTCCCTGGTGATGTGGGTCCTCCTGGGACTCCAGGACGTAAAGGCAAGAAAGTCTTAATACAATTTCTGTGTATGTATATGTGTATGTGTACACTTTTCTGTTCCTGAAAAATAAATCTGTTGTCTGTATGTGTCTGTTCTGTGTGTTCCAGGAGACAAGGGTCCTGTAGGGTCTGTTGGCTTCCCTGGCCAACCAGGTCCTCCTGGTCTTGATGGCCCTGTTGGAGACCCAGGAGATGTTGGTCAGCAAGGATTTACCGGACCTCAAGGTTAGTAAATAGAAATGTAACAATCCCAGTATTTGTATTGTTTAAATTAGGACTGAGATTGTGGCCGTATGGTCAAAATAAAAGACATATGTTATATAGAAACTCCACAGGACTGATAACTGGCAGACATCCTGTAGTCTCCTTATAGAGACACTGAGTTTATCTATAAACATCTGGATACGATTTTGGTCATTCACAGTGAAAATAATTGACAGCCAATAAATAGGTAATTTCATCTTTCTGTCATCTCTTCGTTGCTCTTATCCTCCCTCCATGTCACCCACTTGCTACTTGTTCAACCGTTCCATCCTCTAGGTATCCCAGGTCCAGTCGGTGATCCAGGTGAGCCAGGGCATATGGGGGCATTGAGGTCAGGCTTCCTTCTGGTTATCCACAGCCAGTCAGTTCAGGTGCCCCAGTGCCCTGAAGGCAACAGTCAGCTCTGGGTGGGCTACAGTCTGGTCTACTTGGAAGGACAAGAGAAGGCTCACACTCAAGATCTGGGTAAGGGTCAGCATAAAGTTGTACTTCTGTTTAGTTTAATTAATTTGTTCATGGGGTTAACAAATAAGCTTCCTGTGTATCTTCTTTTACCTCTTCTCTCCGTAGGCCAGGCTGGCTCCTGCCTCCCTGTTTTCTCCTCCATGCCTTTCTCCTACTGCAACAAAGCTGCCTGTCACTACTCTAGTCGCAACGACAAATCCTATTGGCTCTCCACCACCGCTCCCATACCCATGATGCCACTCTTCGGCCAGGAGATCAGCTCCCACATCAGCCGCTGTGTGGTGTGCGAGACAGTTTCACCTGCTGTTGCTATTCACAGCCAGGATCACACTGTCCCTGCATGCCCACCTGGCTGGAGGAGTCTGTGGACTGGGTACTCCTTCCTCCTGGTGAGTGCGATAAAAAACTTGATTTTGCGTATGAAAGAAAAATGCTATCAACTTACCGACTGTGTACTGGCTGCCCCTTTCTCTTCAGCACACAGGGGCAGGTGATGAGGGCGGTGGCCAGTCTCTGAGTTCCTCTGGTAGCTGCCTTAAGGATTTCCGGACTCACCCCTTCATCGAGTGCCAGGGTGCGCGTGGTTCTTGTCACTACTTTGCCAACCTCTACAGTTTTTGGCTGACTAGCGTTGGTCAGAGAGAGCAGTTTATCACCCCGAACTCTGGCACTATCAAGGCAGCTGACCAACAGCGACGCAAGGCCAGCCAGTGCCATGTCTGCCTCAGAAAACAATAAAGGACCTCTTGCCACTTTTAGTTGTAACTTTTTACCCATTTGTAGCTAATTTTGTTTACCACTCAGGTTTAAAGATAGATAAACTAATTTTGGTGACAAAAATTAGTAGCATTGCAATCTATACACTTATTTATAGTTTTTTATGTTGCTGTCAGTCATTATTTTCAATGAGGTGCTATTTCTAAAAATGAAAATGTTTGATAATTGATTATAAAGCTGCTGTACACTAAGATTTTGTAATAATCCACCTTATCAGACTTGTGTTGAAATCCTAAATAAATCATCATTTGGGGAAAATATTCAGGAGAGCCTCTCCTTCATCTTAGCTGTGCTCCTCAATTAAAATGTTTTAAAAAGTTTGAACACCACGCGTCATTCAGAGTTCAAGATCTCCCTTGGAAAAACAACAGTCTATATGCAAAAATTCCCAAAAAATAAGAAAATGAATAATTTCAAAAGTATACAGTTTTCCATAGAGGGTTTCAAGTTCATATTTATTTATTTCTCTCAACAGAACCCAAGTGACAATCAGAATACAGTACTTTTTTCCTCAAACATGTTTTTTCCTTTTCTTTTTTATTACGCAAAACAAGAGAACACTCAGTGCAATAAGACAGAGGACTCTGACAGTGCGGTGCTCTCTCTACCTTTTCACAGTGCACGTTTATACACACAAGAAGATTGTACATCATCATTATTACATTTCCGACCTCCACCCACCAACATCATGGATAGGGCAAAGTGAATGTCTTAAAACAATCATTTTTAAAGATTCAACTTGCATACAGTGTAGCTTGGCACACAAAAACACACACAGCTCTCTACCTCACACACACATACAGGTACAACACAGAGGGACCTCTGTAGCATTAATTCTCACCAGAGAGGGATGTACTGCACTTGCACTCCACTCGGAGGGCTATCTCATTTGTCAAACCCATACTATTTTGGCAATGTCAACATTGCATTTTAATGTGCTAAAGAGAACCAATTTAGATGATGTAAGTAGGACTTTGAGGTAGAGGGAGAGAGCAGGGGGGAGAGGGACATGTATGCAATCAGCCTGATTAAATGTAATAGAATATGATGAGTAGTGCAGGTTTTATTTTTTATTTTTTTTACAAAGCCTAAAAGATTTATAGGCCCGTGTGCAACCCCTGTCTGCTTGACTGGGTAGAGCTGTTGCCATAATATAGGTCCTTATATGATTTGTTCTCTAAAATGGTTGCCAGCCAATTGAATTGGGAATATTGTCAAAGACAACCAATCATCGATGACTGCATGTCGCACACAGCCAGCCTCCTGAGGCTTTACCTCCCCGCCAATAAATTAAAACTTACATGGCAGAGCTACCTTTAACATTTTCAAAAAAATATATATAAGCATAATCTTGAAAGTTATTTCTTAAGCAAGTGCATATGGCTATTATAATCTGCAGTAAAATTAAGAAATGTTCTAAAAGCTCAGGTGTTGATTGTACGGGCTGGTCGTTGGAATAAAGTATTTACACTGTGTCATGGTGCTTGCAGTGTGCATGGCAAAGTAAGAGCGCTGGTACTTGCCAGCTATTGCCGCCAACCCCATTTCAAAAAACCAACTGTCCAAAGTGCAACCACACCCATATCTCGCTTTAACAGGCTTTGGCTGGTTTTTGTAAATTATACTGTTAATAATGTATGTTCTAATTTACTACCTCCCCAACCCACCCTCATAGTGTATCTTAGAATTCAGCAGAAACATTTCACACTTTCTCTGTCCTCTACAATATGCCAGCCAACAGGTTTTCCCATAAAACGATTGAACCGCTTCAAAAGGCTTTGACGTAGTGACTACACAGCTTCTTACTGTAATATACAAACTGAAGCACACAAAGTTTCCTGTTTGTGTTCTAGGATTAACTGTTGTACATTCTAGAACATACTGGACCAGGCATGGAGGGCGCTGGAATCTAAAGCACGTTGACGTTAACTCCTCAACTTACAATACAACAGTGAAAATGTAAAGTAATATATAGACAGAATTGGATAGTCCATTCATTTTAGTGCTTTTGAGCACAAAACAAGAGTTGGGCATAAGAAAATTATGCTACTACAGTACAAATATTGATAGATTATGCTTTCAAATGTAAAAGAACCGAAACAAAAAAATAACATAAAAACAAACATTAGATTGCATCTACATCTACTATACATCATTTAAGCTGTTTTTTAATCCCCATCATTTAGAAAATATCTATTCATCAAATATCTATGCTACTCATTATATTACAAGAATCCAATCACGGGAAATAGAAAAATATCAAATATCACCAGTGATGATAAGAAAACATGACAACCTGAACGAGCAGAAATATTGCTATGGTAACCACCATTGTCCTTTGACATCAGCGAGAATCATCCCACGGTGCTCTTATTGGCTGTCCTGACGCCCCCTGATGTTGCAGGGAAGAATCAGCACAACCCAGAGGAAAGAGGGAGCGGGTAATTGGGGGTTGTGTGGCATGGAGGTGTAAGTGTGTCGTTACTGTCAGATGGCAGTGTCCCAGAACACAGTTGTCTGTGTAGGGTAAGGGGGAGGACGGATCTTTTTGGCCCCGCTGCTTTTCCCCCAGCCTGGGAGGACAGATGCACTTTCTTGCTTGCACTGACTCCGCTCCTGGTGCCTGTCCTCGTTCTTGTCCGGAGGGGGAGGCCTCTCCAGAGATCTCTGCAGGTGTGGATGTTGTCTGGAGCGGATCTCCATGCAGAGGGTGCGTTTTCTCTCGATCTGTTCCAGCATGGTGGTGTCTCCACAGATCCATGGCATCTGGGGCATCTGAAGAGCAGAGTCAATGCATTAGGTGAAGCATATACAACTCAACTTCAAAGTTAGTTGCACACTTTAAAGGCCCTAAAACTTAGCTCTGAAGTATTTCTCTACAACACTGTTAATAACTAAATAAGCACTGAAATGTCTCTAGTGAAATTGAGAACTCTTCTAACTTGTGCGTTAGTAGTTAGTCAGAAACAGATTGAAACTGAAAGTTTTCAGGGCCTGCAACAGGCTTAGAAGTTAAGAGCTAAGACAAACAGGCAAATCTGCGTACCTGACTTTGTTGCGTCTCTGCTGCTCTCCTTTGTGGGGTTCCCATTGGGGAGGGGTTAGCAGGCATAGAAGGTGAGCGGCCATACTTAGGTGCTACTTTCACATCTACAAAGGGAGGAACGTAAAGGAATAAGAAGAGTTAAATGCATTTTAGCTAAATGTTTTCTTTCACATATGCAAATGTTATCTGAGAAATAGAGGATTCTTTTATGAATACGAGATCTACAGCCTCACCATTTCCTGTTCCTGTGTTCATTGGTGGGCTACCCGATGATCTTCCGTGGTGAGTAGGTGTCGTTGTGGATGAAAGCTGCCCTAACCCTGTGCTGCCATTCCTCTCTTGTGCTTTTGATTGGTCCATGCTGTAACTCACTCTCGTCTTATCTCGTCTGGGCGTGCCATCCGATCGGTATCCTCGTTCTTTATTGTCACACCTATACTCCATTGCAGAAGGGCTCTTTGTGCTCTTGACATCATAATGATGCTGCTCTGAGCCATTCAAGCTTCTGTCCTTGCTGTCACGTCTCATTTCGAGTCCAGTTCGGCTTAGATCTTTGCTGTCCTGCCTGGGCAGGGGAGAAGGAGGAAGATCTCCTCCGTTGTGGCAGCTGCGATCTCTCCCCTCGTGCTTGGATTCAGAGCCGTAGCCAACCCTGTCCTTGCTGTTGCTGCTTCTGGACGTTTCTTGTCGGGGTATGATCTCAGGTGGCTGGTCTATTCTACCTTCATGTCTGTGTTCCATGTCGTTTCTTACTCTCTCTTTGCCATCCTGCTGGGGTAACAAATCAGGACGATGGTCTTTCTTTTCTGCTCCAGTTCTGGCTCTGTCTTTGCTTTCTTGTCGGGGTAGAAGCTCAGGTGGCCTGTCTCTGCTTTCATGTTTTGAGTCCACACCGTTCCTGGCTCTCTCTTTGATATCCTGTCGTGGTAAGAGCTCAGGTGGCTGGTCCAGCAGTCTCTCTCTGCTTTCCTGTCTAAAGTCTACACTGTTTCTTGCCCTTTCCTTGCTGTCTTGTCTTGGTAACAGCTCAGGTGGCTGATCTAGCAGCCTCTCTCTGTCTTTGCTGTCCTGTCTCAGCAAAGACTCCATTCCATGTCCCCCGCTCCGATCTTTGCTGTCTCTCCTAGGCATCAGGTCACCATTGCTAATGCCTCTGTCCTTGGAGTCTCTTCTTATCAATGAGATCGGCTCTACGCTGCTGCAGCCTTGGTCCCTGCTGTCCCTGCTGTCCCTGCTGTCCCTGCTGTCCCTGCGAACAGGTGGTGCATCTACACCGCTACAAGTACGGTCTTTACTGTTGCGTCTGTGGGGCAGTGGCTCTACATTGCTGCTCCCTCTTTCTCTGTCTTTATCTCTGTCTTTGTCTCTGTGTTTGTCTCTGTCTTTGTCTTTGTCTCTGTCTTTATCTCTGTCTTTGTCTCTGTGTTTGTCTCTGTCTTTATCTCTGTCTTTTTCTCTGTCTTTATCCTTCTCTTTATCTTTGTCTTTGTCTCTGTCTCTCCGGTGAGAGGACTCTTTGCTGTGGCGATCCTTGTCTCGCTTGGACTCCTTGCCGTGACTGTGGCGCTCCTTGCCTTCACGTTTGGAATCACTGTGAGACTTGCTTTTGGAATCCGCTGTAAAAGAACCGGAAGAAAAAGTCAGAAGACAAACACTTAAAAGCTACATCCAAGCTTATTCTGCTGTAGTGGATAATGCATTGAAAATATGACTAATAACTAGCTGATACATAATGTAATTTACTTAAAATATGGTTGTATACTAGATTAATAGTTTAAATATAAAAAAATATATAAAGAAATACTAAATTTCTGCTTTAAATATCTGCATTACTACATATATCCTCTAGGTGTCACTCAATATTCACTGAGGCAGCTGCAGTAAACCACTGGAGTTAGATGAGTCAGTATGTGGGCTAACAGGCATTGCAATTATGTTCATCCTGGTATATAATAATACACACTATCATTAGCTTACATTTTTAGTAAAACCAATTCAATTGTTTGTATTTTTTCATTGTACTTATTCTTTCACCTTAAAGTCTACAAAATAATACACAAGATGTTACTTTAAAACAACCATGAGTACCAATGCAAAACATAACTAGAACATGAACCACTGCCATCACATTTCTCTGTGTTTAAATTTTGAATTTCTCTCTGCTCTTCTTAACCATGTATACATATAATATTCCAGCCTGTGAGCATTGCAAATGGGGAAATAGGGAACCGTATGTATGTCACTGATTCAATGCTCAATAAAGACATTATAGATCTTCACTGTGCAAATAAAAAATGTATGTGCATGATTGATTTCCATGTAGGCTGTTACTCTATATATTTTCTATATGGGCTTTAACATACAGTACCATGCACAAGCATCCCTTGTCATGCCCATCCCTTATCATGTCATGCGTCATACATGGTTTTTAGTGTGTGTGCATACATGCATGTGTGTGTGTGTATGAGAGCTAGTGTGGCGATTAACCGGTTGGTAAGTGGGTCAGATTAGTTGTTACTGCCTCAGAAAGGGAGAGAGAAAAAATTAACCTCCATTCATTGTGTTAGGTTTGTGTGCTCATTACGCCGTGTGTGCTTGTAGCCAGTCACGGAGCAACGCACACAACCTGTCAGTCCTTTAGCTCCATGTGGTGCTCTCACACAGGTGTTGGGATAAAAATATAAATAATTTAAAAAGACCTGTCAGAACTGCCCACCATTGATGTATGGAAAGCATATGCAAACTGTTTACAAATAATATGAGGCTAGAGAACATAATACTGTCAAAAGGCTCATTTGTAAGACATCACAGGGAATTCCTGGCACCTGGATGCAGCCCTTGACAAGCTAACCATTACTAAATGTAAGCCAATGAGACACGAATTCACCGAACTGAAAAGCAAATGTGCACCAATTGGCAGATGTAAATACGCTCAGCGGAGGATGTATTTGTCACGGAAGTCAAAATAGCAAGAAGTCATAAATTGTCTCAGCTTCCACTATCACCATATGCACAGCTGCCACAGCAACCTGATTGGCTTAATCACAAGTAGAGTATGCGCTGATTGGACAGAAAAGAAAATCTGAAATCCTCTGATCAGGTGTAGATTTGAGTTCAGAGCCATAGCTATTCCCCATCAGGAGCTCATTGCTCCGTTGTAGACTGGCATGCCCTAAGCTGTGATTGGCTGCATTACCCATGGGGAGGGAATCTGCAAATAAGAAACAGGGATTTCTCCTCTTTTCACTGTTGCTATGTTGTAGTTGCTAAGAGCGAGTAAGGATGGATGTGTGGACTCTTTTTTTTTCTTTTATGATTTATGTACCAAATTTGCTTGAATAAATCTGTTTTAGAGCACTCAATTAAGGGCTTTAGTTCATTTTTTCATTGTACAGCTCAGCTACGAAGAGGATGTAGCATTGGAATTATATGTCAACTATAGGATTACATGTCATGTCAAACCTCACTCTAAATCATTAGATACTCTATATTAATTTATTAGTGACCCTTTTAAAATAATGCATGATAGGCCTTTGCATAAACTATACTATCCTTCATGCATTTATGAAACACCCTCTTGCTTATTTAGTTTGGTTTAAAGCCTGCAGTCATCAATCTCTTGTTGATTTACATTATATTTCAAAATATTTAGGCTTAAAATGGCTATTTTAGCACAAAAATAATGATTGCATTGTACATGAGATCAATGATGTTGATTTGTGACTGATGCTGCTGGCACCAGACTCACAATATGACAACACACGATTCATGGAATCATGGATTATGTGTAAACTTGGGCTATACTATACTATGCATGATTTGTGCATAAGCGTGATTCATCACTACTTCACCTTAATAAAGATACTTCTATTCTTGCCATCACCGATGAAGCGTGGCAGCACAATATTATTAACTTTAGATTAGAAAATATACATAAACGTTCTAGTCCCAGTCAGTCTGCAGACTGATTATTCATTCCTCAGTTTTCTTATTCAGCATACTGTGCGTCACGATCAGTCCACGTAAGTGAGCTCCCCCGAAAGCCATGGTACAGTTCGCACACCGATTATAAGCAAATTGTGTTTTCCTTCACAGTTGCATTAGTTTTGGCAGAGCCGTGAGTGTGGCATGGTTATTATCTGTATTTAAACATGATGTTTACATATTTAAAAGTAATGCTGCCTGATGGCCTAATGCCATGAGTAGGTTTGAGGGACCTGCTGTCCGCTTTAGTCTCTAATCCCCTCAGATTAAATCATACGATCTGTATCAGACTTGGCTTGCTGGTCCTAGATTAAACAAATGGATGTTTGCAGGGAGTGCCACAAACACCATGCATGGCACTGTAAAAGTGATGCATTCTCTGCCACAGCCTCCTAATTTGGCAGGTTAAACTTGGTAACCCAAAAGAGGGATAAATTACACTGTTACTGATTAGGCAACTGGAGACTACTTATTAGTGTTTGTTCCAGAGTTTACTGCAGACACATTTTGACACTGACATGATATGAGCACATGTGTTTGTGCCCTTTGCTACACTACGTTCTACGATGATGAGGCAAATGTGTGGAATGACTCACTCTCTCCAGGCTCTTTAGACTTCCTGCCACTGGCATTTTTCTTCAGCATGTTCCTGCCTGTGGTGAACAGGTTGGTTAGTTCATCTAGCGGGCTGGTGGGTGTCCGTGAACGCCCTGTTGACACATTCTGCATAGAGCCGTGAAGTCGACCCACACCGTCTTGAGGTGGCGAGCCTTTGCCGTGAGGGGTGGCAGAGGCACTCCGCGGCAGACCTCCGGGGAATGGCATAGGAGCGTCAAAGGGAGGCGTACGCATGAGGCTGAGAGGGGTGAGGCAGCGGCCCATGCTGACCGGCGATGGACAAGCAGAGTGGCTGCGCTGATAGGAGGATGAGGAGGAGGATTTGTAGAGGGTGCAGGGTAGAGGGGGCGCAGAGGAGCGGCCAGAGACGGTGAGGGTTGGGGTGGCAGTGAGCTCCCTGCGGATATGTGCAGAGGAGGGTGGCTCGGTGGAGGATGTTGGAGATTTGCTGTAGGACTGGTTCTCCAGCATGGGCAATTTGGTAACATCTAGAGGGGTGAGGGGAGACTCGTCTGAGTTGGGCGAGCACTGGGCTGGCGCCGGTGGGAACACCAGCAGCGGAGGCCGATGGGTAAGTAAATTGGGAAAGGGTGCAGGAATGTCACAGAGGGGAATGTTTCGAGGTGTGGAGCAGCGACTGAGAGGTTCAGGGTCATAGGGTGCCGGGGTGGGGCATGCGGAGCGACAACCCACAGGGTCAGTGCGGTACTCCATATCATCCAGAGCTGGGTACTTCATCTCCTCGTACACAGACTCTCCCGGCTCCTCGTCCTCACTCTTCAGGGGTTCTCGTGATCCGACATCAATCCCGCCCATCTCTATGTAGACAGGTTCATCTTCACAGTCGTCTGTAGGGCTCTCATCACTCTGTGGAGGCGAGGGGTTGCGTTCGCAGGGGGAGGTGACATGGTGGAGGGGTTTGGAGGAGCAAACCCCACCGCCTCCGTGGCTCTTGATGAAGGACTCATCAAAGGAAACGCTCAGTTGTGTGTTGGGGTTCCTCTTAGGTTTGGGTGGCGGCACCCTCCTGCAGTCCTCACTGCATCCTTGAGCCTCTAAAAAGACAGAGAGAAAAAAGTCGATACACAAACTCACTGGAGAAAATCACATTTATCATAAGCGTTACCTAGACATTACATTACATTACATAGAAGACAGGTATAGAGTATGCCATTTCATATAAAGCCTACTGCGGTTTTGTGGGCCAGATGCAGGTCAATGTGTATAGGTGGGAGTAATATCTTAAGTCATATGTGGGAAAAGTTGAGGCATATGCATGTTTCTAGGTCAGCTATACGGCAGTGGAGCAGTATGTGAGTATAGTATCTAGGTCACACACACTGTGGAGCTTCTTTCTGATAGTGGTGACGTAGCATTGCAGTGTGAATCTCTTTAGATGTGGTGCAGTGAGGCTATGGTACAGTGTTCACGTTGACTAGCTACTACTGTACAGTACGGTCCTAATGCTAGTTTACTCAGAGTAGACAGCGCTCTATACTACTGAGGTGCGCACAGTGTCTAGGTCAGACACTGAGATGTTTGGATAGGAGTGTCCCTTTCTCTGATAGGCAGGGGGAGATAAGTGTAGTTAAGAGCCGGACCATGTCTGAGGGCTTCAAACTGCCGATTTTACACCTTTAATAATTCAGATGCCAGATGGCCCAGACACACGCATACTTCCCGTAACTGTATGACTCACCACCATCACTACATGCACGCACACACGTACACTGCACATGCCTACACATTCAGAGAAGGAAATTAGGACAGGCATGTACACATTTTATGCCACGGTCTCACAAGCTATGAAGTCAGTCTTCCCAGAAAATGGAAGACTAAAAGTGTTTGTGTGTTTCTACATCTGAATGTATAGCTTTGCAGAAAGTTAGATAAATGGGAGTAGATAAAAAATATTAGTCTTTTTTAAAGTTTAGAAAACAAGTAGAGAAAAAGCAGTTGATTCAAAGTCAAGAAAATAAATGACACTTGAAACATTTAATTTTGTTCTTCACTGGTATTTTGCACACTATGCATTTATCCAGGTCGATGATGATGATGCTAATTTGAACTGAGGATCAAACAGGCCTTTTGGTTCCACATTTTTTCCTCATTACCACTAATTAATAAGGTGTTAATACAGGATTTGGTTCAGCCCAGATGTGTTCCTTGTTTGTGTTTAACTTGACTGACGTATTCTAGTGTACTCTCTCTGCCTTTCTTTGTGCAAGCAATTGCATATATGTGCGTGCATACAGTAATGTGTACACAGTAGTATACCTATGTCTGAGCAATCACCAAATGCATTATTACATTAACAGGTTTGCATGGTGGATCTGTTTCAGCACTGATGATGAATTTATCCCTCACAACATCTTTTACTCCCTGTTACTTCTCTTCCTCTCTCTATTGCTCCCTCTTCTCCCCCTCCCCCTGTAGCGGATGTGTTTACCCGCAACCCCCTCCCCCCTCCCTCTCCTCCTGGGGAAAATGAATCTAGGTCAATCGCTCCTCCTGAATGAATCGTACTCTGACAAGCTCCTCCCCTTCCTGCTACAGCGCCAGCTACAGAGCACGCAACACTCCCCTCAGCCAGGGACACCCCCACACTCTCACTCTGATTGGCTCACACGCCTCAGACTTCAACATCTCTAGAGCCCCATTGGCTCGAGCTGCTTGGTGATTCTGTGATTGGGTAGGCTGCAGGGGGTCTTGTTTCTGTGGGATGGTTGCCGTGGTGCCCAGGAAGATCTGTGTGCACATAGAGAGATCCCCACCAATCTGAGCCAGGCTGGGCGACTCCCTAAACATCGGCAATGAAGCATCCAAACTGAAATGGAGTCAAAGCTTCCTCCAACCTCTAATTCTTTTTGCTCTCACTGCCACCTGGCTCAAAGACATTATTATACTCTAAGAGATTGTTTAGTTTTGCAGTGCTTTTTATTTTTTCTTTGTGATCAGCACATGTACTATGGGTGACTTGTTTCCAAATAAAAATGTGTACTGTGTGCATTGTGCATTTGCAACAGGAGTGATTGTATATGTGGCTTGTTGAGGGAAACATTCATTTAGCTCAATTAATTCCTATCTATTCATTAAAGCTTTTCTTACACTGAGTTGATGTACTATAATTATGCCCTCTTTTTCATCCGTGGCCAAGCAAGCATATTGTGTTTGTTTATTTTGCTTCAGAAAACTGAGTGAAATTGCTGTAGGGTGCTTCTACTGGATCTTGATCAAGGCATCTCTAAATGTTGGCCTTGCCAGTTTTAACTGGAAGGAAAATTGTTTGGCCTTTATTGGTAATTTGCCTTGTAGAAATATTAAAGTATGTCAGTTTTGAATTAGGTTATAGAACTGTCAAGACACTTCTTGTGTGCACTCAATTTTGGAAATTCCCTGTAACCAGCACAGTACTCTGATCCATCTACTAAGATAGAGTTTTGGAGCTTCAACTTAATACACTTCTTACTACACTAATTATGTCAATATATTACTCTCAGCAGTAGAAACAGTATTCAAACCTGATCAAAAGACATAGTGGACATATGACACCTGAGGACTACATGCAAAAGACCAGATAGACAATACTGATCACATTTTGGTTTCTGCTGTGAAAACTGACAATGTGCCATCACATAAAGCATAAAAACTGGATCAGACATTCATATGCATCACATATTGATACTTTCCATCCTGACATTTTCTGAATGAATATCTGATTTATCAGTGGGAGCACGGGAAAACACATGAACAACCTGTATATTTGTTTATCGGACAGTAACAGAAAGTATAGGAGCACAGTGAAAACTAAAATAAAGTTACAACTTATCCTTAATCTTTCAAACCTTTCTTCATAGATTCTGGCATCTGCAACTGTTCTGTGCTTAATCATACTGGAATGTATGTACAATGGTCCACTGTCATTCAAAGATTCTTTCATTCATATGTTGTTTATTCAACTGCAAGTTATCACATTTCATTGTTGCCAAATGCAATGTTTTGTACTTATAGCTCATTATTTATTTTATTTACATTAATTTGCCACTATGGTACTTGTGGTACTTAGTGTGAAGTATGCTGTGAATAGTTAGATGTCATGTCATTGTAGGAGAAAATGTGTTGAGGAGGGCACTGCAGAGAGCAGCTAAATATAGCGCAGCAGTTTGGTGTGAAGTGCCACCACCACTCACCATCACATCTCTCCCCACGGCAGGTGGATACAGGACTGTGGTCCACCGCCTCAGATGACATGCTCAGCTTGGTTGCCGGGTCCCTCCTGGGCTTGGGTGGGGGCTGCTTCCTAGAGGTCGGGCTTCCCACTTCCTCCTCTCCTCCGCCCCCACTGTTCCCACCGCCGACAGAGTGAAGGGACTGGGAGCGTACAGAGAAGCCCTGCCCACAGGCAAGGGCATGCGGGTGGGGCATTGGCATACGTTCCTGGGGGTCCGGCATGGTAATTGAGCCCATACGTAAGTGCTTGCCTTCAGTTGCTATGTCCTCACCCGTCCTAAAACAGAAAGAGAGGAAGCGAGAGAGAGGTTAGAGAAGATGGATATAGGGTCAAGGAACTGAGATATGTATGATCTATTTAAATATGAATGATAAATATACAAAATATATTAGTTTACATCATTGGACAAAAATCTTGACCCAAGTTCCTCATCCACTGGAAGTCATTCCTGCCAGAAGACAGCAAAAATAACATTCCATACCCTGACATACAGAGCTATCATGGCATGTCTCCATTTGTGTGAGCATGTGTATGCGGGCACGTGTATGTACATATATACAATACAATATGTGCATTTCAGTCTGTGCAAGTGACGATGAGAGCGCTAAGTTAACAATAAAAGACATGTTAGTGGCACTGAAAAAAGGGTCACTTTCAGGGCAAAACATTGATTTGAGTTTAACCCTGGATATGACCGATGCCGCTCACACAACCAAACACATAATGACACCATGGAAGTCCCCCAGCCTGTACACAATCAATCCCTATAAATGGATGATTGGCCTGAATGGAGCGTTAATGATGTCTGAGTGTTACGTGGTAATGGGGGGAAAGGAGGGCTGTGTGTGTGTGTGTATAGCAGAGTAAATGAGCTCAAGATCTGACTGTGTTCAGGGAAAATGTTTTTCACTTCACACATTCATTTATTCTCATATCAGAGAGCCACAATTAAGTTTAAAGTCAGAGATTTGTTTAAACAAATGGTATGAAACAGGATGAATTTGCATTTGTGTCTTCACAAATCTCTATCTTGTGTGACTGTGTGTATACATGTGGATGTGTATGTATCTATGTGTGTGTGTGTGTGTGTGTGTGTGTGTGTGTGTGTATCTGTGTGACCCCTCAGTGTGTGACTTTGCTGATTCTGATTCCCTCCAGGCCAGCTGCTGAACAGAAGGTGCTTGGTGGGGTGGGTTCATTGGTCAGGGGCTTAACTTTGCCTAGCAACAGGGTACCCATAGAAACCAGACACAAAACCAGCTGCCACCACACAACAATAATAAAGCGCACGTGCACATGGTGTGCATATCATAACCACATCACATTTTCCTTTAAAAGATGACAGTGGTGATACAAGAGAAGGTGCCTGCAGCAACCCGTCGAGCCACAATGTCGACGTTCTTTTAAAAAAATCTGGGAAAAAAACAAATATCAATCACATGTTTAGTGGATATTAATGCATATGTTGTATACAAATATTAATAATCCACCCATGTTTGGGCAAAAATGTGTCTGAAAAAATAAAAAATAAATCTTCATCTATTACATTTAGCCACAGGTGTCAAGCAGCACAACAGTCTCTCCGTCTCATATGTTTTGGGTGTGCGTCTGCTGTGACTGTGTACACGCACACCCATATACATGGGTTTTGTGTGTGTGGGTGGGTGGGTGTGACTGGAGTGGTGGTGGTGACTGGATTATTTATAGGATATTTGCCCAGTGATTGGCTGGAGGACAGACCACAGGTGCACTTGGACCAGTTGGAGTTGACTTGTTGTCGGGCAGCTCTGGTTCTCTCACTGTGACACCATGCATGCAACAAGAAAAACAACATCACAGAAAGAAAGAAACAAAACCTGAAAGAAAAATAAATCTGTGAATGTGTGCACAGAGGGTAAAGAAAGAGGAAAGCAGCCGTTTGGAATTTGCAAGCATATGTAAATATAAGTAAATGTAAGTGCTTGTGTGGGGCATGTGTGTGTGTATTTCTGAATACACTTGCACGTTTAAGTAAATTTGTGGGCATCTGTTTGTGCGTGTGTCTGTGACTGTGTGAATAAGTTCTTCTGATGAAATACAATAAAAGAAATCCAAAGCGAGTTAGCAGCAGGCAGGAAGGCCCGCCTTACTCAAACCTAGTGTGCTGTTCTGATTGGCTTATGGCTGTTCCAGCTGTCACCAGGCAGAACACATCTCCTGCAACTGAGCTCACACTTAATCTCTCTCTAACAGGTTTTTTTCCCTTCTTTTCCCCCACTCTTAAACACATTTGCTCTAACAAGCTCTTTCACCCTCACACAACCACAAAGGCCATTTGTTCTTTCCCACCCTTTCTCAGAAAGCAATATATTCTATGTTTCCTGTTGTTCATGTCCATGCACGCACATGTACACAAGCATGCATGTACTAGCCCGCGCACACGCAAGTGCCGGCATGCACACATGAATCCTCACACTCTCAGTCAGTTACTGTAAAAATGGGTCGTCTCATTGACCTACTTATAGGCCTCATGAAAAATCCAGTTATTTTTTAGACTCTTCCTCCAGTGACTGTGTATTAATATTTTAGCTATAGCAACAGCTGAGAGACAGTGGAAGGATAGCAAAACAGTAGATGCCACTTTCCTCAGGCATCGCCTTGTCCCATTCACCAAGTTACTGTACGGGACTGCATCAGACTACTAATAAGGATGGAAGTGCAGAAATTTTGCTGGCAAGTGATAAAAGAGAGCCCAGAATGAATTTCAAAGTGTTTTTTTAGAGCTATAACTTAGCTGTCTTTCTGATTCCTGAGGTATAAAGTTGAACTCTGAGTCAACTTTGACTGTGCAAGCGATATACAAAATGTACAGTATACTGTACAATGTGCTGACAATCACAGTAGCAGCGGAGAGTAACAGCTCTTTTGGAATCGCACGACCCTTGGACAGGAATGTCACAGGGTTCAAAGTGTTCCCGAATAAATCAGTTAAGAAGAATCACATCTGGTCGCACATAAATGCTCAGCCTCTGAAACCACATCAATGTAATCATCTCATGGACAGCTAAAACTCACAACAGCTGCTAAAATACCGACTGGACACAAATGATTATTTAGATGACATGACAACATTTCCCATAAGCCTTTCCGCTGACGTCAACAAGTGCTTCTTTACTCTATGATGGGTATTCTTGCAGATAAAATATGCATCCACTTGATTGATGTCCTTTACCTATGATGAGTAGAATCATATCAAATCAAAAAAAAGATTAATTTGTCCTTAGACTCGATAAAAGTGATATTATTCCATGTTATAATATAAAATTAAGCACCTAAGCAGATTTATGATTCATGACTTAAGTTCAGTGGTCTTGAAGCAAGGCTCAAATCATTGTTTGCCGCTAAAAAATGTAAAACAAAGCCCACAAAAAAATAACCCTAAAAATCCTGAAGTTCTGCTCTCAATTTTTCGGGAAATAAAGCAACACAATTGTCCATGTTATCGCACCAACACATTCCAAACCTCTCTGCAACGTTCTGTTATCAAGCCAATGACTCTGTGACTCAGTTTTCGGTATTCTACCCCACAACACAGCCACGCCGTATCCACGTGCTAGTCACGTTGTGACTGCGTGCCTCTTATTCGCTCAAGTTTTGGAATGCCACACAGTGGTGTTGCCCTGCACAGCGGCACCACTTTAACTGCTTGCTCATCACAACATGTGAAACAGGGTACAGCAGCACATCGGTCGATTGGAAAAAACACATTATCTCGAACTCTAAGGGGTGTTACAACAACTTCTGACAATAACATTGATTTTCTACACAGTTGTACAATACTTTTCTGACCAGTTAGATATACGTAAATCACAATAGCATAAACAGTCTCTTAACGTGTCTCACATCCTAACACACTTTCTGTCACAGCCCAACCCATTCCTCAATTCTCTCCATCTCAGAAATGGAGCAGCGACGACCTCAATCCAAGGGCAAGTCCTAAATAAGTCGGAAAGTGAAAAATTAATTATCCTCTATAGATCATGGGGTGCACCAGTCCACACTGGCAACCCCCAAAATATGGCAGCCTGCCATTGCCACAGGGACCCTCTGGCCACTTGTCCCAATTCCTTACAACCTCTTCCTAAAGTGAACCCAGTGACATCCCTGCATGTGTGCTGTAGCAAGTAGTGAGTCTACTTCATAAAATGCTGTCATACCACTACCTTATTCTATTCTATGTTCTCTTTGTCAATGAGTCTGTTACTTTTCTATTTTTGTGAAGCTCTTTATTTGTTTGTTGTCTTCTTACCTCCTTATGGCTTCCTCCTGTTTTCTCTTCTTGTCGTTTTTTTCCTGCAGGAATGTCCTATTTCTCTCATTCCTGGCGTGGTCCAAGTTCTGAGCTACCAGGCCGTTGTAGGCTCTCAGCCCATTCTCCTCAACATACTGGAAAAAACGGAGAGTTTCCTCCTCTTTGGAGCTCATCATTCTTCAAGTGTTTCCACAGCATTCTGATAGAGACATAAAGAAAATGTTAGTGACAATTGTTTGCCATAACGAGATACACAAAATACTAAATATAAAACTATTTATATGGACTACCAGGGCACTTTATAAGACCATGATCTAAATGCTAAACTAGTATGCCGTTATGTCTGTAATCACTCTCTCAACCTTCATTTTTCAAGGTCAACCTTGGTTAGATGAAAACAGATGAAGCACGATTGCATCAGCACCATAATAGTGTCACACATTGAGTTTGTGTGATGTTGCTATTGTTTTTATTGTCCCTCATTGTGGAGTTCATGGCCTACATGTATGAAAGATTCATAGACTTGCATCATGCCTGTGTCCACAAGAGTAAACATTTTCCCTGGAGGGTTGCAACATCTTTCTCTATCGTCCATTGTGCTCACGTACATACACAAACATACAAAAGCACAAGTAAATATGCAAACAGTCAAGGGACTCACTATGTAGCTGCTGTTACTCATAACCTTCCGTTTCAGTTGTCTTATTGGCTGCGGATCAGTGGCGGCTGATCATTTTCTCAGTTGTGTTTGCACATTTTCTGGCTGAAATTATTGGCTTTAACCAAGTGAGTGTCTGAATGAAACTGAAAAAGGCCTTTCATCTTCTGCAGTTGTAATATGTTCTGGACTCAGATGTAAAAATATTGCACTCCTGGGACCAACCACACATATTAAGTGTTCCAATCTTACAAGACTGTGATGCATGGTTTCGCATATGCGGATATCAGCATCAGTCTTATGTTTAAGATCTAAAAATAATCCTCCCTCTGCCTTTTGATTCTTTTAAACAAAAAGTCTATTACGGACAGCATCATTGTCAGAAGAAAGAGTGAGAATGTTTTTGTGAGGAAAAGCCTCTTCAATGAAACACATACATTGGTGCATTCATACAATGATTCACTTCTTCTGTATGGGAATCAGTATTGTTTGCAGCCACTTAAGATCCAAACACAGCACGGAGCAGCTAATGATGTGACTCAGTGTGCATGCATGTACAGTATGTATTAGCCTGAAAAACATGTGCAACTGCATGCAACATGGTATATCCTATGTGCAACAGCCGGGCAGTGGTGGAAGAGAAGAAGACATGCTTTTATGTAGGTCAATGTTTTCAGATCAGCCTAAGACTCATGCTTGTTTACGTGTGAGAGATGCACTGAGTGTGAGTGTGCGTGGGGAGGGGGGAGGGGGCTTGTGATAACTGTATGTATGTTGTGTGCGTAGGGAGGCAAGGGCAGTGGGGTGGGGGTGGGGGGGCGTGCCAGATGGAGATTGCAGGGCTAACTGAGAGACTGGGCATTGTCTGGCCATCCTCAGCGTCCCTCTAACTCGTGTCTGTCTATCATTAAGTCCTGCATGGGGCCTAGGTCAGTGGGTTTATCTTCCGGTTCCACTCACTCCGCCGTGTTCTCACATTCCTTAGCAAAGGTTCTTACGGGTGTGAGGAGAGGGTTGATAAGAGCCGACAGAACCAACAGATTCACCATCTCGGAGCAGAGTTCAAACTAGGGCACAGAATCCTGGTGTCAAGCGGTGTAGAGATTTTTTCCCTTGATTATCACTTCTTATCACTGGTGCACAGGCACAGCTAGAGATCTGAAGCTGTACAAAGGAAATAAATCTTGGTTTCTGAGGAGAAACGAGGTGCACCAGTTAGATGTGTTGAGGGTGCAGCAATAGGAAGGCACAGTTCAAACAGTGTTTGAGCTGAATTAAGCCTGCCTGCCTAATCCCTGTAAGCCTGCAGCAGCACTCTGCACTAGAATCAGCTTGTTTATCACACTGTTTTCACCAACCGAGCCTTTCACATTGGATTGTCCTCCCATAACTCATCGATGTAAAATGCTATTCTTGTTTGTTAATCTCTACAAAACCTGTCAATTGAGCAAGCCATTTCTTTCAACCTAGCTTTATTTTGCTCTCCATTCTCACTCTCTTCCCTTAACTTGATGCATTTTTTCCCCCCTATCTCATTGCTTCTCTCTCCCTTTGCCACAGTTGACATGGGCTGCAACAGTTGGAGTACACCGAGGTGCACTTTGATTTAAAAGTAAATGAAAGTGGCACACCATTTCTGTTTCCAGGCAACCATGTCACAGGAGAAGGGCAGCATGGATATTCTAGAGACACAATGTCAAAAAGATTGCAAGGCCAATTGTCTGGTGACAACACATGTGGGCATTTGTGCACACACACACACACACACACACACACACACACACACACACACACACACACACACTCACGCACACACACACACAGACACAAGTGCAGTGGACCAAGTAAAGATTAACCTGCAAACCCATGAACACACAGGTGCTGCACTTGGCAGCTCTGCTTTTGGGATTTTTATGTGGACTGAAGCGAGTGTTATGATGCATACTCACAATGGGGCTGTGTCCCTGCTGGTTTGTGCACCAACGTGTCTTCTGTCTTCCCCCGATGAGTCCAGTGCACGCTAGTGAACTCTGACCTATGCTGGAGCACCAGTGCACTATTCCACTTAAATCCACATAGACTTCCATCCATTGTATGGTCCAACTGATTGATTTGTTAGAAGGAGTCCCTGTGACCCAGGATAAGGCTGGTGCTAGAGGGGAGGTAGGCCATTGGGTGCCCAGCCCAATGCTCCCTCCCCTGGGCACAAAAGGGAGATGCGACCCCTCCAGTCCAGATGGTGCCAAACTCCAAGCCAGGTGCCAGCTTCACTGCTCCAAACATCTGCACATGCTAAAGACAGAAGGAAGACGCAGCGTAGCAACAGACCGCACCCGCGACCGCAAGCATGACACAAATACACACTAACACACTCACATCAAGACTCCCCTTACAGTTGCCGACCAGGAACTCACAATCTTTCTAAAGCTTCTTTCCCAGAAAGCCTCTCCTTCTGCTTTCATATGTCAGAATGCACAAAATGTCTCAGAGTGTCATGCAGGTGAAAGGAATCCTCATCCACAGTACCCTGAAGCCTGAGACCGAGGTAAAGCAGAGTGGTGTGCGTTTCCAGTTATGACATTCCCTGCCGGCTCCGTCCTGCTCGTCCACACAGGTCTGTACAGTCGGTCTGTGCTTAAGCAGATGACACCGGGCTTCCCAACTATAGATCACAACAAGAAGAACACGCCCACTGCCTACTGTAGCCGCCTTCTACTGGAGCGTCATCCACTCTCGCTGTCTCTCCCCTTCCTTTTCTTACCCCCCTGCTTCTCTCGCTGTGCGCTTTTCAACTCATCTTCATAAGTACTCATACCCCAGTCTCTTTCTCCATGTAGTCGTTTTATGTTTTTTTTCCTCGTGTCTCTCGCCTGCCTTCCCTTTGCAGCTGCACTGTAACTGGAGACTGGATGTGTTTTTCTGCTTTCAGCACCACGGAGAGCTCTCCCTGTCAGTGGGTGAGGGGGGGTGAGTGGGTGGGCATACTCAGAAGGGCCAAATGGAAAGGGGGGCTCTGAGTGGGAGGAGTCACCGGGTTGCCAGGGTGTGACCTCATTAGACACAACCTCCTCTTCCCCCGGCAACCACTGTGCTCTCCCTCCCCGACGCCCCCCCCCTTCCCTCCTCCCTCCCCTCTCTCTTACAGCTCGTAAACAAGACCACGACACAAAAACACTTGCAGTGAATACACCGTGTTGCTCTCAAGTGCATTCATTACATGTACAGTAGCCAAAACAAAGCAGAACAAAACAAAGAGGAGCAAATGTATGAAAGCAAAACACACAAAAGGGGAAAAACAGTACTTTGCAATTTCCAATACACACACATTGACATGCTGACGCAAGATTAAAATAATGTTTGCATAAACAAACAAAGCAAGCAATTCAGGATGGAAACTTGTTCCCAGTGTCCACAAAGATGAACAGGATGAAAGCAGGGACAGAGTTGAGCCTGAGTTGCGTGTTTATCAGGGGGGTACACTGCGGCTGCCGTATACTTCTGCCTGACTGTCTGGGGGAAGAGTATTGGTTTCAGTAGTGCAGAACCAGGGGTTGCGGGAGGGTGAGTAGTGCGGGTGGGTGCGGGGGGGCCGGGTTTGCTCGGGTGGATTAACACCGTCGACACAAAAGGATTAGGGAGCAGAGATCTGTTGTTTTCATCAACCCTTCCCTCCATTTCTCTTAACCCCCGCCCTTCTCCCCCCTCCTCACTTTCCCCCTCCCTCTATCCCTGGTTCTGTCTCGCACTTTGCAAGGGGTGGGTGGGGGGTGGGGGGTGGGGGTGCAGGAGTGGGAAATCGGAGGCACCAAAATCAGATTTCACAAACATGTGGTGATCTGCTAAGAGGAGAGAAGGGGATAATGGGTTGGTTAAAAATAATGGGGAGGGGGAGCCAAAAAGAGCAAAAACACAGTGGTGAGTTCAGAAGGGCTATGGATGAACCACTCTGCTGGACTGCATATTATTATCAAAAGAGGCACCTGTGTTTTTGGAGTGAGAAAAGGAAAGGTAAAATAGGGTGAAATTAAACACTATTTCTCTGCACCCAGTGCAAACACTCCCCTCACACCGGCATGCCACATGCCATAAATAGCCAATTGCTATGATCTCACTGAGATAAAATGCTATGTCAAAAAGGTAGTCACCCCCTTTTTCTGCCTATTGTGAGGGATGTGGTCGACTGGTCACGCACAAAGCGAGTCCCTCCATCCAGACCAACTTAGCACACGCACCCTTGCACATGCACATATACACAAAGGCCCCGGTCTGACCTCGGTGCACGGCCCATGTATACAATCTCAAAGGAAGTATTTAGATCCTATCGGAGTTCAATGAACACAGACAGTAAGGAAATCTCAGGGGTGAATGGGTTAAACAAATTTTTCCACCTATGTGCACAACAGTACTTTGTTTTGTGAACAGTGTAGGACACTCCCTCAGGGGCAGAATAAAGGGTGAAATAAGATACAATGCCTGTAACTTTTCTGTTTACACACACTTACAGACACACAAAGACATACTGCATACTGAGAGAAAGAGATCCAAACCTTCTGAATACATTATTAAAACCATGTTTTACTGTATTCAAATTCATTTGTAGCTGGATTTTGATAATGATATTATTATCTTTTTATGTTTAGTAAAGCTGATTAAACATGTTCTGGGAAGATACTACTCAATTTACACTTGATATGATCATACGGGCTGCACTACGCCAACGAGTACTTATATACATTTGTAATGCCAGAGCTAAGAACCAAGCCTCACACCTTCTAGTGATCATCTAAGGCCCATAGCATAAGGAAACAGAGGACTTTGACTGGGAGCTGATCACAATACATCTGATCAATTTTGTGGTTAGATAATATCTCCCTCATTCATTTACTAACAAGCCAATAACATGTAGTCAACCAATCAGTCTGGCAAAGTAATATAACCTCACAGTTCATGCATGTAGTGGCACACTGTGACATTAATGACTGTTTACAAATACAGACCAAAGTGCTCCGGAGCAGATGCCTGGTACTCGGTTCAATCATGCACATAATGATGTTGTATTGATCCACTGCTGTAACAGGCTAATGAAGAGTCTATAAAAACCATTATAGCAATCAATTAACTGCCACTGAGGAAAGAGAGCCATTACAAATAGCTTTAGAGGGCTTTTTTAAGTGTGATTTCTTGTCATCTGGGATTGGCACCTACACACGGTGCGGCTGTATCTGCTCCTAAGGTGGGTGTGGGGTGGCATTCCGATTCTTGAAAGCTTTGGTGTGGGGCTCAGTGGCATTCTCATTTTGCTGTCCTCCCTGGGAGTGCCATGCACATGCAGGTGAGGATGAAGAAGGCACTGGCAGGACAGATAGTGAGACAGTGGCACTGAATATGTCAGACTCTCATTAAAGATGCAGCATGGCTTACTTCCACTCCTCACATCTCCACCCGAGAGAAATGGAGCATAAGGTTCTTGCTCTGACCAGCAATGTGCAGACATTTGACCACTCCATCTTTCATGTATGCATGCATGTACTATAAATGTATGCAGCACCACTTTCCTACTTAATGCACTACATACCCTATTTAGGAATTTTGGAATACAAGATTCTCCATTACTTAGATTTATTTTTTTTACCAAAATCTTATCCACACATTCCTTAGAATGGAGCTGCACAGCATGAGGCAATGTTCTACTTAATCAAGCTTCTCAACACTCATTTATCACCACTTCCTCCCTCCAGAGATGTCAAGCTGAGGCATGTCTCTAATGACCACCCTCTACACTTCCCGCTGTTCCACCAAGACAGAGAGGTGAAAATGGGAGACTGAACAGCGTAATCTCTCAAACAGGCGGTTGAGGGCTCCAATCTTGGGGGTTTAACCCCCTGTAACCCCCTTAAATCCCCAGTTTAGAGGGCCAGAACTGATGGGCTAAAGCCCCCAGAGATTGTGTACTAACTACTGGACTCCGACACAGCATGAGGACGCAGAATGGATCCCCTACCACGACTACTGCAGCCAGTTCATCCTAGTCCTAGTTAAAGGATTGGATGGACTTAATTGGCGTCAGAAGTGCCACAGTTATGTTTATGACTGTTATCATATTTTAAAAGATCAGGTTTATGATTAAAGTGTAAATACTGATATATATTGTTCTTCAGTGATAATACATTGATACAATTGCCATGTTTTATGTGACAAAGTCGGGATTCTAGGGGTAACTGATGACTGACTGCCAGCCAATAACTAGGGATACAGGAGATTAGTTTTGTTCAAAATAAAGTCTAGCTGGCTTTGAAATAAAGTCTAGACTGTCTGGAGAGCAAATAAGAACTTCTTGTCACCTCAGACAGGTTACAGAAAACATGTGCTCCTAGTCACCTCCTACTGACCTTATTTTGAACTACAGTTAATGGTAATGGTAATAGTACTTTGCACAGAAAAAATATAACCTGCATAAATTAGCATCAAAGGTGTCTGAGTAAGGACTATGAAATCTAGGGTTATTGGCGCCATCTGCTGACACATATATGTCACTCACACACACACACACACACACACACACACACAAAATCTCCCTCCTCTCTTCCCTCACTTGGTTTCTAAATGTCAAAAAAGCCTAGCCAGAAGCAGCTGCATCGGGACTGTCCTTTAGTCTATAAATCTAAATAAATAATAAATAAGTGAATATTTGCTATGGACAACTGACTGTATAACATTGCTGATTTGTGTTTGCCTGTGGTTAAGAAATGAACTTAGCAGCTCATAATCACAGTTTCAGTGTGGCATGGATACATAGGTAGAGACACACTATGATAACCTACTCTCACTGGAGACCTTTCGGGTGATCCAAGTCCTGGATGAACAAAAATACTACATATAGAAACAACCATAAAGTCCAAAAAGTCAGACATAATAATAAATAGAAGATTACTCACATAAATCATATCAAACAAACACCAAAACTCTTAAAAAGGTGACACCATGCTGTTGCTACAAGGAAAGAAGCCCAACACAATGAACACCAAAATAAACAACTGGACCTATATAAAGTAGTCCAAAGCACCTCCAACATGTTTCACCCATGCAAACGTACCCATTGCTGGTCCTAATGGAGCAGCAGGTCAGTGTATGAGCTTCACTGTAAAGCCAGACGGGAGCTGGGGGTCAAACAACCTGTATATTTCCTGCTAAAACAAGTCAAAATGTCTGCTATTAAAAATGGTTTTCTTACTTTAAGACCTTATTAAGATATACTCAAAGAACAGAAAAGTAGAGCCTATACTATTCAAGTTGAAAAACAACAACAGAGTTTTAGCTGGACATTAAGGCCTTGTTTTAGGTCGACACAACTTTTTCGGAAACCACCTCACCGTCATCCTTCTTTTCGGAGTCTAGCTTAATTCATGTAAGTTAGCAACACCTCGAAGCTGTTACTGTAGTTATAGATAATAGCTAGTAGCTAGTGAGCACGTATGCACAAATGGTGGCGGACTTTCGCAGTATTTTTATATTTAGCGTTACATATTGTACATTTCAGACCTTAACCAAATCTCCCAAGTCGGCTGTTTTAGTTAGTTGTAAGATGGGGTCTTATGCCAGCCTGCCGAACTAAATAATGGAACAACAGAAATGTGAGTTAACAGAGTGTCTGTTAGAAGCTAACTTAAGCATGGACCGTATGAACGGACTAGCTACAGTATAAAATAGCATAAATTTGAGTCACTGTTCGTGGCTATGTTTAACCAAACATTGGTCTGTGTCGTATGCTAACGTTATTGTACACACTTATGTAACGTTAAATGAGCATTTCTGTGCTAGCATTAAGTGTCTTAATCTTTTTTTTTTTTGTCTGACATTAACAGGACAGGATTTCTGGGTCTTAAGAAGAATGGATAATTTAATTTTCATATGAATATCAGGTGTGAAACTCAGCAGTTCACATT